ATTCATGAGGACAATCCTGCAGTGTGTATCATATACATTATATTTCAAAGAAGGCATTGTTGGTCACAATCCTTACATAATTACTGTATTTCTTTTGATTCTATTGAATATATAATATGTGAAAACAAAGAGAGTATGTGTGTAGACTATACAAGAGGTGTAAATGAATGAACGGTATTACCAATGGTGTAGGTGGGCAAACTATAGTCAACATTCCATGAATGCCAATCTCAGCTCATTACACATACTAGCCATGTTCATATCGCTAGTTTTCAGGCATCGTACGGAAATTCTAAATATTATTTACTTTGATTTTATAAATTTATGCTTTTACTTTACAAGCAAACAATGCAGATAAAATCATTTCTTAAAATCCAAAACTTTGAGGCTAATAAAGATTAAAACTAATTAATCTTTTATACGATATCTCTTTTGGGCCCTATTTGAATATTAACAGTATCTGATTTTCTATAATAATGAAATCTGCTACATGTATATCTGTTACAGATTATGATTATCTGAAATTAATTGTCATTAATTATTGAGCATTTCAAAGTTACAAAAAAAGGAGTAAATGGTTTACTGTATGTACATGTACATGTATGCCTACATACTGTACATGTAGAACTGTATTCCGATAAGCAAAATCAAAGTATTCTAATTACTGGAATCTTGGTAACCGAATATTTTTGTGATTTTAAATCATCATAAGTCATTTGCAAACAAATAATTTCACCTGCTAAAGGCAGTTCTACTTGATTAGAAACCTTGAGCAGTGTGCATTCTTGCTCCTATTGAGGCTATGGATGGTGATTTCGCACAAATCGCAGTAATTTCGCAAAGGATGCTTCACAATGTGAACATGGCCTCCATATAATATTGGGCATTGAGTGTGATAGAGGTTGGTATAAAAGCCTCTCAAGGCTGTAAATTACTGGCCTATTACATGTACATGGATGAATTCTAAGACAAACATGGGAGGAGGGCAAAGAGTGTATTTGTTCTTTACTCAGATGTGGTGGATTGGTTAGTCAATGCAAGCTCAGCTGGAACCTTCACATGTGATTGGGTCTGTGTGGTCTTTCAATGTGCGAATATGGGCATGATTATGAAGAATTTAACATTAAAAAGTGGTTAAATGTGTTATGATTGAATACCATGTAGTCAAGGTTATATCAACAAAAAGCAATCGATAGTCATTCAAAATTTTATTCAAATCCTGTTTCTCTGTTGTTCCCTCCTTCAGAAACTCAAAAACAGAAACATATTTTTATTTTAAAAATCTGTTTCTAAAGTACATGTAGGGCCTACTCAATTAACTTATAGAACCAATAACATATACAGAATATTCCTCTAATAGCCAAAGTTAGGTTAAAACAGAGCCCATTTGAACTGTTTCGATAAATATTTGTTTCAATTTTAGGCATATACAGTGTACATGTATGTAGCCTGCATTGTACACTGGCACAGGTAAAACCAACAACTTGTACTTTTACATGTTCCTGGTGCGGGCCAAACACCATATTTTTGCAGCAGCCTTCATTCCAACAGTACATCCCAATTCCACTGAAAACAAACTTTATCGCATTACAACTGAGCGAGCTCTGTAGCTGTACAGCGGTTGGCTGTGAATGTGTTAACCTCCTGAGAATACAAACAAAAGGGTAGAGCCTGTGGAGAAACAACATTGGCCATTATGTCAGTGAAGCGAGCACACATTTACCTTACCTTCCAGCAGTTCTTTCACTCTCCCCCCACACCACCCCCACCCCCAACACACACAAGGCCTGTCCTCATCAGCTCGAGATTGCCAAATATCCCGCTATTTGAACTATCCCGATCGCATATCATATATTACCCAGTTAATTTGCGTCTTCATCAACTCGAAGTTGCAATTAGCGGGATATTTAGTTGAGATAATCATCCCAAGATATCTTGGTCTAGTTTGCAAAATATCCCGCTATTTGTCTGGTGCGTCTTCACCAACCCGAAGACACTATGCCCGAATGCTGAGCAAAATATCTCGAGCTAATTTCTCGAGCTCGAGTTTCAAGTTACGAGGTCAAGTCTCGAGCTGATGAAGACACGATTTGTAACTTTCATGATTATTTCCCAAATCAGAAATAGCGGCTATTTGACAATCTCGAGCTGATGACGACAGGCCTACACACACAACATCTCAGAGCACCATTCTCAAAGGAGAGCCACTTAAAAACCTGGGTAACAATGAGAGTTGGGAAGGAAAGGTGCAGAGGGGTGGTGGAAAAGAATCAGGTGGATTTTTAGGGGAAAGGGGGGGGGGTAGGAAGGAGAACAGAACTCAGTAACTCACAGAAGTTGGCTGGTATTGCTCGGTTTATTGTGAGACCATGGACCCTACAAGCTATGTGCACATGTAGCATGGGCACTAATTTATATTATCCAAACTGATACCAATCAAAATTGAGATTGATATCAATCACATCTTTGTAGACTGTACATCAGAGATATGCTGAATTTGTGACAGTTTAGAAGACCTGCAATCGATTACAGTGTACCGGTACATCAATAATAAATCATTATTTAATACATTGGGATTTTTGTCCAAGACTGCTGTCTGTCCTACCCCTTGATGATGTCAATAACCCGAACCTGTGAACATACTATCCCTTTAATATCAAAATAACAGAAGGCTAACAAATCTTATGTAGCTGATCTCATTTAATGTACAATCTTCAAATGTGGTGTAGAAGCATTTGAATGCAAGACAGATAGATCTATCATCTCTGTACCAGGGCTCATGACAACAACCAAATGGGGAATTAATCATTGCTCTTTTGGTTCCTGGGGAAGGTGCAGCAAGTGGCTTTTATGTAGACAGATAACATGTATCGGTACATGTAGATTATCCATTGAATTGTTGCTTCCAAACTTAACAGAGAAGCAAATCATGTATACTGTAGTGTAGAACCTTGATCCGATACTGATACAAGTTTTTCAAGTCCATTTCCAATTCCATTCGATCAATATTGGCAAGTATTATTAAACAACAAGGACAAGCTTAATTTCTCATTATATACTGGAAGCCAAAATGACAGAAGCGGAATAAAACATGATCAAGGAATGATCATCTATGGTATTCAATACTTAATTTGGGAGAGAGGAAATGTGCTCCACTGCATATAATCATTAAAATTTGGTTGTTTTTGTTGTGTGTGTGTGTGTGTGAGAGAGAGAGAGAGAGAGAGAGAGAGAGAGAGAGAGAGAGAGAGAGAAAGAGGCAAAGGAACTGGATCAGGAATACTTGAGCCTTGGGGACTCAATAGAACAGGGTTAGGCTCTCCAACAAAAGCTATTGTATTTCTATGTGTGTATTGTACTGAAGTTTGAGCATAGAGAGGGGGGGGGGGGTTCTTAAGGTCTTTTTCACCGCTCGGATCTTTTGTCATCTTTCTTTTCAGAGACAGATCGATGCCAAACACCACCAACATTCGATGACTCATTGCACACGCTTTGCTGTGAGCAATACTGGTGCATCTTGGGACGTTTCTCAGCCTTTTAACTCCCCTTTGCGCTCTTTCCTTTTCTCGCCGATCGGTGGGATGGCCAAAGAGCTAGTCACGATTCTTGGAATCGTACGCATCCTATTCGGTGTTGTACCTTGCCCAATTCATTGTTTGCTTTCGGAAATAATCATTGATTTGTAATGAACGTTGCATTTATTAATCAAAGGGTTCAAACATGACTTAAAATAAACAGATGAATTGTGCAGTACTAAAACACAACTTGTTTACTTTGACTGACCAAAGTGAACAGGAAGGCAATCCTGTCTGTTCAGTGGGCGAGCGAAGTATAGTAATTCAAGCTGTACAAACAGCAATTTTTCTTGATATGAGGGCAAGTTAAATCATTATTCAGGTAGGGTAATTTTGTAGAACAGTAACAACAAATATGACATTGCTCAAGTAATCTACAATATTTAAACATATATTCAAACTTTTTCAAAACATTTCAAAGCATTTCATTTTCAAGGCTTGTCAACTACATGTACAATGTACCTGGCCGAAAGAGACCTTGATTTGATGGTTATGCTTGGAGATTTTGTGCGCCGTCAAGCTAGCGGTGAAGCAAAGGTTTTTATCTAATGGCAGTAAAGGGCACTAAGCACGGATGACAAAGAACGCTAATGGATATTTCAATTAGGAATTAAAGGGTCTTCACAAACATCCATCTCATCATTATTTTTACATTACTGATCATTGCTTTTGTTTTCAGCATCCCCATCCCCCCCCCCAACCTCTCTCTCTCCCTCCCTCTAAATTGTTTTAAATGAATATAAATTTTTGAAGGGGGAAATAGAGGGATGATTCAAAATTATTTTCTATACATAATAATTGTTCTGTTTTGGCTTTCAAAGCTTTTCATCCATTGCAAAAGCCATAAAAATTCAGAGCACATTTAATCGTTAGCTATCAAAAGGGCACAATTTGGGTTATAAGTAGAGAACTAGAGTTGTAATTTGTAAACTCTAAACACAAATTGTTAACATTTCATGATTTTCATGGCACTCCATGCATGTAGAATAAGGCCTACTCATTGCAAATCCGACCCACACCGTGGTCCTTTCACAGACAACTAAGCTTTAATTCATTAACAGAAAAGGAAGTGAAAGGCGACTAAATATGTAACAATGACGTGGTACATGAATCATGAAAATATGAGAAAGTATGATTTGGGGTCAGTCACCCAGAAAACTAATTTGCTTTCATCTCATTAAATGCATTGATTAATTCTTCTCTGAATTCATCTTGCAACTCTGCCGCTTTGCACACTCCCTACAATGGCCTATTGATTGGACGTGTATGTAATTATAATCCCGCCCGTGTGCTCCTATACCGCCTGTCTTCCCTTGCCTTGCCTTGCCGTGCCGTCCCTGCCTCCCTGCCTGGTGGGCCGCGGTCACATGAAGTTCAGTATTGAGATGCCGCATGCCCGCATACCAAATGCAAACACAATTATTGGGCATGCTTGTATGCCTGCCTGTATACCAGGTTACATACTGGTGCATCTGGAATGTCAAGTGGTGTTTTCATGTTTTATGCACTACAGGATGTAGATTTATGTCTGAAGCATTGATTTGGGCGGAATTTTACATTTCCTGATGCGGCATTCCAGCAATATTTGTTAGCAAATGCCCAGAATTAAGGATTAATCTGACATACTGTTCTATCCATAGCATTTAATTTTTTATAAGAGAAAATATAACTACATTGTAGTACTGAAATAATGTCCATGGTGTCCATATTTCAAAGGCAATATTAAATTAGTGTACAATGCACCATAATCATAGCTACATGTAGTTCTTATAAAAGCTACATAAATGTACAACATTCAGATAATGAACTATCAAACAGATCTTCTCCCTTTCTTTCAAAGAGACTATCAATTATATATCCTGCACAGTATTAAAATTGTTACAGCACAACATTATTGATTTAAAAAGAAAAACATAGAGGACAAATAAGGAGTAACCATGAAACTTTCATCCATCACTACCGACGGTCCAGTTTCTACTTGACCTGCAGATGTTATGAATATTTCATTATTCTTTACTTATCTGTTGAACTTCACGCCCCACTCTGGAAACCGTTCAAACGGTGTTGATCCCAATTGATTTATGTGCGCATTCGCCTCCCAAATTGTGAGAATATACACTGCACGAGCCATATGAAAAGGTATGGCCCCTGGCAGGAGCGTCGGCCATCCATCGCAATACATATCTATTGATCTCATGACACCGACCTGCCAGCACATCAAAGGAAGACGATCCATAAAATGGACTGATTCTGATCATGAAAATGAACTACAGATACTGTATGCAATGTACCTGAAGGCTGAGGCAGGGCACCAGTCTACAACAGTATATTGCTAGTAGTAGTGAACATGACATATTCCTCTCAGCCCATCCCATCCAACAACCCACATAAAGCTCATTTAAAAAATAATCTTGAGTACTGCTAGTAAATGGCAATGACATTACATTTTGCAAACAGAAAGACAAAAAACATTTTTTATAATGAAGAAAACAAAAACCATGTGGACTGTGAACTGTTGTCCTGAATTGCAGTTTCTGAAAATTATGTATTATGAGGTTGTCGGGACAATTTTTGTTCTTGAAGTAAACCGATGTCTTTCATGAAATTGTATAAAATCCATGTTTGAGCATCTGTCTTTGGGATTTTAATATACCAGTACATTTTACATAACACTGTGAAAACTGCTAAATGCCATCTCTTTTCCAGAGCATACCAAAGTCACAACCATTTCTTGAAGGTTGGGTAAACTCAGCTCTTTGAAGTCCATCTGAACCCAATAACACAGTCAATTTCATCCCAGGCTTCTCCTCTTCACTAATGAGCCAAGAAATGATGAGCCCATTGACAAACCAAGCTGTCATTTTGCCGACAGGAAATAGCCTAAAATCAAATTAAAATGCCATTCTCCTCAAATTACACCACTCACACAGCTGCTTGAGAGATCATCTTTGCATGGAATACACTTTCTTCATCATCATGGCATAAATCCCAGTCCATGGTGTTTCTGCAAGTTCACCCATCTTAGCGGGAGACCAATTTAGGTGCAATATAACATTATCAGTTTTATATATACTGGCTCCAGTATAATATACTGCCCTCTAATCATACACCTAGCAGTTTGGATGGAAAAACCGATTCCTTAAAATTTAGCCTAGAATTCTAGATCTACCCATAATCATCGATTTTGTGGTCTTCAGTCGTTTCACTTCATTTCATAAAAACCACACAATGACATCCATGAGATACATGTAGATGTCAGTTATTATTCTCAATCTTTAAACAAAGTCATATCTAGACATTGTAAATGTGTTCCATCTTTTAGCAATGGTTTTCACATTTGTTGCATTTTAACGTGCCAAGTTCATCAAGTTCTATGAACAAATACAAAAAAGATTCAAAAGAAATTTACAAATCAACAAAACTAACCTGAACTGTCAATGCTGAACCTTCCAAGTCCACTTCCATCTCGGATTGTGTAGGACACCTCTCCATCTATGCCCATATCCATGTCAGCAGCGGATATGGTCATCACTTCGGTATCATTGATATGTCCTTCATGTACAGATCCAGTCAGCACATAGTTCGGGAATACAGGAGCATGAGTGTTCTCATTGACGTCCACAACCTCAACGACTATCCTGCATGTTGAGCTCATAGCTGGTATTCCTTCATCTCGGATGGCAACGACGATCTCATAAAGCTGGGTCACTTCATAGTCAAGCATCTCTACCAGCCGAAGAGTGCCATAATCTGTGTCAATGCTGAACTTGGAAGACCCAGAAGTATCAAGTCTGTAACGGACAGTTCCATTGGGTGGGTTATCAGGATCATGAGCTTGAACGCTCAAGACGGCGGCTCCTGTTGGGAGGTCTTCACGAATTTTGACTTTGTACTCGGGAAGAAGACATCGTGGTGGATTGTCATTGATGTCGTCTAGGGATACTCTGACGATGACAGAGCTGGAGAGAGGTGAATCTGAGAGGTCTGTTGCCTGGACTCGAATTTCATGGACAGGGTTGGTCTCTCTATCAAGAGGCCCAGCAACACTAAGCTCTCCTGTGATGATATCAATGTCAAAAGAAGGAGAATCGCTGATGATGCTGTAGCGCACTTCTTGATTTCGACCCTCATCACGATCAGAAGCATGAACTGCTAAGAAGCTTAGTCCTACTTCTGCATCTTCAGGAATTGCTACATCATATTGCTTCAGGTCAAACTGGGGTGCATTGTCATTAACATCCGTCAAAGTGATTGTCAAAGGACTCTTCCTGGTATGTTGCGGTTTGCCCATGTCTGATATCTTTACTGTTACATCATACGTACTTTGGGTTTCTCGATCCAGAGGCATTAAAACTTTTAGTTCACCCGTTTCAAAGTCCATTTGGAAGTGGGACTTGTCATTCCCATCTGAAATAGCATACAGAAGTTTCCCGTTAAATCCATGATCCAAATCATTAGCATTGACAGTTAGGACAGTGCCGCCAACAGGAGCATCTTCAGGAACTTCAACAGATGTCCTAAAGCCAGTCTCAAATTCTGGCTCATGCACATTAGAGGAGTACAACTCTGCATAATTTGGAGGAAGGTGTTCAACCTCTTGATTGCTTGCCTCAAGCTGCCCATACAACTCCTCTATCTCTTCTGCAACATCTGTCTCCTGGCAGGTCACTTTCAAACCTCTTGCATGGGCTTGAGGACTGGGGTTTGCGTTGTTAGTAATTGTCATGTTGGTCCTCATATAACTGACAGAGGTTGGACCATCTCTTGCCTCAATTCTCAGACTATAGAAGAGGGGGTCGGAATCTGCTACAGGACGAGACAAAGTCAGGTTTCCCGATTGAGGGTTAATGCTGAACAGGTCATTCACATTGCCACTTGTAATCCAATATCTTGGTCTATTCTCATCAAAGTCTAGGGCTGAAATCAAAGCAATAGCTCTCCCACTTGGAAATGACTTGGCAATAGCCCCAACACAATTGATCTTTTCAAACTTTGGTCTGTTGTCATTGAGGTTGATGAGATTGACGATGACTACAGCTTTTGCTTCTCTGCGAAAGGGAGATCCCCAGTCAGATGCCCTCACACGAAGTCTGTATTGGTGTCTCATCGTTTCGTAATCAAGTACCTTACTGGTATTGATGGATCCGGTTTCGTGATCGATGGTGAAGGGAACTGCATTCAGGTTTGCGATACTGTACGAGATGAAACCATTCTCTCCAAGATCTGGATCACTTGCTCGGACGACAAGGACTTGGGAATGGGCTGGACGATTTTCTTCAACCTCAACTGTGTATATTTCTTCTTCAAATGATGGATTGTTGTCATTTGCATCTGAAAGAATGACCACTACCCTTGTATCAGCAATGGTTTGCTGCTTGGCATTACGGACTGCAACAGTGAATTCATACTCTGGTGTTGTCTCTCTGTCCAGATCAACGGCAACTGACAGCATCCCTGTGTGAGTACCTATTGAAAACGGCAGTGATGAATCAGTGATGACATAGGAAAAACCAGTGTTACCTACAGCACTCCTAGGTGCAACAGATAGGAATGGTGTGTTGACAGGCATCAGCTCATTGATGGTGGTGTTGAAGAAATCATTGGTAAAGTAGGCTTCATAATTCATTGCACCATCAAGGACAACACCCACCACAAGAGAAGTGCTCTTTGGAGACAATCCTCTGTCTGAAGCAGCTACAGTCACATTAAAAGCGTGGGGTAGACTGGATGAGAGTAGAGAACGAGCAATTTGCAGTTGATAGCGACCGGGTGATGGTGAGGGCTGAACTCTGAAGAACCCACCTGGGTCCCCATCAATGATATCTAAAGCTGCAATCTCTCCATTTACTCCTCCATCTTCATCTGTCACTCCTACAACCGCGAAGACTGTCCCTATCTCACTGTTTCTTGAGACGGTTGGTTGCTTCTCAATCCTTATCTCGGGACTATGCTTGTTGACTTGTTGGACATAGATCCTTAGCTGTACCGGTGAGGTTAGGGGCAATCCTCCATATGGTGTGAAACCTCTGTCCTTTGCAACAACAGTGAGAGTGTAACTTGACTGTTGATCAAAGTTCAGAGGTCTTGTCAGGGACACTACACCGGTGGTTGTGTGTATTGCAAACTGATCTGTCTGCTGGCGAAAACTATAATAAACCTCTCCATTGGTGCCACTGTCTGAATCATGGGCCTCCACTTGAATGATGTTAGAGAATACTGGATAGTCCTCACTGATTGTCGCTGCATAGTTCCCTCTCAAGAAGAGTGGAGGTTGCTCATTCACATCCTGCACAACAATGTGCACTTCTGCTGTTGATGTGCTTCTTACTCCCCCTGAGCTGCTCTGCGCTATGGCCGTGAGATAATACTCGGGCCTTACCTCTCTGTTCACTTTCAAATTGGGACACTGGCTTTTATTTCTGCACGGTCTTGTCCTTATCCTCAAGAAAGCAAAGTCACCAACAACCTCTGGTCTTGCCGAGAAGAGGTCGCTCACATCGCTTTCCTGCAAGGTATATCGCACAGTCGCTGATGGGTCTGGCAAGTAAACGCCCATCTTTTGTTCGGTGGAGATGAATGTCCTGATGGGGGAGTTTTCTGCGATGGTTGCATTGTAGATTGAGCGGGTGAACTGGATGTCTTGGCCCAAGACTATGGTGCAGCCCAGCTGCAGGACCAAGAAAAGGAATGTCAGCGTCCCTCTCCCAAGGCACCACCTGACTCCTGCCATGGTGGTGCTTACTGTGGAGCTCGGCTCTGCTGCACAGCTAGCCGTCTCTGTAAAATCGGGAAAGAAGAAAAAAATGTGTCAGTCACTAGTGAAAGATTACAATATAAACAAACATACACTGATACAGGTACATTTGTAGCTACTGTACATACGAAACAGTAACTAATAACTATTGGAATTCTTTCATATTAGTCAATATTCATTTACTATGGAAAGGGGTCAAATTCTATTTTGAAACAATTCTTTACTGGAAAATTAGCGATTTCCTTTCTATGATGCAAAGATGTTGAAGCACAGAGGTATAATTTCAAGATAAAGTGCCAAAATTTGTTTAATTTTGTCACACTATCCTGCCATATAATGCAGATTCTGTTCCAAATCATTAGGAAATAAATGACCCGTTCGAAGGGAGCAATAACTGTAAAGTCGAATTGACCATGAAAATGATATCTAGGTCAATAAACTTTTATGGCTTCTGATATATCAGTGGCTGTCTGCAAGAAGGTTGTTATTGCCCTTCACAATACATACAACATGTAGCATTTATGGCTTTCTTGTACGCAGCCGGCACTACATGTATGCATGGTCTACCAAATTCAGCATTTGATATTCATTTACATACACTGTACATGTAGATTATGTACATACACTGTACAAATCAGTGTTTTCATGCATTGTTTTAAAATCATGAAGTTAAAAATGAAAGGTCGGAACTTAGGCAATGTCCTTTCTGGCTCTCAACATAAAAAAAATCACATAAATTGCAGGTGCACAAATCTGCATGTACATGCTATACCAGCATAAACTCACTGATCTTTGATTGAATCTGTATCTAGACAATATAAAACACAACACATACGTGTATAAACCATAAGACCAATTACAGAACCAGCAGTCCTAAAAAAAATACATGTACATGTACATAAGTACTGTGTTCAGTGTCTTCTCTCTCACAAATTTGAAATGAAGAATTATGACAGTTTCAACAACAAAACCAAAAGAGACTGAAGGATATATCATCAATGATAAAAATTGAATTTTTCAAACGTGTCTCTTATCATCTTTAGATAAATAACCTTGTTTGTTCCCAGAAGATACTGTAAGTTATAATACACTTTGAATACTGTTTGTTATCTAATTCATCTACACAATGTACTGTACTGTACCTGTACATCATTGCACAATAAATACATGTTGTTGTAGCTTCATACAGTATATTAAATTTTGTTGCTGCATTCCATCAATCTCAGTTTTAAAACTTCTGAAATAAAAACATCATCAAACCAGTGATGACTGACAACAATAGAGCATAGAAAGGTTTTACTGGGATAGGGGCTAGGACATTCACACAAGAGAAAAATTACTGTACATACAGTGTACATACAGAATTCATATGTTGTATCATCACATAGCAAAAGGAGCTTACTCAAGGGGAAACTGGAAACTAATTTTGGAGAGGTATTGTAGGCTTCCAAAATAAGTTATGTCAGTATCAGCATACTGTACATGCTCATCACAAGCATTGCTGGTCAATCAAAATATCAACTTAAAATTGAACAATACTTCCTATCCAGGTATACAGTTTTTGTACAACTATAACATAATGTACAGTTGTATACCCATGGAATTATGAGTGATCTTTCAAAATGATGCTCAACTTTTGAATTAATACAAATTTCATTATACGGGGTCCACTGTCCAGCATTAATATTTATTGTATATCTAATGGTTTTCAAACAGCTATACGGTGACATTTGAAGGTGTGAATGGAGCACAGGCAGCTGAGTGGGAAGGCCAGAGAGGAAGTCATCAATGGTTTGATTACTTCCTGATGCTGGGGTAAAGGGTTCCATCTCAGCCCAGTCAGCCCACAAGGTCTCAATTAAAACCAGAGTAGGTGGGTGGAGGCATAGACGTAATATGGTGGAGGGGAGGTGGCTGGCATGGCCGGCCAACATGACTCCAAATTTTGATTTAGGAAAATATAAAAATATTTGTGACAGAAATCAGTGTTGCTCCAAGACACTTGCATGTAAATTCATAAACAAGACCTTACAGAAAGTACAAGTTTGAAGCTTTTAACTAGTTTAGGTGTGGTACATTTTCTACTTTAATCAGAACTGTAATGTTAAAAGATCATTTCATTATAAAGAGGAACTTGTCTTTCACTGTAATTCCCTCTAACATCCAAGATGAAAGTTCTTTGACAACATTGTGACGACATAACAATGACTAACTTTGTAAGTTTGTAGCCATGAAAATTAATTTGCTCCTACCTGAATTCCCTCTTTCCCCTCCCAGACCCTTCCCCTGCTCCCATGCAGCAGTTAAATCTACTTTTTTGTAGATTCAAATGCTGGCATGCACATTGTACATGGATGTATGTACTGTAAAGGTCACATATTTTTTTTTGGACAATAAAGTTCTGTGAAGATATGAACTTATTAACATGTTCTCCACCATATTGCCTCATTCATTAACAAAAAAAGAGATCAGATAAGAAGTAGTAAAACCATATACCAGTAAATGCAATTTGCATAGATTTCTCTTTTTTCTTTTTCAGAATAATCTGTCATAACACATTACAACTGTACATGATCAAATGATTAATAAGCTTTCAAACAAATCAAATGGTGCACACACATGTACACTTGAAGTCTTGAACTACATGTATCATCAGAATAGCATTGGAACGTGTAAATGTTATTTGGAGCAGGCAGTGTGCAATTCATTGGTCATCATCATTCTAATGAGTTTAACCTGGTAATGCTATCATGACAGGGATCATTAACCAATCTCTACACTTCCTTGGCTGGTCCACTCAAGCATTCACTGATGAAATGCTCTGGCCCTGATATCAACATTATAGGCCCATGCATCAATGATCCGACACTTTGATTATGAAGGGCTTTATAGACTTTAGAATGGAGATTGGGCCCCCAGGGTTTGGGGCTAAAGCGAAATTGACCCCTAATGGACAGATGGCCCAAGTAAAAACAAAAAAATCTGAGAAACCTATTGGTAAAGTCGGATACAAATTAGAGAAGTTCAAATATATACATACATACAGTACATGTATAGAATATTTTAATGTTCAATTCCCTTACACTTTGGGTATCTCTGATTTGACAATTTGGTCATCAATTTACAGTGTGATGTCTTCAGGCATCTACATCTACATGTACTGTACATGTACAGTGTTGTGTACATGTACAATGCAAGGGAAACTCATTCATTTGCTCTAGGTACAATTTGTTTTCAATCGGTTTCTTTGTTTATTTTAACAAAGAGCATGTTGTTGATGTTGTTGTTTTTTCATAATATATTAACAATATATTGTTTGACTTGTTTTTAGCACATTTTAGTAAGTTCTTTCAAACTTTTAAGGGTTAGGTCTGTATTTCGATGGTAATCGTTAGTCTGTTTATTTTACCCGACTGCTAAGAAAGCATGTGTTTGCTATTATGCTTGTATAAAGTAAGCAATGCCTTAGTTGAATTTTAAAAATTGAGTTTCTTTTCAAATTTTCAAGGTTTTAGATTCTTTCAACTTGAAGTCTCAATTCTTGACGAATGAGTTTAAAAATAAACACTGACAAATGAATAGCGAGAATATTTACAATGTACATGTACCTTGTAAGCACCCTGCCCAAATCATACAATAAATTACCTTACATTAATGTTCTGGAACCTTTTTTTGTTAAGATAAAGGTAAGTTATGGTAATGTGATTGCATTGTGAAAGAAAAGGTGTGGAATGGATCAGAAAAAGTTGATCATGTAATATGTAAGTACTGGTGTGCACTGCAAGGTTCTGGAGTCATCAAAATGATAAGAAACTTGGCCCAGTCTTGGTAAAGTAACAAGCACTGTACACTTACTTACTTTACTTTACTTTAATCCATCGATGCTTGTAGGGCAATGCCTGTTCATCGATCATTGGGTTAAAAACATTTCCATCTCTCTTCGGGCGTAAGTCTTATCAAGTGAACATTTGTCTTTCATACATACATGTATGTTTAAACTGGATAGTGATGTACATGGTTATGGTTATGGTTATGGTTATGGTTATGTACATGGTTATGGGACTACACAATGGTGTCGGGCTAGTACTACCTTGATTTCCTTATCTTTCTATGCTCATTACTCAGCCAGTACACATTTTCTTTCAAAATTGTCTGGCACATGTCATTTATTTGTAATCTTGAACATTCAGTGTAGGTTTCGTTTGATTCTGTGAAAACTAATTTTCTTCTTTTTTTTTTACCAGAACTCGAGTTATTCTTTAATCTTTATTGTCAATTTAAGCCCCCATATTCACTACCATTTACCAAATTCTGGACCTAATCAACTCTGAATGATTTACACAAAAATGCTAGTCAAGCAACAGTTGTCAACTTTGTGTTTAGTAAGTCCATCCTGCATTTAAGTTGTATCAATTAAAAGCTAGACTCTGCAAAGTCAAAATTTAGTGAATTAGGTTTGATATCTTTAATTTTTAAATCTAAAATTCAGTTGGATCCCCAATTTTTCAGAACTGACAATGACAGAACTTCACAGAAGCTATATTTGTTTCATAATGAAATAAAATTCAATTCAATTCTATTTCAATTTATTGTTCAATATTGGAAATTTGTTTTGCTCACATTTTACAAACGTACAAAGAATCAAAATAAGTTTACATACACAATATATCATATACTTTGACATAGAAATTCTTCAGAATATTGCTATACAGAAATTTTCTTACGTTATTATAAAACAAAATAAGTGAATTATTTAAACTGTTCGAGTGAACGGGATTGCTCGGAAAGGTTAGAAAAATAAAAATGACAGAGATAAAGAAGAAGGTAAATTGTATTTCATATAATATCACCTAGATCTAGCCTTCAAGGCTGAGATCTAGCCATTCACACATGAAACAATCCTACATCTTAAATTTGAGCTTTCCTGTATCAGGCTATCAGCTATGTCGTAAAAAGGAATAGATCCGATCCATCTTCATTTGTAGCCCCAGAACTTCACGTGCAGTCGTGTGGGTATTTTCATGCCGCATCTTGTCCGCCAGCGTGGTGGGCGACGTAAACACGACGAAGCCGATGGTCCCACAGGCAGTGGAGTCCCGATCCAATAAGTTGCTTCAGTTGTTTTGAAATGTTTTTTTACAGCGGGAAATGACATGATTCAATTACATTTTTAAAATGTTTACAACTTGACAATCATCTTACCTTTTACAAACTATTCCTCTTGTCATTTGTGAATGTATTCCAATTTCATAGAAATCCACAGAAAACGATCATCATCACGCTAGCTCTTTCGTCGCCAATGCAATGGTATCAAATGCAGTGTGCATGCAATCAATGTGCAAAGGCTAGGATCAAACACACACAGCTACAGTACAACGCGTATAACCATACATATACACAGTCTATAGTACATGGTCTGGTGGTACGGTCTCTATGCATGCACAGCGTGGCGTCAGTGGAGCTGCGCTGGTTGGTCGCTCGTGTGTGCACTGTCTGCGAACCAATGAGAATGCTCCAAATCCCGAACTTTCAGAAAGCAATAATAAGCTACACAAAACTTTTTTGATTATTGGTGTTGACTTTAAATAATCTCTCTGACTTTCCTCATAATCTTTTATCTGACCATTTTTAACATTCAGCTTTTTTTTAAATGGTATCATAATCGGTTTTACGCTGTCAGCCCTCTCCCATCCATTCTTTCGGAATGTATGCCTTTGCTTTTACCGAAAAATTAAATTCATGACATCTACTGCTGTACTGACGCACTTTTTATATTGTTCTCCGGGATTGTTCTATGCAATATTGAAAATATACATATACCTGGAACAAAAGAAGACTTGTCATCGATTTTCCACTTGCTCCTATAATAGAGTCAAGTACACTGTCAGCTCAGCTAACGCTGAAATACAAGCTAGTCGCTTGGGAAAAGGCTGACAAAAGAAGATAGATTTACTAATCGAACCCCAAACAGGGAAAATAAAAGGAGAAACACGTCAGGTCAGTTCACTCGAAGAATGGTGTTCATAAATTAGGTAATTGATCGGCTGATTGTATTCCTATTTCAAATTGTGATAGGGGGGTCTGTAAAACATGTTCAGCATTGTCAAACTGGTCAATATATTTTAGCCTGCGTGCGTTCTTGAAAGGCTCTATACTATTTATGCAAGATGTTTGATTGGTGAGCAAGGACCCATTTTCAAATAGATTTTTATGCATATGCCTTTAAAAGGATTCAAACTATTTACTTTCTTCTGGAAAGAAAAAAAAACAGTCCTTTACAGAAACTAAAGATGCGTGGGTATTGTGTTACCTGTTTATGATTCTTCAATGTAGGACCTATTTTGATATTGAATAATCCAAATTGTAGATTCTCTTATATTAATTATTTGATTTCATTTAGTCTGATTTTATAACTGGGACAAGATTATCCTTAATCTAGGCATCGCTAGGGGGGTATACCGATCGCCCACCCCCCCCCCACCCACCCCGCCCCCATGAGTAAAGTGAGTAAGTTTCACAAAAGCCTCTTCTTGGATGTTTCAGCAACCAAAATCAAACAAACAACAACAACAACAACAATAAAACCAAAAGAAAACTCTCCTGAAAAACGGCAATCTGAAGTATACCGCTAAATGAAGTTTAAAATCGCACGGTTTGTATAAACCTACATGTACTTTTGACGTCATTTGTTGCTAACAAATTCATTGACTTTAATGTAAGTAGTAGTCTACTTAAACTTTAATCCTGATTAAGCATATTTATTTTCATTTATTTTCGTTTCCAAACATAAAATAAAACAATATAACATGTTGACCGTAGTGCATGGCTGATAATCAGTTTAAACAAAGTAACTTACAATAAAGAAAATAATGTACAACATAACTTGGATCATGAAGACGCACCATGTACTATTTGTAATTAATTTCTTTCTTTGTTCAGTTCAAGGTGTGTTCTCGGGTCTATTGTCTTCTTTTTTTTTATTCGCATGAGAGCGGATTTCCTCCTTTAGTTATCTTTAGCCAATCTTTAAAAAATCATTGTTCTCTTTATCTAATTCCCGAACGACATCCGAGAATGCTTCAGCGAAATACAACACAAGCTGGCGCTATTACAGCGCGGAGCCAAAGAGATTCGATCATACATGTCCTCCGTAGCCTGGAGTACTAAGCGCCTATAGATAACAAGAGCGCAGAAGTCATTTGCCTATAGAGTTTGTTTCCGTGTCGCGCGCCCAATCCGCTGAGAAAATGACACATCCTCAAAGCTAAAACAAAGACAGTCCTCGATTTTGAACCTTCGGCGGGTGTATTTTCGGGGGTCGCGCGATCTGTGTGCTACGGGATGCTTGTAAGGACATAGATGATTGAAGAATACAAAAATATATATAAACGGATATAATCTGGACTAAGGATCATAAAGAGAGGCTTGAGCGAGAAGTCGGGCATAGAACGAACCAATGTTGCATCATGGCTACAGGCATATGAACTTGAAGCACAATTGAGGAAGAGGGGTGGGTCTAAGTGTAACCTATCAAATGGTTACACTCCGTAGTGAACATAACCTCTCTTTACCTAAGCCAATAAAAAAATTATTGTAAAAGAACTTTCGTGTATACAGAGGTTCTTTGCAATATTAGTTATCCCCTGATTTGCGTCAACTGCCCACTTTTGGCACCTTTAAGACCGTAACTTAAACAGACTTTAATCAACCTATTGTTGTTCCTCTTTATTCTTTTTTTTTAATAGAATTTATATTGTGTTTTCGACTGATATTTTGTAATTATTTATTCTGTTAATTTCTAATATTATGTATATTTTGTACATTGTATAAACTGGCCCCATTGAAAACGAGCAGCAACAATATAGTTGAAGCTGAAAATGGGCTACCAACCGTATCTGGTCCTTTTTCTCAGTATGATAACTTTGTATGTATTTTATATGTATTTATTATACGGAAATAAAAACAACAACAACAAAATGGCGAAATTACAAACTAAGAAGAGGGAATGCAATTTTTTTTCAATCGTGGGACATGCATAGGTATCAGATCTCAAGTGGTGTCTTTTGGGGGACTATCTAAACCCCACTGCTTTACGACGCTCAGAAAGTTTTTTGGTGGGATGAAATCTTGTAAAGTGCCTCGATACAAATTATTCCATTCACCTGTCACAATATTTTATTCCAATAGTCAGAATGCAAATTGCATATTACGAGTTGTGAGGTAGGCAATTAGACACTGGCCCGAATTCACAATCCTCCTTTGAGATTTCGGGCCATAATGTTTGTCCTATTTAGCTACAACTTTTGTATGCAATTTACATTTTGACTATTTGATAATAAGATACATTTATTTGTATCTTTTGAATGAATTAATTTGTATTAAAACACTTCACAAAGACGTATGTCGAGAAAATGGCCTTTTACTAAGTTTTAGAGGTACATGTATTTAAAAAGAAAATGAACTTTGGAGAGGCATGCATTATCTTTGTTTCTCTATTTTATATGTTCAATACACATAAAGGCAAAGATGCAAAGTGAATGAGAGAAGAAAATAGCTATATGCGAGAGTTTCAAGGCTTTAAAAAAGGTAAGTGGAGAAAGTAACATGCATGAAGAGCTATTTTGCAAAATAGGATACAGAAAGTAGGTGGTAGCAGTCAGGGGCGGTAATTTCTTTTCATGACCGAGGGGGGGGGGGGGGGGGGGGGGGGACATGCGAGGGAAAATCTGTATTCCGTTGGTATCACGGTGATCCCAACAAAGTACAGATTTGATACAATTTTACTGTACAATTTGAAGGATATTATGCGAGGGAGCGTCGCAACCTAGTGAGAAAATTTTTGCTTTTTATTTGTCCAAACGCTGCACTCTTGGGCCCTCCAGAGCCTAAAAGTGTGTTGCAGTCTTTAGTCAGTATTGCAATACATTTTTTGTGTGCACTTTTTGAAATTTTCCGGGGGGGGGGACGTGTCCCCTTTCCCCCGGTATCGCCGCCCCTGGTTAGCACTATTAGAACACAGTAACGGGGTGCAGATATTTATTGCTTTTCGGGCTGTTAATTAAAGAATCGGTATACAGCGTGTTTCCGACATAGCACCTTTCAAAAATAACAAATTCAATTAAATTATAAAAGCGGAGCTGGTTCAGCCCTTTACTTAAAGACGGAATATTTTTGATACTGCGAGGTTAACCAGGGGGTTAAAATAGCATTCCTGACATTGCGACAATGATCACATTATTTTGATTCATCGTCCTTATATTATGTACAGTATAGGCTCTTTCTCTATCCTCATTTGAGGGGACAAGACTTTCAATATCCCTACAGGAAAAGAATAGGCTGCGGCTGTATAATAGTGTCATTTTTAGAGAGGACAACAACTTCAGGACAGTTTAAAATAATGCTATTAGGAAATGGAAATTAAAATGATACTGTTTTCCCATCCTCTCACAACATTTTCACGATATGCGCGTATTGCTATATCATAAAATCCTCCATTGATAAATATAGGGGCATGCGGAATGTTTCATTCCTGTTTACTCTCCTTTTCTTAGCATGGAACATATTTTTTACGTGATTCAATTCATGTTTAACTGTACTTTTTATTTTTTTCTTGGTTAAAAAATTACGAACCGTTTTTACTCCTTTACTGCTCATTTGCCACTAACGGCACCTATGTTTATAGGACATGACAGGAAGATGAAGTTCATGCCCGAAATGTGTTGTACAAAAAATATTAGTTTTCCGACCAGAAGGCGAATGAAATGGGGCACACAAGCATTAATGGAGGGGGGGGGGGGGACGATGGGTGAAGAAGTTTATGAGAGGCAGTTTAGATCTAAGCTATAGTATCAGGAGTATTATAATGGAGAGGTATGCCGCTTACAAAGAAAATTATATATCAGTATACTGTATAGGCCTACATTTTCATTACTATTGTCAAGTGTCTTTTTCTTCCAAGTCGGGGAGCGAAAAAAAAAGGGAAGGTCGCGATTTTCTTATGTATTTTAGGTCGGGCTTTAGGTATGCATGAATGGTTTTAAAAGAGGGTTAGTTATGCCCAGAATGAAACGCCGATAACACAACAAAAACCCTCCTCCTCCAAAAAAAGATCCGTATAAGTGTGGAGGAGAGGAGCAACCTACTCACACGAGACTCGAGCGCTAGACCGAGTTGTCAAAGTGTTCTCGTTCGACTTTGAATCTGGCGAGTTTTTCGGGGGTATATTTCGAGACGACTCGGACAGTGCATGCAAAATGAAGTGCTAGTACAGTGCAGTAGACTTTCGATGCTTTTATTGATCTAATTTCGAGTTCTACTACTTGATGTACTGTTACAATGCCTGAACGTAAGTATTACTATATCAGATAAAAGATTCAAAAAATTAAATGATCGTTATTGTAACACTTGGTCAGAAATCATTGTCCTGTTTCGGCATAAATAACAATATATCCGGAGGCGGAGTCTCGGAGTCGGAGACAGACGAAGTAAATTCAGAAGCCTAGATCTATCCAAAATTTGACCCGTAACTCCGGCGTGGATATATTCTACTAAAATATACCCAAAATGAAGTACATATTCATTAAATGTCCAAATAAAGATCATGAGTTAAAAGTCGTTATGTTGGTTATCCTATACTTTAGGGTGTTTTATTTTTTTCGGTTCCTAACTTCAGTCAACAGCTCTACATCATAGTCGGGCTATCAGAAACGGTCATTTTTTGTCATTTTACCCTAGCTCTAACCCTAACCCTAACCCTAACCCTATCCCTATCCCTAACCCTAACCCTAACCCTAACCCTAAACCTAACCCTAACCTTAAACCTAAACATGCAAAAACTGACCGTTTTTGTACCTGGGCCGAATTGTCCCCTGGTCCGAGTTGGCCCGACTCCATGTAGATTCTAGAGCTGTTACTAAAGTTAGCAACCGAAAATAATAAAACACCCTAAAGTATAGGACCTGTTTTGTGTCAATTTTCTTGTTATTTTTTTAGTATTTTTCAGAAAAAAGTTGATATTAGTAGATCTAGACTATCTACACTTGTTCACAGGTTTCATGGCTAACCGCGCGCTGCACAATACAAGTGCATACCGATGGTGGGTTGCGGGCGCACGGTGGGCGCGCGCCTATGTGAAGTTATCTACGATAATGTCTCAGACCCTCATTATGGTAGATAACTTCACACAGGCACGTGCCTGCCCTCCTGCAACCCACTCCAGCGAAGCATATTGTATTGTGCAGAGGTTTGCTGTGAAACCCGTGTGTGACGTTTTTTGGATGAATTGTACGAGTTCTAGTCTACCACCTCAAACTGTTTATACTGTTCTTTGAATTTGAATGGGGATTTTTTTTTCAAATTTCTTGTTTATTAATTGTTTCCATTCATGTTGTCATGTAGGTTTTATGCCTGGATATTTAAATAGATGCATAAATATGAATCAATATTATTTCTCTTCATTTTTTCCATCCAGATGAGTTTTCAAACCCTTTACCGCCGAGTAATGTACGACACGACTCAACGGAGGATGACTCTGGGTAAGCTATAATGACCTTGGGTAGTCTTTTGAAGGTTAATGTTTCATACTTTAATTTGTTAAAACAAACTAATTGAGAAGAAAAAATCACATGTCATGAACATATTGGAATTATGCCTTTGATTTATGGCACTCGCTTTCTTATTCACCATACAAAGTTTATCCATTTTAAAAAATTGCTTATTTGAATGGTTCAATGTACATGTTTGAGGGCATGTTTCATGTAAACAATATCAAAGATAGTTGAATATTATTATTATATTTCTTTAAATAATTTACATAGAATAGTTCAGATCTTTAGAACATTTGTGAGAGATGAGAATGACCTCTTGATACCACATTGGTTCATTTTTTGTAGGTTGTTGTTGCTGTTTCTCTTAAAATATTGGCCTTACTGGCCAGGGGATATATATATTTTGGCATTGTTCATTACCGTTACATGATGCACATAACTTAAAGTTGAGCCTCGTTGTCGGTCAGTGATATCAGCCTGCTTGAATTTGGTATCAAATTGAGATTTGAATTTTTACTTCCTTTCATGATTAGGCTGCAGAAGCTGTCTAATGATGACTTTCGTAAGCTGTTGATGACTCCGAGGGATACGCCGGGTGAAGCTCCCCCTTCTTCTAAACCAACACAGCAGAAACCGTAAGTACACCTCTGTGTTCTATTATTCAAAGAACTAACCTAAAACCTTCATGTTTCAACAACATGATGGACCATAATTTAAGCGCCCTTTACTATGTTTCATATTTCTTACATGAAAAAAACTTCTTGATGGTAAAATATTCTGAGAATTATTTTGCCCTGTGCCATTCTAGAAAAGCCATTCTGTTATTAGTATGAATGAAACAAAAACACAAATAAAACAAAGTAAAAGTCCCCTGTCTTGAGTAGAATTAATTTGCCTGAATTACTTTTATTTAGCTCTTGAAAGTGATGTTGAATATTTTTTTGTTGTAAAGAACACAGAAAACCAATATATCACAAGGAAAGGATAGTAAGTGATTATTGGTTTGAAGCCAACTTTATTGCAGAGTGCTAGCTGCTAGCACAAAATAACTCAACTATTTGTAGAGTGCATACCGTAAAATGAATTATGCTTTTGTTGTAATTTGAATATTATATTTAATGTTGATGTTATTGTTAAGCTGATGAATGGCATGAGTAAATATATCACTAGGATTGATTTTCGAAATGTTATTTAATTCATTTTTTAAAAAATAGCTGTTGTTGGAGAAGGTTGAGTTCTGGATGGAGGTGAAAATAATATGTATCATTGTAATATGCAAGTGTGGAAGAACATCAGATATAAAATGTTCCCTGAAAAGCATGGCTTTCTGTGTACAGTGCAGAGGACCGTTGTTGCACACAGTTGTCATTCATTTACACATTAACAAAAGCATGGCAGCTTTTTTTTTGCAGCGGTATACTGCATCATATCTGAATGAGCCTTAAGTAAGGTAGATTGCTTCAACAGTTTTCTGGCACTGAACAGCTAATGATTTATGAAGCGCCTATTCTATCTCATTATCTTTCAGGTTAGTGAAAGATTATAATGAGGAGGATGATCCCAGGGCAAGGAGGCGTAAGAAAAAGAGGTAAGTGCAAACATACTTGAAATGTAAGTGAGCAAAAAACTTTGATGGTTTTAATGTAAAAAGGGGGATGGCATATACATACATATCTCCTTTGGTTGAATATCAATACATTTATGTACTGGGAGTTGTATATGTTTAAAGCATATCATGTTAGTGCTTATCATGTAAGCTGAGGTTAAATAAATTGTCTATATGTCTATGAAATGGTTTCATATCCATATGTTATAACACTATCCCTTAGACACATGTATTCCTTTTGTGACAGTTTAATTTCAAGAGAAGAAGATATAATTAGTTTACATTATAAATGTGATTTGTGTTTTTGTTCCTTCATTTTACAGTTACTATGCCAAGCTCAAGAAACAGGAGATGGAGAGGGAGGCAGAGCTGGCAGAAAAGTACAGAGATAGGGTAAGTGTAATATCATAAAAAGAAATTGCACAGTTTCAAAGCTTACTATATCTAGATCATGACCTCTTCAGTACCATTTATCATTATCCAGTGGTATTCTACTTTAATTCATATATGCTTGATTTGTTGCCCATCGCATTGAAAGGGTAAAGCTGCTACCTTTGAATGTTAATTGAGTTATTGAGATAAAGTGTTGATAATTTTGTCTATCCTATTTTTTTTGTAGGCCAACGAAAGAAGAGAAGGTAAAACAGACTATGATGAGACTGAAATCGTCAGCACAACAGCAAACTACAAGGCTGTAGCTCCCAATGCACCAGCGTGAGTATCCCTATCGCTACTAACATCGGATTGTCCATCCCTAGATTATTCACTATGGGTGCTTTTGTAAAAACAAACATAAGTTTGCAACCTGTTGGATTATCCTTCCCATACTTGACCTGTTACATTAAATAATAAATGATGAGAACATTGGACTAATTATATGTTAGATGCCACTTTTACACCAAACCAGAAGTACTAATTTCCATGGCATTTAAATTGTGAATGACATATGTATTTATTTGTTTTTTAAGTTTTACAATCAAGAACTACAGTACAGCTTTACAGTAGTCATTTGAATTAGACATCCAAAACATGGGTGCTTTTGTGAATAACACTAATTTCTTTTCATATTTTCTGATTAAGTTTGGATCAGGTATATTTGAATCACTAAAATAAAAATGTGAGACATCAAAACTGTATACCGGTAGTTTTTTATGTACACAGACACCATGCTAACATAAATAAATCTGGAGCATTTCAGAATGAAGGGAAGTTAGATTTACCAAAAATATGGCTGGTAATAAAATTTAATTAAAACCGATTTTGATCCCTATGATTTTAATTTGTAGAGATTCTGCAGCATCTAACAGGCGTAAGCAGCTTATTGATGAGAGTAAATATCTTGGTGGTGACATGGAGCATACTCATTTGGTGAAAGGTCTGGATTATGCCCTGCTACATAAGGTAAGCAAAAGAAAACAACAACACAAAACCAAAGGGGACCAAAAAAAAGGGACACTGTTTATGTCTTAAAGGCATCGTTTGACAATGTTAAATCTGAGATGCATAACCCTACGTGTTATCAGTGTCTGTGCTATGTTGTAAGAATAAAGCCCTAAAAAAATTGCGCTTTAAAATGATCATGAAGTGCTTCAAAAAATAAATATCTTTGAGTGACGGGTTTTACCATACTAATTTTTCCCCAATAGACTGTTGTGTTACAAATAAAATTCATTGGGAAAATGTTTTTCAATCTTAAATATATTGATAATCAGACGGGCGATCGGCTTGTAAACGTCATGTGATTCTTGACTGACCTAAAGGTTTTGTAGTTGGTATGAAGTTATGATCAATTTAAATTAATCACAATTCTGAGATTTCTGAGTTGTATGTAATGAAAAACTTTGAATACAAACATTTATCTCTACTTTTTCATTTTTTCATTTGTGACAAAGACATTTACTTTTGTTTTATGACATTTGTCTGGAGAATATTAATTACCTTGACAGGATACCGATTTGTTGCTGGTTAGAAAAAGTAGATTAACCTTTATTCCTCTTATGACATCATTTCCTGTTCCTTGTTTGTAAAGGTACGAGCTGAAATCAACACCAAGGAGCGAGAAGTAGAAGATGTCCTGGAGAGTACTTACCAGAGTAAGCCTAAAGAAGTGTAAGTATTTCTTTATACCTGTCCCCGTAATCTTGGGTATAAACATAAACATCTATGTCTCCTGGTACATCAATTATGTAGATAATATAAGCAAAATACGATACATCTCTTGAAACGTTGTAAGTTTATCTCCTAAATGGATGTCAACAAATGTCCTCTTCTTTGTCTTTTCTAAGTTTTGCCATACAATTTAAATGAAATATACACTACTTATTTCCAGTTTAAAAAAAAAAAAACTCTAGCATTTATTTTGCTACTCTTTTTGTCCTTCAAAAGGTAATAATGCGAGTACTATTTTTGAGTCACTGTTTGCAAGTTTGCATCATTTCATGTCAATGTATTTTAAAACGTGTTAAAGAAGTGTCCTTGAATTTGAAATGTAGACATACATGCATACCAGAATATCATGGTTTTTAGTCAGATGCTCAGTAGAGCAAGATTATTAATATATTATGATACTGCAATAGTTTTGACCTCAAGTATTATGTAGGACGATATTGGGTCAGAAGATTACCGTCAAGTAATTTTCTTGGTTGTTTTTCAGGGATGCTGAAGAAAATATCCAGTTCAAAGGCCGGCTTGGTAAGTAAATTCAGCAGATTATTGACCATTAATAAATTAGTTTGATTCAATTCAAGGTTTATAAATATGGAATACAATGATGCACATGCTGCAGCTAAAAAGCTGAAATGTATTTGTTTACCACTATCAAGGATACATATAAATAGAAAAGAATATCTATTCACAAAACATATCAACATAATCGTTACAATAAAATCATGAAAGTCTGATTAAAAAGAAAACTGTTCAAATATACAAATAAAACAGATACTGAGTTTGTAAAGGAAAGCAGAGAACAATCGATTATTAAGAAGGTCAATAAAATATGTTGTCGCATTTTGTTAAAAATGAGTGGTCCCGCATTCATATTGACTACACTTTTGTTTATTTTGTAATGACATGCCAACAATTTTTTGTGTGATATAATTTGACATAATTGTTGTCTCATTGTGTTCATTGTTTCTTATATTTTATGATTAAAGATTAAAAGTCTTTCCTGTATAGCATTCATTAATGTTTTTGTATTGTGTTTAGAGGTGTGGTATTAGCTCAATCACCTTCTCTTTGATATTTCTACAGCACGAAACATCTACCGCAATGTCTTCAAGATGCACCAGCCCCAGCGTAACGAGTCCTTCCTCCCAGGCCGTATGGCTTACCAGGTAGATCTAGATGATGATTTTGTTGAGACGGACATCCCTACCACGGTAATGAGAAGCAAGGCCGACTGCCCAACTGTAGAAGTAAGTAGACGTTTTGTCGATCACACTTTAAGAAAGTTCTGAAAAACAATGTAAAGTTGAGTGTAAGCAGAAAAATCACAGAAAGTGATCTGTGAAAGCTTCAGGGAATATGGGAATATGAGCAGAAAATTATGAAGTTTTGAGATTTGACCATAAATGAAAATGGAATCTCAAATTGGAACATCAGTATAGTGAGTGAGATGTGTGTTGGGACTGCTCTCGATTGTCTCTTGGCTAAAGAAAATAATTTCTGTTTTAATATTATTTTTAGGCATGATTTTCCAGGCATAAGAACTTGGACTTTCCAATTTGTTATGTTATATCTGATATATTAGATAGCCTTGATTACACTTTGTTTTATGAAATTAAGGATAATTGCAATCTTATGCCTTATTTTTTCTCGAGCTGTCCCGTCTTTCCTGTAAAATGCACTCTCCTAAGACAATGCAAGCAATGGGTATGTGCTAGTACGTGCAGGGTTGCTTGTATACCAGGTGGTCAATATAACATGGAAAAATGACCAGGAGTGAAATATGCTAATTTTGATCCTTGCAATCGATATCACATGATGAGCTGTGGACCAATCACAACTTTACCATGTAACACATGCTCTTTTACTTCATACCACAGTCACAAGCAACTCTGACTACCAATGACATTGTAATCAACAAGCTGACTCAGATTCTCTCCTATCTGAGACAAGGTCAAAGGGGAAAGAAACTCAAGAAGAAAGAAAAAGGTAAGTTTTTATTTTTCTTAAAGGAAATTCATGTAAATGTTGATAGAAATTTGTATGAGATGTCCTTACAACCATACATGAAGAGAATCTGAATAACTTGCTAAGTTAAAATGATACCTAAAATAATTTGTTCTCCTTTTGTTTGTGTTAAAGCAGTGTCTTTAAAATCACTTGCCATCCTAGGGCATATAATTATTCAGTCTAATCGGCCAATGATAACTTTTGGATTTGTGAAGAATGTGCTTCATAATGTACAGAGTATTATTATGTGAATGCTCTAGATGGAGCTATATCAGTGACAGGAAGGAACTGCCAGTAATTTTGCCTCCCTTTATAAATAATTTCATTTGTTATTTCTGTAAATTATCTTTTGCTCATAACTTGGATTCTTATGGAAACTGTCAAAATCAAACATATCTACATATGTGAGAAATCACAAGATATGTTCATGTTGCGTTTAAAGCAACCAATACATTTAACAGAATTATTCTGAATGCAATTTGATCAGTCTTGTTCCTTTTATACTTTATCCTTTTCACTTTTGATTTATATTTTTGCCATGATTATGGTTATTATGTGGATAATATTTTTGAATGATTACTGTAAATTTTATCTGTTTTTCAGGCAAATTGAAGGATGACAAGATGGATAAGTCACATGCTGGAGATGACAAGTAAGGAAGCCAATAAATTTATATTACTTTAAAACAAGATAAATATTGATTGAAATACATGTACCTTCAGTTTAAACATATAATCAGTACATAGAAACTTCTGTTCACAATTGCTCACCAATCAAAATTCCTTGCAATTATGTGACATTATTATACATTATCACATCTTGTCCTCTCATAATAGATGTTTACATGCCTGGCATGGCCAAGGCTTTGCTGAATAGATTTTTGAGAGCTTCAAGTTTGTTCAAACTTACTTTTAATGGTTAGTCAATGGAACCGTGTGAACCGATGCACAAACAATGGATTTACATTTCTAGAAATATGCATATTTAATTTAACTTTTTTTCTTTACATCTTTACATCACATTTTGGTTCATGAAAATGTTAACAATGATAGGTAACTTTTGTGAATGATTATTTTATTATCCTTTCATTACACAACTACCTAAATGAAATATTAGTCCTAAATGTGTGTTTGCTCCCTTCTCCCTGGCACACAAAGATATATTCATTTTCAGTGATAAACTAATGTCATCAAGCATTCATTGTTCCTTGACAGTATCTTTGGTGATCTTGTGAACTACCATCCATCCTACAACAAACCCAAGGAACAGCCCAAACCCCGGGACAAGGACAGAGAGAGAGAGAGAGACAGAGATAGGGGTCGGGATCGAGACCGACCCAGCCGGGATTATGAGAGACCCCGGGACAGCGAGAGGGACCGGGACCGAGACCGAGATAGGAACAGGGATAGAGACAGGGATAGGCAGAGGACCGACAGGGGACGGGACTATAGGGACAGCGAGAGGGACCGGGACCGGAAGCCCAGGTCCAGTTACTTTGAGAAACCCAAGGATGCTGATGAGGTTAGTTTATAGAATCCCACGACTTTACAACTATTGTATAAACTTAATTTTGTATATTCACCTTACCACATGTAATGCTAATTTACATAATTTATTGTTGTATATTTCTGAATGCCTACACTTTCTGTCCTCCCCTGTACATTTACATATCTTCCCCTCTTTTGTATCTTTTCATTCGTTCTCTACTGCTACGTTTCTTTCACACACAAATCATCTTTGTGTCTTTCTTTATCTGAATGTCATACACTGGCCACATTATCATATTAAAACAAAAATTCTATATACAATGAGTTTTACCGTCTGTGTCAAGATGCAACTGTTTAAATTGGAATTATAAAAAGAAAAAAGAAAAAAACTTTAGTCTAGATTTTCATTTGAAATTGTAGCCATAATGTTCTTTAGATTCTAATTGTGCACTCATCTTACACTCTCTATGCCATTACAGGACTTTGACAAGCCTCCTTCTGCTGATAAACTTCTGCAGAGCATCAGTGAAAAGTTTGGAAAGGTAAAGTTGATTGATCAGCCCCTGCAATAACAATTCATCAACTTGTATTACTAATGGTTTTTAAGTATTCCAATCTCGGTATTAGTCTCCAACAGTCTTCTATAAATACTATGAATAATGTAGTAAATGACATTGGCTATTCCTGATAACAGTCAAAGTGGGACATTGTTTTATTGCAAAATTTCTTTACCGTTACTTTTGAAATCATGTATCCGCAACAAAAAACAAGACTTTCGTAGTTTGAATACTTTCAACATGTTTCACAAGATTCTATTCACAATTTGTATGCATAATTTCAAATATGTTTCCTTTTCAATCTATATCTGCAGCCTCCACCCGAAAAAGAGGATGAATCTCGCTTCAGAGCAGGCTGGGAAAATGAAGACAAATATCCTTTTGTAAACATGGCTTTAAATCATTGTATTATTAATGATTTTATTAATGTACTGGCTCAATGGACTCGCAAACTTTATGATATGTGTCACCCCAGGAACTTTGAAAAAGTGATGTTACCTGTCTTATGTTTTAGAATAATCTTTAAAAATCAATCTGCATTTTTCTAAAGAATACACTTCATTTTCCTCCTCTTCTTTTAAATTTTTTTTTTTTTAGAGGGATTTCTTGTACCCTTTACGTGCATTCATTCTTTTCCACTTTGTTCCTTTGTTTTTCTTCTTGGGGGGGGGGGTGTCATTCTTGTGTGCAGTATTAAGTCATTGCAATTGTAAATGTTATTTAACCTCAATAAATGTAGTATGTATAACTTTTATATTACTGACTTGCAATGAAGAAGCACAATTAACATGAGTAGTCTGCTTGTTAGTACTTGTAATTTGTAGATGCTTCTGTTTCCCTTAACCATAGTATTCACAGCTCAGCAGGCACGTGACAGAGGGTAAGTTAATTCAAATATTTTTTTTCTCCTGAATTTCTTCTTCTTCTTCAATATTAAGCTCCACACTAATATATGCAATATAAAGGATCTGTTCGCATGGGGTTCTCATTTTAATTTGAAAATTATAGAGGCCAGGGGAGCATTTAACAAAACTTGTCATCAGTGACAAATGACACTTTTTGTTATAAGCTACTGAAATCCTTGCTTCTGATTGGTTATCAGCAAATTTGTCACTGATTTTTGTCATTTGTCATTGAAAAAAGGCTTTGTGAAACGACCCCAGGAGTGAATATTTTTGGCCCGTGTTCACCGGACCTCTGTTAGTGTCGAGCCCTTGTTGATCATGTATTAATGAAAGGAGGTGGGGGAAAGATTTTGAAATGGGTTAAAAAGCTGCAGGATTGCAACATTTCAAGCGTGTGTGAACTCTCAAATGGCGTGATGGACATGTGTGCTATATAAGAAGCCACTAGTATTAGTATTGAATATTATTATTATTATTATTATGATTATTATTAATATCGTCATCGTCATCATCATCATTATTTAAACTTCTTACAATTTATCTTTTCTTTTCTCTATTAGCATTGCGTTGACTGGAGAGGGTGACAAAGGGAAAAACAAACAGGGCAAGAAGGGAGCTAACTTTGATAGCTACTTTGAGTGTTATCCAGGGTAAGTGATGATATACATGGATAGGAATGAGAGTAAGGTAGACTTACACGGTCCTTTGAAACTTGGTTAAATTTAACTTTGAATGTTCCTTATTTCACAATGATGCTAGCAGTTTATTCATAATACAAATAATAGTAAGGCAGATTATTTGGGGTCAGCATTCATATTCCACCTTATGGTTCAAAACCATAAGTCTCAATATTAACAATGTAGCAAATGGGGGAGGGGAAGGGGGGCTGGAGAGGAAGTTTTTTCGTAATATTTTCTCTTGAATTTCTTTGGCATAATATTTAATTGGGTTCTACTGCAGCAAAAGCCGGATGCAAAGCTTGGAACCTCAGAGTTTCAGGAAATTTGCTTTCACTCTCCAGCACAAAAAGTGATTTACAGTGATTTATTGGTGGGTTTAAGCTGACAGGTCACATATGACTTACAGCTCTCAGTTTCATCTTGTTTTATTTGAATTTCTCTTTTCAACTTTTGATGGTGTTATGCCATTGGCAGCAAATTCTGCCCAGTAATATTAGTATTCTGCTATGCATTTGGACGAAAACATTCCTATGTGTTTTATCCTGAAGTGGAAACATTAAAACACATTGTGAAGATTCTATAGGATTGAAGCTAATATCTAAACAAATCAAATAATGAAATAGAAATTCAAGGTCCTCAATTTGACACTGAAAGTTCATTTAGGATTATTGTTTGTAATCCTATTAGTACAGATGGGGTGAATTTCTTTTCTCAACTTACCAGTGCGTTATCTTCATCATTATTGTTCTGTCATATTTTATTTATTTTTTCGTGTAACCCCAGTTATCTTCATCATTATTGTTCTATCATATTTTATTTATTTTTTCATGTAACCCCAGTGCCATGGAAACAGCCGATGCTCTTGATGATTCTGATGATGATGTAGACTACTCCAAAATGGACCAGGTAAAACAAAATAATAATACTTTGTTCTTGTATAGCGCATTTCAGGACCGCAGGCCCTCTCAAAGCACTTTACAGATAAGTATATTATTACCCCAGTCATCGGATTCAGGCTTACCCGCACACAATGTATGCACATTCTCCACTCACCTTCTCATCTAACCACATTAACTTTCAAATCCTACCAGGTACCCATTTAACACCTGGGTGGAGAGTGGCAAATGTAGACATATGTGGTCAATGGTTACTTTCTATCTTCAGCTATTATTCATTGTCCTCCATAATGCATCGAGATACAAAATTGTGTTTCAGGTCATTTAATAACCCTTACATGAAGAAAAAATATAATGACAAATGATTTATGCTACTTTATGCAATTCAAAAATTACCCCCCAAAAAGTCAGTCACATTGAATATTATCTGGAAAGGGAATTTTGTGATTCACAATGTGCTGAACATGATATATAGATCACTTTTGAAGATTAAAGGCCCAAATAATAAATGTGTTTGTAGAGTGTGAGATGAGTAATTTTGCAAGGGGGGGGGGGGGGGGGGCAGGGGGCACACTTACAAAATATATCTGACAACTGAATTTTTCAAATCACTTTAAGGACTTTAGGGTGTTGATGAAAAATCTCTGACATACAAGCAAAGAAAATATAAAGTGTTTGCATGATTGAGTCTTATAATGGGCAAACGGGAATGTGTCTGTTCCCCTCTAAATCTGCTGGTTCTTTTGTTTGTATCTGGTTTTTAATATGTGTAAATAGAACTTAAAGAGAAGGTCGAGTTCTGGGAAGAGGTGAACAATAATTTGTGGAAGAACATCAGATAAAAATGTTCCCTGAAAAGCATGGTTCTTCAAATGCATTAATATTCTAAATATGCCATGTAACATTGTAAAATCGGGACAGACTTTTATGCCACATGTTCGTGTAGTCGAATATACATCTTTCTGTGTACAGTGCTTGTAACTTTACCAAGACTGGGCCAAATTTCTTATCATTTTGATGATTCCAGAACCTTGCAGTACATACCAATACTTTCTGATCGATTCCTCACCATTTCTTTCACAATACAATTGCATGACCAGACCTCAACTTTATCTTTAATCACTTATATCTTTCTTCTCTTGTAAATCAGGGTAACAAGAAAGGTCCAGTAGGAAGATGGGACTTTGATACGGCTGAGGAATACAGTGACTACATGAACCAGAAAGAAGCTCTACCAAAGTAAGTCATCTTCTCAATATTAAAGGGAACCATCTGGTGATACAACCCTCTCTTAACCCCTCCTATATAAGTTGTATAATGAAAACAAAAATGATTCCTGCTGTTTTTTTTTCTTGCGTAAATTATTGTCGCGAGTGGCTGTGCAGTATGGCAGCCATCCAACACTCGCTGAGAAAGACGGAAAAGTATCAAGTATTCTCTTAATAGAAGCCAATTTTTCATGGAAAACTGATTTGTTGTGATGACCTGAAAATCAATATTTAGCAACTTTGTGTGAGTAAAATCACCAAAAATTACAGATAATCATACGCGCATGCGTCCGCGCAGGGTTGTCGTGTCGTTTTTTTTAAGACTCATAGCACCGCATAGGAAATTACTGATTTATTCCAAAAATTAATGATTTTGAGCCTTGTGATTACTGATTTTCTCTGCTGGAGGTTGGCAGCTCTGTCTTGAGATGCTCACCTGTTGCATTTGAAATATTAGACATTTCATCAATATTTGTATCACCTCTTCACTTTACATTCCCTTTATACTAACCTCTATTCCTCTTTCTCCTATTCTCTCTCTCTCTTTAATGACAGAGCTGCTTTCCAATTTGGAATCAAGACCTCGGAGGGTAGGAAGACGAGGAGAACTCACCCGGAGAAGAATGAGAAGGCTGCACTGGATAGAGAATGGCAGAAAATTAGTCAGGTGAGATGATGATGATGATGATGATGATGATGGTGTTTATGATGAAGGTGATGAAGGTGATGATGATGATGATAATGAATAGCATGATTATAACGATCCATAGTAATATATGCTCAATAAAGATCATATTTAGAATTTGGTAAGGATGTAAAGTAGGTGAATGTTTATATTTATGTTTATGCAGTGCTTGGGTTTTTCACAAAGCTGTGATTGAATGAAGCGCAGTAAATAATAAATCTAATAAATGTATAATTGCATTTACCAATAGCACAAACAAGGAACTGCACATTGATTGTTAATGTCAAAATGAATAGCAAAACAATTATGATAAATCTTGTAATATATTCCAAATGCTAACTAGTTAAATGTTTGCATGTCTGTTCCCTTGATGTAATTCTTATTTTGATTCATCATCATTTTTTTTTAATATCTAGATCATTGCAAAGAGAAAGGAGACTGGAGAGGGAAGAAGGTAAGAACAAATGATTCAATACACATGATGTTAACTCATATGCTAAAGCACGGAGTTAACGCCATCCTGGCTCTCAACAGACAAGATTCCCAAAGACTCTGGAAGAGAACTATGACTTAAGCTTTATGTAGCTCAACCCCTGAAAAGTGGGATTTAACCAATAATAATTTAACATGTATCAATTTTTTATGTTAAGTTTTGTGTATTTGTAGTATTTCTAAGATTAAAAAGTAATTCTTTTGGTAAACAAGGTAATACTGGATGTTGTGGTTAATGTTGGAGCACTAGGTTAGTTTTTTTTACACTTTCCATTTGCTGAATGAATGTTTATTCAATGTTCAGAGTCATTATTGCCAAATTTTATTTATGGAAAGCAATAAATCACTTGATTTATTGGTCTTCTCACTACCCTTAGCTCTTGAACTGACGTTTTTGTGGTTTGTCTCCCTCTATTTTCACCCTACAGGCCCGTGGATTCAAAACGGCCCAAGTACTGATTCTACTATAGGCCCATTTGGAAAGACTTTGTATTCTGTGTTCGAGATATGTCACCACAATGCTATCGTTATCAGACTATTTAGAGATCGTCAAACTACTTTTGCTCTCAACTGCATCCTCCTTGGAAAAGAACAGAGATGTCATCCAAGTATCATTTAAAATGTTTTCACCTGCCAAAGGATCTGATCAAAACATGTTCCATACAAGGACATCTTCACTTTTCTTGTCTTTTATACACGTTCCATCTTGAATAAATATCAAAATGCATTTATTTGATTACTCCTGTTCGATTCTGGTCCAAGTTGGCTGTAGGTTGTGTGGATAGTGTGGGTGAAGACATTTATGGAGCACCACCAGGGGCACCAATCTTACCCAGCAGATGTAATGCAAATTGACAAGGTCATTGATTAGGAGGAGGGTGTAGGAGAGGATCATAGTGTCTTTTCACATTCCCTTTCCCTTATGCCCTCTATTACTCTTTTTCTAATTTTCCTCTTCTTTCACTAAGTAATAAAGGGGAGGGGCAGGCAGTGTATTTATTTCACTGTTTTCCAGAGCTTACAGTAATAGTTAATGTATTGTGTTGATTTTTTTAGCAAGAAATATGTGTACATTTTTAATCTGCAGTAGATTTGTAGTATGGTATACTGCCATATTAAATGTGTTCTTCAAAGTCACACAAATCAATTTTTCACAAATTTAATTTTAAATTCATAGTAACAGATAATAGGTTATCCAATCTAGTCTTGTAATTTGTGTACAGGGTGGCCCCAAAAGAATGCAACACCTGAGATCTGCAATTTCAGAGAAACCATCAACACAATGTCATTGATTTTTATTATATTGGGTAGACATTTTTTTTTAGTAAGATGGCACCAATATTATAAATAAATGGTAATATGTTTTGATTCTATGGCTATTTTTGTGAGGCAATGTTGTTTTCAAACTTTGCTACTTTTGCAACCATAGTCGTGCTTGAAGCAGCAAGAAACTTGCATGTGATGGCTTACCATAAATCAGCTGTGTTGACGAGAGCAGCCGGCCACCCTGTATTGCCAATATCTTGTTACGTAATCAAAGTTGCATGTTTAAGGAACAGAAGCTGTTGAGACTACAGATATTCTGTATATGCAGTTCATGATTTAGTAAGAAAAGACGGAGCAGTGGATTTTTTTTTTACATCTGTGTGATTTTTATTTTGATCAGGATATTCATGTACGTATAAATTTGGGAATGAGGCAGATGATGAATTTTTTATTTATGTTCCATGTATTGATATACTGTAAAAAATGTATGCACATATAAATTTTCAGAGTGGATATTCACATTCTCGCATCAATGTCTCCCAATTTTCTGTGGCATTGTGATTAAATCTGGAATACATATACAGTCAAACCTGCTTTAGTGATCACCTGTCTACAGAGACTACATTTTTGTTTCCCTTGAAAATGGTTTCTCATTGAAACATTTACTATAGGCACCTGACTACAAAGACCACCTGCCTATAAAGAACATTCTTGTCTCCCTTGGGTGGTCTTTATAGACAGGTTTCACTGTATAACCATCCACTTTTGTGTGGATTCAGTGTTGATCCTCAAGTCTCTCTTCTTGAGAATCATGGAGTAGGCCCCCCCCCCCCCCCCACCCACCTTAATGTACACAGTTGATCATGAAGCTTACTATCAAGCCCAATGCCATTGTATTCAGGTATACTGCAAAACATTGGAAACACATATCAATTTTGTATGTTTGTATGTGATTGTGAATAGAGTGGTTAAATACTTTAATCTCTAAATTTATACCTGACGTAACACATCTTGAGAGTGACTTGCTGAAATGATTGTTATTCTTAATTATGTTCTAAACGGAGAATTTTAACGATGTAAATTATGTAAACTCAGTAGTCCTTGAATAAGCCAGTTCACGGTTGCAGTCTGAGCATGAGCAGATAAAGGTCATTGCAGAACAAATTTTGAAATACACTGAGACGTTATACTGGATGCGTGCTCATGAAAGTTATGTGATCATTATTCATTCATGCACATTCAATGAACTCCATGATACACAGGTGGAAGTATTCTTTGAAAAGGGGAAACAAAGGTTATCTATATATCGCTGTAGGAGTGATTATTTCAAAATGTACAAAGTTGGACGTCTTCATGTTTTGAAGATCTGTGGATATTCGGGGTCATTGCAGTGATGTGCTAACCGTGAACTGGTCTATTGCTTAGAGATTCTATAGGGCAGGATTGTGTTGTACAGATATTATTTCAACATTTTCTGAGTCGCAATGAAATACATGTATACATTTGAAGACTGTTAATGACAGATGTTACATGGTGCCATGATTGTAGGTTGCACTTAGTCTTTATTTAGATGTCAGTTTGTTTAAAGTTGGACTGCACTACTTGTAGACTTGCGCACTCTATATAGCAGACAATGCCTAAGCGGTACCCATTGATCCCCCATGATCCCCTTTTTCTTATGTTAATTGAGAGCTGATTTGATGAGGTAACCACCTGTCAGTGACCACGCAGGGAGGTCTAATCCCTCTTGGCTAAATTAGTGTAAATAGGCTTTAAGATATTTTCCTTATCACCAATTTTGAATTATATATCTGCGAGAAATGTGGAAAAGATTGTTGTGTAATACACTATTCATAAACTAAATGTCAAGTGCAAATGTCCTGTGTGACCTGTAGTTCATTTATTAGTTTTTGATTTGTGAAGTGTGAAGGTGTGCCTGTCTGTGTTGTACAGTCAAACCTGCTTTAGTGACCACCTGTATAGAAAGACCACCTGTATTCAAAGACCCTGTTTTTTGTCTCCCTTTAAAATGGTTTCTCATTGAAACATGTACTAATTGAACCTGTACATAAAGACCACCTGCCTGTAAAGAACTCTTTTCTTGTCTCCCTTGGGTGGTCTTTATAGACAGGTTTTACTGTATATGTCTTCAATTTGTAAATTAGAATGATTAAACACAATTTGGCTAGTTCATGGGGGATGGGTCTTAGTTAACTCTTGGGTTGCTTCCTTTGCCTCTCTGCACTGTCACTTGTTTACACAAAACACTCTGCATCCATTGATGAAAGGATTGCTTTGTGTGCAACACAATGGCTTTGGAGGAAAAAAACATTTCCTGTCTTGATTAGCTCCATGACAAACCCTTTTAACACCGGTATATATTATCTATATAAGGCTTCCAAGTGGTACAATAAATCAGTGTATTTAATATCTTTAGCGCAGTTTCCGGATGACTGATCAATATTGTTTTTGTATTGCTTGAAATTTGTTATTTCGCTAGTCGGCCTGATTTGAATAATAATAATAATATTGTATGGCTTTGTTTTTGTGTGATACATGAATATATTACTCTCGCTATGACAGTATATTCTAGTGTATCCTATTCAAAGCCATCCAATATAATATAAATATTGCACTGAAAATAGATAAATGATTTTGAAGCCTTTGGGAAATATATCCCATGATAAAAACATAGTTGAACAAGGATATTTATTTGTGTGGCATACAAATAGTTAAGTTCATTTAATCTGTCTTGCATTCTTAAATTTGCCATCATTTTTATATAGGATTAAACGTGACACAACATAATAATGAAGACATTGCATATTGCAATTTGTATAAAAGTATGAACTGGAAATCTCCAAGTAGCTCTAAACCAAGTTCTAACATGCTGACATTTCAAGGAAGTTATGCTTTGTTCTTGTTGATGTTTTCAAGCGTTTGAGCAAATCTATTTTTAAACAGTATGACCATCCTGAATGATGTAGTATGTAGAATGGACGTGCAACTTGTGAACAGTGTGTCAGACAGTGTAATACATATATATCTAAAATTCCAACATTTCAGTGTCTGTTTATATGATAGAGAGAAAGATAGGTGAAGAGTGTGAGAGAATAGAGATAAGAGGATCTGAGAAATGGAGAGAAGGAATAAAAGCAAAAGATGAGGGAGGGGAGAGAAGAAAAAAAAGCCGGATGGTGTATCATAAGTTGACAGAGAGACAGATATAGATATGGGATGAGGGAAAGAGCAAGACTAGATGAGATGAAAAATGTAAATGAGACAGATAATGTAAATGAGGAAGGAAGAGAATAGGAATAAGAAATGTAAAATAAACTTCCTCATACTATACTAGTGTAGTATACTTTTTATGCATCAAACTATGCTAAACAACCCTATAGGTGGCGCTCTTCAGGAAGCCCAAATTTGTTGTGGAAAATATGTCAGCGGAGCAGTGCAGTGTATGAAATGAACACCAAACCTGTCAAGTAGAACATTAAAATGGAAGCAAATAACGGGACAGATTTACCAGATGATGGTTCAAGACAACAGAGACATGTCAGGCAAGCTAGTGCCACAAGTGTCGATGGAGTAAATCATGGCGTTCCCATTCCCATCCCCGTGATCGTGAATGACCAGAGACAAGCTCGGGCAGGGAATACGGGCGCAGCGAGCAGACGGGCTCCACCCTCGGCTAACCCGGCCGCAGAAGTGCCGCTTCAAGTCACGACGCTCGCGACGTCATCTGGTGGTAGCGACACCTTAAAAAGTCAGTCAGGAAAAGTGAGTTAAAAATAAGTCAATACAAATCTTTCCCAGATATGGCTATTAGGCAATTAGGACTAGATCTAGACACTGCTAGATGAAAGATCTATTCTAAGAATAGATTTAGGTAACTAGAGTCTGGGTCCTGACATGACAGAGGTACGAAAATTAATAAAAATTGAAGAAATTGATTGAAATGATGAAGAGCCCTTAAAAAATTGTTGTGATGAATGCATGCCTTCCTATGTCATGAATCATGATAATGATTAATGTTACGTAGCACTAACACGTACATGTACCAAGTTTTATCAGTGAGTAAACGCGTACAGACGCATCCGCAAAAATAAGGATCGCCAATGTTGCAAAAAACAGTTTCCGCAATGATTTTCTTGATGCAATTTACACTGACTTTGTACAGAGACTTTCACGTTACGGTGAACTGTAGGTATTTTATTATGCGGAATCCGTTTTGTTGCAATGCCAGCTATCCCGAAACCTGCAGAGCGCTGAAGAAATACAAAAATGCGGACAACCCTTGTTTTTTTAGTACGTTTTTGTTCGCGTATACCTCATTCTTGAACCAGCGCCCGACTGTTCATTGGGGTATAGGCATAGTGGACATCATGTAATTTCCAATATTCCAATCTAAAACTGTACATGCTTTAAAAAAATTATTGTTTTTAACTTTCAGGTAAACATAAATACACAATCATAATGTATTCTTTTTCAAGCCAATATTAAGAAAAGAAAAGACAAGTCAATGAAGGAATGATTTATAAGAAAAGTGAAGGGACTGGGAATTAAAAGTCTAAAACTAAAAGGAAAGACCTTGATCTTCATCCTCGGCACTCAAGGAACTAAATTTACACATGGCTCGTACATCTGGCAAGTCTAGCCAAGCTATCCAGGAACCATGATATGGTTACCCTGTGTTAGTAACCACTGCAGCCTACCTTGACTTTCTAGAGAAATACATTAGTAATTGTATTTCAATAGTTGGAATGCAAATGGCATGTACATCAATTATTATTAGTTACATGTAGGACTAACCTTAAACACGTAATCGTAATGTATGCAATTTGCATTCTGACTATAAAATAAAAACTATACTTAACAGGTAAATAAAATAATCTGTAAGACTGTAACAAGGCACTTAACAAAGATTTGTGTATCAAACTTGATTACATTACGACAATGGCCTATTTGGAGGAAGGGGGAAGTAGCTATTTACAAAATATGATGGTCAATACCAGTCCAAAAAAGTTCCTAAGAACAGAAAGGAATTAACATAATCATGATCAAGGGGCCTCCTCCCCCCATCCCCCAATGATAGCAACCAGGGGCGGATCTAGCTTTTTGCTAAGGGGGGGGGTTTGACCAAAATAATGACGATGCGGAGCATCGTCCACGAGCCGTGAAGCGGCGAGCCGATTTTTTTTGGGGTGTTTATTTGAACCCCATAAGTAATGTTTTCCTGGCATCTATTATCACAATGGAGACCATAAAAAGCAGTGCATGATAACGTCTTTTTAAATCAAGTAACAGTTGAATACACAGTTATATCCAGAGTTATCATGTGTTTGGTTAAGTTACCAGATGAGTTGAATATCTTCTCACAATATTTGCACTTGAAAGGGTTTCTCTCCAGCGTGCGTTCTCTTTTCTTTCTTTTTTTCTTCTTTTTTGTCCCTTTTTTTTTTTTTTTTTTTTTTGGCCGCCCAAGGGGGGGGGGGGGGTTTAAACCCCCTAAACCCCCCCCCCCCCCGTAGATCCGCGCCTGGCAACTGATGTTTTTTCTGTAACCACCAACTTTGGACTTGGATATTTAAGTCCCCCACCACCCACTCCCCCTCCCTGATCATCAGTATGTTCAAACAATACCCCCAAAATTTGTCATTAAACTGTATACTAAATATACAATTCTTTAATTATCTTGAACCAACAGACTAGAATAGAATGATTTCCACAAAAAAATGCATACCCAGTTGGACCCAAAGAGAAAAAGACTGCCTTGTTGAAGACATGATTTGCTACTAGGCAACTGGTCATTCCGATTTAGATGCCATTCACCTTATTCTGAAGTAAATAAGTAAACACATGAAGCAGACAAACCAATCAAAAAAAGTTTCAGCAAAATCGGATAACAAATAAGAAAGTTATGCATTTTTAATGATATGAAATACTTTGAAAATTGTTGAAGACATGATTTGCGATTAGCACCTGGTCATTGCCATTTTTTAAATCTTATTCTGAAGTGAATAAGTAAACAAATGAATAATGTATTAATGATATTGATATTTTGGAACATCATTTACACTTACCAACATACTCAGTCACTTTACTTATCACCATATACATGTATGGATATGTACCGGTATATGTACATGCATGTAATTTGTGTAAATTGTGTTCACTGCTTCTGCAAGCATTCAAAAATGTTATTTGCAACAATATGTTATCATAATAATCATGGTAACCTTTGTGGGTGTATTCTATATTCATAAACATTATTGTTATTTATCAAAAATCTGTATAGATGTAGTATACTAGTACATGATATGTGTAAATATTGTGATTTTATTTTAGCACTTTAAGGAAAAGAAGCAGAACAAAATAAATATTGAGGATACTCTGTTGTGACCTTAAAGAGATTAGAGTCGATTACATTGTACCTTGGGAAAATAGTGTAGGGGGGGGGGAGAATTTTGAAAAATAATTGATGAGAACTTTTCCGGGAATATCTCTAATTTTTTTCTAAAAAATTGAAGAAAATAAAATTAGTCTTGTCAAACTTTACATATCTATGGCTTATGTTTACAAGAAAAGAATATCTTGTAACAAATTTTAACAATTTATTACTAAGTGTACATAAAAATAGGCAGCCAAGTTTTTAGTTTTTGATTTTTTAATTTGTTATACAACATAAAGATTGAACAGATTATCCTGCTAACATGTTTGCTATACAGTGTCCGTATTTTGTATAAATCTTATAAAGTGTTGATATGTTACAATTGATCTGCTATTGATATTATATTGTTATGGCTGATTTACTCAATTTAAAAATTGTTAGATATGAAGTTGTCACAGAAAAGATCTGTCTAGAAAATTTTTATCTCAAAATGAAAAAAAAATTGTCTATTTTCAATTGGAAAAGAAAATTTGCGTTGAAAGGGAAAATTTTATTTACCTACATCAGACACCTTACTCATACTTTTTTTGTTGTTGTTGGGGGGGGGGGGTGTTTTGTCTTCTTACATGTAACTTCAAGGCTATTTGAGGGAACTTGATGATCACCAATATCAGTTTTGTCTTAGGTAATCTCCATGTAAATACACAAAGACAAACACTCATGGCCTTGACTGGTATTAGGTACCATGCTCTAATAATTATTAAAGATCTTCAGTGTGAGGGGAAAAGAAAGAGGAAAGAAGCATGTGGTGCAAAATAACAATAAATACAAATATTGAAAAGGCTGCATACAGTCATGTATGACAAATTTTGACTCAGTAATTTACAGTGCAGCTCAGTGAAAACATAACATGAAATGGTTACATACCTGTATATGGTAAGTCTACCCTCTATCACAGATTGAATCACAGATTGAATCACAGATTGAATGATCAGTACATGTACAGGTATGTAATTAGCAATTAGATGTAAACTCTAAAGCTAGGTACTGCAAACATTTTAACATTAAGAACCTAATAAGCAGATGAGAAATGAAACTATTCATATTTGTCATCATGAGCAAGTACATGTACAATGTACCTTTAGAAAGTAAAGTCCTGTTTTGAATATTTTTCTTGATACATCCAAAAGATGGGCATAGTCACATTAGTCTCCTTGTCTTTATGCCAATGCTATACGCTGCTTTAAAAGTAATTCTTATGCGGTGTTTTCTTGAAGAATTAATTTCTACCTATCAAATTAATTCATCAAAAGTTTTGTTTTCTTGTTAACTTATTAAAAACAAAACAATAACAAATAGACAAAAAATTCCTTTTTTTTTTAAATGTGCTTATAGTTTTGTGAAGAAGTACACTTTTTTTAATGCGGGGTATTTTAACCTTCACTTTTAGTTTGAATTATGAATACTAAAAATATGCAAGCAATAAAGCATCAAACAGTTATCATTTTTAACTTAATTATATAAAGTCTTCATCAGAAGACTAAGAGGCAAAAACAGTCTGCAAGGCTGGAAGGCGGTGAGGAGATTAAGTTAAATTTCGATGGATTAATCTTGATGATACGCGGGCGTCAACTGCTGATCCCCCTACTCAATTCACCCCTTACCCTCTGATATGCGATATAATAATCTTTTACAAGCGAAAAATTATCACTCCCCTTTTCAAGTTGCTTTGCATTGAATCTATGGAAATCTCTGCGGGGGCTGTTGTAGTGGGATAACTCATGTATCTTGTATGAAAGTGTCTCTTCAGAAGAGTGATTCACCAGGCTTTAAACATTAAATGTACACCCCTTCGGAACTACGCACTGTTTTTTCAAGTACTCATTGACTTGAGTCATTGTGCTTAAAAACATTTCAAGAACAACTTCATAGCTTGTTACTTTTTTAGGAAACTTTGTTGGAAGATAGTTGTGTTCTGAACTTCTAAAGCAGGGCTGACTTGGAATTTATTGGAATTTAGAACATGGAATTGAGTGGATTTTAGCTGTGAGAAAAGGGAAATATATTTTGGAGTTATGATGGTCCATGATGTAGCAAGCAGGAGTAAGTCTTTCAGTGGAAGATACGAGCGACCAGAGAGACGGCGTCTTCGCAGGGGCTTGAGCAATGTAAGTTTGTGGCTGGACTACATAATTAACAGTAACAACAACAACAAAGTCAAACTGTGTGGACATTTCAACAGGAAGAAAGATGCTTTGCCACAAATTTGTATTGTTACCATTTCCGTGAAATTAAATTCCAGGAAACTTCCAGACTTCTTGGTTACCACATTTTGTACAATTTGTGACAGCTTTTTGTAATCATTTTTTTCTGAAGCATTTTGGGTTACTTTTATACTTTTTTCTAATATATTTTCTAGTATTGTCTAAAATCTGCTTTGCGCATATGTCTCAATGTTTCTATCTAATGCTTTTTCCCTTCCATTATTTCTGTTCAATTAGTGTTTATGTAATTTTCTTTTTCAGGTCTTCATGTCACAACTTCATTTCCTGTTTTACCAAAGGAATTTGTCATCACTTATGATGAATATAATTTTCTGAATCCTTTCTCTCCTTGCAGGGCCCTCGGGAAGAGAACAGTAAACTTTCCCAACCAGAGGAGATCCCCTTACTCCTGGGTGAAAGAATCGAAGGCATAGGTAAGTTGAGATCTTGCTCAGATCTTTAGGCCTGTCCTCATCAGCTCGAGTTTGCCAAATAACCCGCTATTATCAGACTCGGGATATTATCCCGAAGCTCAGAATTGCGTCTGCACCAACCGATATGCTCATCACAAACTAGCTTGGACGGGCGCAAATTAGCCTGCTATTTCCCAAATAGTGGGATATTGGGAAACAAGACCAATATTTCTCAGGATATTTTCTCAACCAAATATCCGTTTAGTTGCAACTGCGGCTGATGAAGACGCAAATTACCTGGTTATTTAGCGATTGGGATAGTTAAAATAGCGGGTTATTTGGCTAACTTGAGCTGATGAAGGCAGGCCTTTAGAGTCTTTTTGAGTATGGTGTACATGAACATGGAAGATGAGATTAAAAGTCCCTGTATGTTTTACTCAATTTGTAAATATTTAATGAACCTTTAATGAAAATTCATTTCCTCTCTGTCAATCTCCACTTATCTGTCTATCTCCACCTATGTTTATGCCCCTTACCCTTTTTTGTGCCCCTCCTTCCTTCTTTCCCCATCTCTCTCTTTCTCTTGATCTCACCAACCAAATATAAAAACTTCCTCTTTCTTGATTTTGTCACATTGTGTTCTCTTTTCTTTTACTCAGTTTCATACCAACTTGAGTTTGTGTTTTGCCCCCTTGCCCCTCCTCTCTTTAGTTCCCAGAATAAAGTTTGGAGGAGCATCCGCCATGCATCCAACTCCCTTCATAAATTCCCATGTTTCTCGATGCTTTACCTTAGCAAATATATTGATCATGTAATTAGAAGACTCTAAAATATGTCTGGAGGATCGACAGTACATATATGGAGAGTACTCTCTGTATTCTTACAGCTGAGGCCCTCTGTTACATGTACATGTATGTGTTCATGACTGCAAGCTAATATTGTCATGTATGTTGTTTACTATTTTGTAGCCAAGGATGTGACCTACCTGTGCCCTTTCATCGGCCCCAGCCGTGGCACCCTCACCATCACCAACTACAAGCTCTACTTCAAGGGTGGAGATAGGGTAAGCTAGCGCTGAGCAAATGAAGGCTCGGTCCCTATTAGTCCAAGTTTTCCTAATATTTCTGATGTGGGGACGGTAATGCTGAGCCAAATAAGGCTAGTTTCCATTAATTCGAGTTTTCAAATTTGCCTGCTAATTTTGTAGTGTAGAAATAAGTGATGATCCAAATGTGGCCCATTTCCATTAGCCCAAGTTTTCAAAGTAGCCTGCTAATTCTGATGCATAGAAATATTAAGTGCTGAGTGAAGTATGGCTTGTCAATTCATCCTGAGCGTTTCAACTTAACCTGCTAATTCTCTTATGGTGCAATTTGTGCTGAGCCAACTAAGGCTCGTTTCCATTAGCCCAAGTTTTTAAGTTAACCTGCTAATTTTGATGCAGGGAAATTAGTGCCGTTTCTATTATTTAGAGTTTATAAAATGTTTATTCTTGTGTGGGAATTTAACCCGATCACAATTAGCTCAATAACTAGTAGATCGAGCTAATTTGTAGTACAGACACAAAAGACACAAATTGATCATAAGATGGATATTTTGCCATTGTGTTTGGGACATGCTTGAGCTAATATCTCAAGCAAACTAAGGTTTGTTAATGATAATGTCTGTTATTTGGCCAATTAACAGGCTAATTCACTGACAAAGATGCATTTGGCTTGGATGCACACGTTCTGTAGCTGTAGTAGAATCCTTGTGCAAGCAGAAGTACTTGACTCAGCCTGATGGAAACAAGGAAACTTTGAACTTTGTTTTCTTGTTTGGGCTAATAGAAACGACCCTTTACTTAAAAGGTCATCATAATGATGTTGAAGAGTTTTAAATAAGCACCATTTGGGAGTGAAAGAATTTGTCATGTAACTAGGCTTACTCCTTGTTAGCTAGAATAGCATAATTCTATTTCCTTCAATCATAGGCTAATGGTATGGTCACTTCTGGACAGGGTCATGGGCATGATGGCTTAGTGGTAGAGCATTTTTATAGTATCTGGAATGTCCCGAGTTTAAAACAAAGCCATTGTGGTAAATCAGGGCTGCTAGTGGCTTTATGTAAGACATTAATCCTCAGTGCAAAAAAAGTCAATGTGCTACTATATTGTTTTCACACTGGCAAAATTTTGCTTAACCCCGTACTATAGGTGGGGTTAAGGGGGGTCTTAGCCCCACCTGTAGTCCGGGGTTAAGCTTATTCCACTTTCTGTTCAGACTCGTATTTACCAAAGTGGGCTAGCCCCACCTATAGTAAGGGGTTAGCTGGCCCTGCAAAATAGCAGGGCTAACCCTGCAATTGTGGTGCTAACTCCTGCTAACTCCGCAATTGCGGTGCCAAGCAAATGAACGCAATGGAGCGTATCGCAGCTGGCCAGATGCGAAGTGAGGAGCCCACTGTCTAATCATAACATTCACGATATCCGGGGCTAACGAATGGCAGTGAGAACAGTGTGAATTTTCTTATTCCGGAATAGGCGCTAGTACGGGACTAAAAACAGCGTGTTTGAAAAGCCAAAAATAGGCATTGATCAAAATGTTTATGTCCATTGGATAGGAATGGAAACATTAGGTCTTCTGGTTGCTTTCATATTCAATTTTTGTGCTGATAATTTTTGAATGATATACTAGTACTTAAATGCGATTGGCAATGCACTTCAAAAACAATAGAAAAATATATCATAAAGATAGATAGTCATGGAGTCAACTCTTGAAAATAATGTTTATTGACATATTAATGGGATCTAAGCCCATTGAAAGGGAAAGTGAGAGCAATAATAGTCATTAACCCTTCAATCAATAGATAATATTTTGGGGCAGTATGAAGTACCTACATGTACATGTATATGAACATGCAGCTTTCTTCTACGGTACATGTTTTTATGGCTAGAAAGTGTCTTTCCGAATTTTAAAGGAAAATGGTAGACTGGTTAAGATCTATTTATTATTATTTAAAAAAATTAAAAAAATTGGGGGGGGGGGGGGGGACTACATACGTGTACTTCGAAAGTGTGAAAAGAAATAGTGTTTGGGGTATCAAAAAGAGAAAAGAGCAAACTCAGGAAAAACAGCAATTTATTTCAGCACTTCCTCCGTGTGAATGTCACATGTGCACTTGACAGCAATTCCTTATAAATTACTCCTCTAATTGTAATGATATTTAAGATTTTAGGGTTATTCATAACGTGATACAAATGAAATACATGTACATTTTTCATCTTGAAAATATTATTTCCCTTACCAAACATTTATCATTTTCAAAAAAAGATGTGCAGGGAAATTTCATTTTTAAACCCTGGGACAAATTAATCAACAGTTCAACTTCTTTTCTGACTATGTCATGAATGTTAAATAGCATACCTTATGTGCAGTATTATTAATTTCTGTATTTTTGTTTGTTTGACAGGAGCCCCCATTCATTCTAGATGTACCTCTTGGTGCTGTGTATAGAGTAGAAAAGGTCGGTGGTTCTACGAGCAGGGGAGAAAACTCATACGGCTTAGAGGTTTTCTGTAAGGTGAGTCCAGTATTAAATTTTGACATATAATTAGAACGATACCCCATGAGATGCTTAAGACAATTTCTTTAAGACTCTGCCTCTTCCACAACATTCCATCCCACAGGAGTTTCCAACTGGCACAATATCGATTGGACTCTTCACATCACGTCATTCACATCATCGCGCATACCTAAAAAAAATAATAGCAAAACCCTGATGCAGTCAATACATAAGAATATAAATGAATATATTGAGGATGTGCGGTTTCATTGATTCACTTTGCGTGATAGTGATGTCGACAGTAGAAACAAAAAATGTACATTTTTGGTCATGAATAATTCAAAAAGTAAAAACTTGTATCAGCCTGAGCCCAGTTTTCACATTATAAAACTGAAGAATGTAAAAGTTATTTGGATTAAGTTTTTGAGTACTTTTCTCAGTATAATGTTCTGAATATTTTATTGAGATATGAACCATTAACTTTTTGAAAAAAGTCAAAACCACAATTCTGTGTGGATCAGTAATTAATTCTGTACACAGCAATAACATAGCACTTTGCACTTGTCCTTCCTGCCAACCTTGTGCTATCCAGTGTCATTACTGATTCATGACTTGGAATTTCAGTTGCATTGCACAATGGAGTTTGATGTGTTGTTAATTAATTATTGAGCATATCTTCCTGAAGGAAGTATCTCATGAAATGAATAATTCATAATTGATACTGCATTCAAATGGGCCATTTTCTCATAATGTAATCATATCAACGCTTACATCTTTGTGTAGTGCCTTGTTACAAATTATTTCATGCACCTGTTATGAGTAATTGTATTTCATTAGTCAGAATGTAAATTGCATACATTATTATGTGTTGTGAGGTAAGACAAGCCACAATGATTGTCCAGCCTACATGTAGCAATAACTACAGTGTAATGTATTCAATTAGCATTCTGACTAGTGAGATACAATAACACTTTAACAGGTGAATATAAAAGCTTGGGGCTTCGTAGATTTATTTAATTTGAAGTCATTATTAAAATGTTCTGCTGTGTTCAGATGTCAAGGCACGAAAATGGAAAATACAAAGTGAAGAATGCATGAATGTTACTTTACATATATTACATTATATTAAATTAATACTGATTTCATAAAATGAAAGTGTTACCGAAATACTGAATGAATTTGATTTATTTACAGGATATGAGGAACTTGAGGTTTGCTCACAAGCAAGAGAATCACTCCAGAAGACTAGTCTACGAGAAAGTACAAACCTATGCATTTCCAGTCTCAAATAAATTGGTAAGTGGTTGAGTTAAATTATTTTTTTATAGAGTAATTTGTTTTGTAACTTGTCATTGTCAGTGGTGAATCGCTTTCATTTTGAGGGACTAATTTATTCTGAAACATCTGATGAAGTAGGACACACTGATCTCACAAGATGTTTCATGTTTCATGTTTCATGTTACTGTAGAAGACTTTTAACATTTCTGACACATTGATATCTGACAAGTTAGACCGCTGAGGCAACAATGAATGATAATTACATTTTGATTATGATTACAATTTTAATATATAAGAGAATAAAATTGATATTTACACTGTCATGTGAATTAAAATGTGTTGTTCTGAGTAAAGCGTTATACTATTTTTTAACAAATTTTTATCTTTTAAACATCACTTTATTGTTCAAAATTGCACAACAAAGGAAAACAAAAGCCCAGGACAATTCCATTTTACTGGAAAATGCAGGGCATTAAAAGTACATACATGTAGATATACAGTGATATACATTCCTTATACATGTACACCTACCTTAATCCAGTCTCAATCATCTGTTTAAATATGTTGGTGACACTGACAGTAATCATACATAAATAGAAACAATATGATAATTTTTTGGAATGTCATCAGACAACTAAAGTATTCCTTATCAATCATCCAAGCAAAAAGGGAGAGAAATAGTGTGTGTGTCTGTGTGTGTGTGTGCGTGATATAGATAGAGAGAGAGAGAGAGAGAGAGAGAGAGAGAGAGAGAGAGAACCATCCCACCAAAAATAGAAAGAAAGAAAGAAAGAAACAGAAAAGCCCTCTGCCTTCCTCCAACCTTGCTGACGTTTCTGTAGCGCAATCTTGGTTAGTTTAGCCATGAAAGATAATACTTATCTTATTTGTATTAAATAAACACAAATATTTATGAGAGAACATATGATGTGCTTTCAGACCTTTGCATAACCATGTCGAGCTAACGCATCATTGAAAGATGGTATTTACATTATAGGTTAAGAAGTATGTATTCGCCCAATATATATATTTTGGCATAAATACTGTTATAGATTACATCACAAGCATGTGTTAACTCTGAAATCCTGCTTTATTATGAAACGGTGTTATGAATCCGGATGATATCATGCAATTTTCCTTTGATTATTTAATATACCCCTAAACTGTAATAATAATTATAACGATAATATATGAGATTTGTAAGGCACTGAATCCATTTGAAATCAATAGTCAAGGTGGACTTGTGAAGAATAAAAAATCAAATAAAATTTACTTTTCTGTGTTTAAAGAAACTGCACTTTTGGAATACAAAAACGTTACCAAATTTTTCTCCTATTTTTTTCATTAGTGATTTATAAAACAACTTTGATTTAAAAACAACAACACTTTATTCACCATAATTTAAACAAAGATTAGGAAAACTGTTGAAATGGCAAAAGTTGTTATCTTTGAACCAAGGATGACCCGCAGTCCTTACAATGTTGTTCTGTCTCTCTCATTAGGGTCTTATCTGGATGCTTGTAAATATTTTAATTTTTGTTTTGTCCGCTCCTGCTCATTTCATTGATAATACCATGTGCTGACTAATGTATAAACAATTACGGAAAAGGACATGCAAGCAAGATAGTTTCTTGATGATATCAATTTTATTTCTTCTGACTGGCATGTCTTTATCTTTTGTATATAAGTGAGGAAGCATTCAGTATTAAAGAATGCTGTGAAGGATGCATGGACAAATTTTGTATAGAATTATTCAATTTTGGATATATGTATACTCCAACACAATTGATTGAGTATCATACAGTGTAACCATGTGTACAGGTGTATATTTATTTTTTGACAGTTAGGGAGTTATCGGTAGTAAGCTAACTATGCTCTTAACTTGAAAGCAAGTATATGCAATAAAAGTATGTTCTCTCAGATTTTACATAACTACTGGTACTTCAGAACATACATGTACTATGTATGTGACACCCATCATTAAATGCTTTCTCTTGCCCCTCTCTATCTCTCTATCTTTCGATTTCACTCTTACTCTTCTTTGTCTATCTTCCCCTTTTCCTTGCTCTTCCCTCTCTCTGTGTCTCTTCCCATCACTCCACAATCAATCTCTCTCTCTCTCTCTCTCTCTCTCTCTCTCTCTCTCTCTCTCTTTCTCTCATCTACAGCCCTTCTTTGCCTTTGAATACAAGGAGTATTACAATGAGAATGGATGGGCAGTCTTTGATCCTGTGGCTGAGTATAAGAGACAGGTGAGAAGACATAACATCTCATTTTTTGCAACAAGAAAAAAACCTTTAAACACTGTGCAATGTTTTCCGTTAATCAGAGCTCCATAGAGATGTATGTTGTATTAAAAAAACCCACGTCATATTGGATGGGTTAAGATACATTTGTAGTTACTATTTATATTTGAATATGTAGATATTTGTAATTTCACATTACCGCTTCTGATATTGTGTTCTTGCCCTTGTACTTTGTCAAATTTCTTTAATAAATTTCTTTTTAAGAAGATCATTTAGTTCCCCTCTTAATATAATTACCTCTTTGTCATAATTTGGGGATCTTTATTATAATATGTACAAATTGCCAAGCCTCTGGTTTGATAATATTTCATGCTTCATGCTTTGTTCCTGCTTTCAATGTCCATGTTTCTATTGAGATTTGAAACCTTCAGATCTGGATTTGACAAACCCATCCACAAGTAATACCTAATTCAATCAATTTGTTTTCAAGGAAATTCAGTGGGTTGTCCTGTCAGAAGTTGGCACATTCAGTTTTTGTATGATTGAACTTCCTTTCAGCTTTGCTGTAGTATTAACACTGGGTTTTTCCGGTGCAAGTTGTAAATTGGTTTAGTACACGTGATGTTGGTACTGAATGACTGATATCTTTTACACACTTTGTATGGATATATTAAAATATAAGAAATAGTTGGAAGGTAAAATTGAATACTGGTGATATGATAGCATTGTAAAAGAACCTGTTTAAAAGTTAGGGAAGGTTGAAAGTTAAAATAGGTTGATTATGTAGTTTGTAAGAATATCTCTGTATTAGATAGAAATGAAATGATGAAATTCACACACAGGAAAAGCACTACAGACAGATATAGGCTTATATTTGTCTTCACAAACATGTGGCATGTGAATTGTGACTATATTTCTGTTAAAATTGGAATGACATTTTGATATTTAAGATCAAAAGACCAATTCTTTCTATGTTGCAATGCTACTTCCATATACTAATAGGAATATCTAAAAAGGAAAGGTCAAAAACTATTTCCACCTTCACCGGAACTCAACCTCTTCTGTAGGCGCGTTATACATGTTTGAGTAGAAATATTGACTGTGACTTTATGATCTCATTTATGACAGGGTCTACCGACTGAGAGCTGGCGAATCTCCAGAATCAATGAGAATTTTACCTTCTGTGACACATACCCCGCTGTTGTAAGTGACACTGTGTTTATGGAGGGCATGTGCGTCAATGGCAATGTTTACATGGGCTTTAATATAGGATGCAGTTTCTATCAGTTTCATTTTAGTTATGTTTTTTAAATCCACATAAGGTGTGAGAGGTTTTTATAATGTACAGCCACACTATGAGATGATATGTAGTAATTGACATGACATTATATTTTGGGAAAAAATGTCTAGTAGCAAGGCTCAACAATAAAATTCCAGTAGACATAGGCATCCAAAATGGTCCCCCCCCCCTTCCAAATTTGTATATTTGTATATAGGGCTCCTGCATACAGAAAGTAAAAATGTTTATTCCAGACCTCCATCCACTAAGTTAGTGTGAAGTCCTGTTTATTTGTTATTCTGTATTGTTGATTTTGAAAGTGGGATTATCTTCATACTTCATCGTATTTATTGTTTGAAGAGTGCACTGTTTCTCAGAAACGCACACTTAGTTCTCTGAACATTTCCGCATTTTTTCTAAGTTACCTTGTGAACACATGCAAAAGGGCCGCATCAGTACCCCCCCCCCCCCACACACACACACACACACACACACACACACTGTGCCCCCCCTCTCTCTCTCTCTCTCTCTCTCTCTCTCTCTCTTTTCTTTCTCTCTTTCTTTCTGTCTTTGTGTACCTTTTCTCTTATTTTGTCTCTGTTCTCAACATAACAGCTTGCCATACCAGCAGCAGCAGATGATGAACTCCTTAGACAAGTGGCTGCTTTCAGAAGTAGGAACAGATTACCAGTAAGTACCCTACTACTTCATGTGATTTGCAGTCAAGACAGGTTCATAAAAAAGAGAAGTTATCAAGATAAAAACATTCTTAAATCTTATTTCATAGGTCACTTGTGAAGAAGCATCCCGAAATAGACTAGATCAAACATGTTGTATTGAAATGTTATGCATGTCTATGAAGTGATTGCTTCTGAGAACCCCAGAGATTGCCTGATGCTTGACCAACATAGCAACAACAATTGTCAATGATTGGTATTTTAACTAGATTATTGAAATACACTGGTGAAATCAATAGCTAATTACTGGGAAAGGAACTTGCCAGATCTTTTACCAACATAGCAACAGCTATTGTAGAGAGAAGAAATGCAGATAAAATGCCTTGCTTAAGGGCATAAGTGCCATGCTGGGGATCGAACCCATGACCTTTGCCTCTCCAGTCAAGTGTATAAACCAATCAAGTACGATACCTCTAAAAGTATGAAATCAGCTAAATATGACTTTGAGAAGCAGGAGCATTAGGCATAGTGTCAATATTAGCTTGATGATTTTAACATAAGTCGCCGGGCACAGGTGAGGCAATGTGTCCTGTCTGACATTTTTGTATTAATCATTTTCTGTGTACCCCCTCCCCTTCAGATCATGTCATGGCTACACCCTCAGAGCCAGGCTACCATCACAAGATGCAGTCAGCCCCTGGTTGGGGTCGGGGGTAAGAGAAGCAAAGAGGATGAGAAGTATGTCCAGATGATCCTAGATGCCAATGCTCAGTCCCACAAACTGGTTATCATGGATGCCAGGCCGACAGTCAATGCAGTCGCAAATAAGGTAAAATCATGCAAGTCACTTCTTATTTGAGCTAGAAAGTGATGTATTTTGGTTATCATTTACATCTTGACTATGTATCATGGAAATCACACAGGACATGCAACAGTATAATTAACTTGCTTTTTTGCTGTTGTTGCTAAATTCATAGTATTTTTACTTTTAACTTTCTAAATTGTTTGTTGTTTTGAACATTTTGTTGCCATCAGTGCCAGTTGGCAGGGTAACTTGTTTGTCACACAGGCAGATTGGCACTAATTGATAGAAGGATCGCTTTGTGCAACACAATGGCTTTGCGAAATTCCAGATTTCCAGACTTATATTAGCTACATGACAACTCTTAATAACACCTATGTAGATATGACTTACTCTGAAAACATCTTGAAGCCTTGAGTATATTTATCCCATAAATGTGGCATTTAAAGAGTTAATTAGATTTGAGTTAAAGTAGTTGGTAAAACTTTTGTTTGAAACATGTTTTTTATGTCAAAGTTGTTTTCTCCTTTGTATCCCTTTAAGGCATTTAGTCTTTTTATATTTCAACTTATTTAAGGAAAAGAATCTAAGCTCAATCAATTACCAGGTTTGAATTTTGAGTGAGCATTTCACTCAATCTTTTTTGTAATTGATACCTCTACATGTACAGAATCTCAATCAAATGCATTAACCAGTACAAAAAATAGAGCTTTGCTTGTTTACTTGTATCGGTAAGGGGCTATTTAAAAAACAGATATGATAATGAATATTTTTATTTACTTGTCTCTGATTCATAAACTTATGACTTTAATTCATCAGGCTAAGGGAGGTGGTTATGAGAATGAGGACACCTACCAAAATGCTGAGATTTGCTTCTTGGATATTCACAACATACACGTCATGAGAGAGAGGTAAGAATATTGTTGTTGTTACTTTGTCTATTTAAAGCCCCACTGCACTACTTATAGCTACTTGTGCCCTCTACCGGTAAATAGCAAACAATGCCTAATCGGTGCCTCTTTTTCTTATGTTAATTGAGAGCTGATTTGATAAGATAAGCACCTGTCAGTGACCTTGCAGGGAGGTCTAATCCCCCTGGCCAAACTAGTACAGACAGGCTACTATGTGATTTGATATTTCATATTGATTATCCGAACATAAAAGGATTTTTAAGTTGACTAGGTAGAATGATAGATTGAATTTATCTAGGTAAAGCAAGAATTCAGTGGAACCACCTTTAAGTAGCCCTAGATGATAGGTGTAATGAGAATTATTGCAAGATAATTTGTAACTGCATGATGTGCAGTTATGCAGCACGGGTCAAAACATTGAGGGGGCAACAGTGTTTGTGTGTGTGTTTGGAGGGGAGGGGGAGGAGGCCACCAATATTACCAAATGGTATCAGAGAAAACAGGGCTGTAGATTGAGGGGAGGGTTTGCAAGAATTTTATCTTCTTCTCTTCATGTTGCATTCTCTCTCTTTCTTTCTGGTCCCTAATATTTTTTAAATCCAATTTGATTGTCCTTTCCCCAATTTGATTGAGGGAGGGGCTCATGTCTCCTTACCCTCCTGCACCCAATGATGTTTGTCTTTAGATTATGTATGAAGATTAAAGAAATGGATGAGTTCTGGTAAAGATACAGAATAATTTGAATCATTTTGATTGTTCCAAAACATACAATTTTGCATCAGTATTTTATGTAGATGTACATAATCAACGCTACCCAATTGCATCAAGACATTTTTTAAATATCTTTTTTCTCGCATGAAGTCACATGAGCAATGCTCATCTATATGTTTAAAGATGTGAAAGGGCTGTTGCTAACCATTAGCACTTGACTGTTATTGCTTCTTAGTATATCCAGCGGTGATTTTTGTATCTGTATTTTGTCACTGCAGCTTACGTAAGCTGAAGGATATCTGTTTTCCTAGCATCGATGAGCATCATTGGCTTGCTAACCTAGAAGCTACACACTGGTTGGAACATGTTAAGGTTAGTTCAATAAAACAATAATAATAAAAAAGATAATAATAATAATCATATACCTAATAATGATCATAATTATGAGAAAAAAATAATGATAATTATAATAATAATAACAAAAGCCAGGAGAAGAAATAATAATCATCATCATCATCATCATCATAATAATAATTTCAATCTTTAAATGATTCCTTCATCTATAAAATTATTCCGTCAATCAGTTCATTGATTCATCAATTCCATCATCCTTACATCTTTTAACCCATACCAGTTAATTGTCTCCTTTTAGAAATTAAACAAATTATTATTATTATCTTGTGATCCACAATGATAGGAATCACACATTATAACATAAGAAGGAAGAGCAAAAATCATTAAAAACTTTGAGTCAATGTTCTGTTAAATGTGGTAAATTTATTTCATATAGGGTCATTTCAAAAATTTGAAAAATTTATGTACGAGTAGAAAAAAAAGGACAATCGGTGCCAATTTGGGGAGGAAAAAAAAAGGATTTAAGTAGACCAGAAGAAAACTAGAGTTGCTGTAGGTGATTAAAAGAATCATTAATCTCTCAGTCAGCTGTTGAATAGAATTCCAAACAACTAATTTACATTCAGGAATGTTGCCTGATGCATCTCATTGGGTAGGGAGTTCTATTGAAATGCGTGGATGAGTGAACACTTCAGTTGGCTGTGTGTATTGTTTGCAAGGCATTGCGAGAGGTACAGGGAAAATGTGAACAGAGATTGTGTTAGGTACAGGAAAGTGTGCAGAGGTATATGGAGTGTGTAGAGAGATTGCCACACCCAAGAGACTCCATCTTGAATCCACAAGCAGGTTTGCTGCTGCATGGGAAGGTAGTTGACTTCAATGGAAGCTTTTTTTCTGCTAGTTAGCTCCAATTTACAATTGGGATTTCAATTAATCAGTTTGCATAATCATGGGGGCAGGCAAACTACCAGATGTTGGCCTGTTTAATCCAGCTAGGAAACGTAAGTTCAATACCTTTATATTTACAGGTTTTTAAATAAGACCTATTTTATTCATATATCAGTTCATCCATTTTACATTAATCAGTTCATCCATCAATTCATCATCCATTTTCCAAGGGTTTCTAGCCATAAATATCTTTCAGATTTTTAGATTTAAGCTGTGAAACCTCTATATCAAATTTTCCTTGGGTTTCTTCATTACATCTATTTCATCGGCCCATTTAAACGGTTGCAAGCCATAAATTTCTTTAAAAGCTGCAGATCAAAATTAAACCGTCTCTCGTAAATCCTTCTTCTCAGATGGTTTTAGCTGGCGCTGTCCGAATCGCTGAGCGTGTCGAGGGCCAGAAGACGTCCGTGGTGGTCCATTGCAGTGATGGTTGGGACAGGACGGCCCAGCTGACAGCCCTGGCCATGCTACTCCTAGATCCTTACTATCGTACCATCAGGGGCTTTGAGGTGCTCATTGAGAAGGAATGGTTGGCTTGTGGACACAAGATGGCACAGGTATTAAGCAGGGTTATTCTTATCTGATCTCTCAGGATAATCAATTTAACATCCTGGGCTAGGACTAGCCTTAAGGGCTCTCTCGAAATGTTTTTTTAATGATATTATTCGAGAGAGCCTTAAACGGCTCCCATACCCCTGCACGGAGAGGCATGTAAACAAAACTCAAAAGTGGTCCAAAATCACACTTTCGCGCACCCGACCAATATTGGACAGTGGCTTTGATAAATTTTGTCCGAGTTTTGGTCTTAATTAGCGCTTTAATTTCAAAATCGGATCTAAAAATAACAAAATAAGAGCAATTTTCTTACCAGACCGATACAGCTCAGCTCCCTTTTCACGTGTACCGTGTGAATTCACGATGTCTACACAATGGTGATGACCTCTGACTGGCACTTCCGTAATTGTGGGTAAATTGTGCTGCTTCCGTATAATGCGCTGTATGAGTGTTATTCAGCGCATTATACGGAAGCAGCACATTTACGAAGTGCTAGTCAGAGGTCATCACCATTGTGTAGACATCGTGAATTCACACGGTACACGTGAAAAGGGAGCTGAGCTGTATCGGTCTGGTAAGAAAATTGCTCTTATTTTGTTATTTTTAGATCCGATTTTGAAATTAAAGCGCTAATTAAGACCAAAACTCGGACAAAATTTATCAAAGCCACTGTCCAATATTGGTCGGGTGCGCGAAAGTGTGATTTTGGACCACTTTTGAGTTTTGTTTACATGCCTCTCCGTGCAGGGGTATGGGAGCCGTTTAAGGCTCTCTCGAATAATATCATTAAAAAAACATTTCGAGAGAGCCCTTAAGGCTAGCTAGGACAGAATGCCGTACATCATTACTACCAAACCATCAGGGGCTCTGAGATGGAATGTCTAGCTTGTGGACATAAGATGGCACAATTAATCAAAGTTTTCTACAGCTCTTGCTTAAATAATTTTAGACAGTTTCTAGTATAAGGCACACATAGGAGCATCACTATCCTGGCTGTGTAGTAAAAGCTGTGCTTTTGATTCTCAACATTTCAAACACCACTGTACAAAACTCAACTGATTTCACTCAAAATCGGTACTTTAGTGACAATTGATGACACCTACATAGCAGTAAAATACATTTTTTTTAACTTACTGATGTTAAAAAGAATAATTTAAAAATTCAAATTGTAAGTCTAGTGTCAAACTTTGCTTACAGCTGCATCGACATGGTTGTGTAGAGTCTATGCGATATTGTTTGGTGTGTATATTTGTGTATAGGTATAATAATACCTGCCTCACAGCAAGCATGCAGTGCTAGAGGTCAATACGCATTAGCATTGACTCTCTATGCTTTGCTGGAGTGGTATAAGGAAGACTAGATTTTTTTGGGAGGTAGTATTGAAACATTTTGAGGAACCTTGCAATTTAAAAATGATTGATCAAAATATCAGTAAGATTTGTTCAGTGCCAGAAGTGAATTAAATCTATTTAATAAAGTAGAAGAGCTAACACAGACAAATTAATGTTTGTTTTCTTGGCAGTAGTATCTGATTTCCAAGGCATGTATTTCACTATTTGGAGATGAACTGTCATGTTTTGTACTTATTAGTTCAAAGATGAAGAGTTCCATTGTTGTATTTGTGTGGAAATCATAGCCTTTTTCTGTTATTAACAAGATATCTCATTGACCTTAACAAGATAACCCATGATGCTAATACAAATGTGTATCTGATTAAATTTGGGTAAACTGGGGCAATGATTGCAAAGGCCAAAGTGGAAACGATCACTAAAGAAGCAAACATTCCTGAAGCCCACCGCACACTTCATGATAAGAAAACTAACAACCAGAATTTTATTGCAAATTGGCTTCTTATGGTAGACAATTCTGCTACTGGTATGATGTCACTATGATTCTGAGCTCATTTAGCTTTTCCTCTTCCAACAAAGCATGAAATCCCCCAAAATGTATATTTTTGAATCACATGACTACTCGGATCCTTGGTCATTAAGATTTCTCATGTTTAAATGTTCGTATCAAATGCTACTGCAAATCCTTCCAAAATCGGATCGTAGTCGGATCGAGTCATATGCGATGGGCTTTGTATGTCCCACTCAACCTTTTAGAATAAAACCATGTTTTCTTTCTCAGCGTCATGGGCATGGAGACAAGAACTACACAGATGCAGACAGGTCTCCCATCTTCCAGCAATTCATTGACTGTGTATGGCAGGTCACAAGACAGGTAAGAAATTAAAATAATGTTTTAAGTTCCACCATTTACCTCAATTACACCGCCAAGTTGACTCCACACCGACCGACTCTTCGCCATTCAGTGTAATGATTTACTTTGTTAGGTCTGTAGTCGGTCTCTTTGGTGTGACTGAGATAATAACCTGTAAAACCTAACTGTGATCCAGTTTCAGAAGAAAATAAAACATCAAAAGAAATAGGCCTTAAAACTTGTTATCTATTCCTTACTGGGGTTCCAAATGATCATTACAAAATTTCCAAATTAAAAGGGGTATAGTAAGCCTTCATGTTGGAAGAAAAAAAAAACATTCAGCTTCAAATCGAGGACAGACTCGAGACCAGTCTAATATCATTATGATTCCCAGGCAATCAGAGCCGCCTTTAACAAAACAGTTCCAAGTTCACCAACATCACATTGAAACATGTGTATTAAATTTAAAATATGTTTCAAGGGGATGTCAGCGAGCACGTACTTGTGATGGTTTCTGAAACATTGCCCAGATTCTTTTTCCTCCGACTGACAATAGTCTGCAATATAATTTTGATACATATATATTGTACCTTCTGCCTTGTAACTTCTGATTTGTGTGAGTTACCCCCTTCCCTTCCTGAAGAATATTATTTTGTAAATGAAAATTAAAAAATGTTAAACTTGTTCCAGTGACAAAAGTTTGTATAACGGTAGAAGCCTACAAGGATTCATTATGTTATTGATTTTTTCTTGCAGTTCCCTAATGCTTTTGAATTCAACGAACATTTCCTGATCACCATACTGGACCACCTGTACAGCTGTCTCTTTGGAACGTTCCTCTTTAACTGTGAGAGGGAAAGAGTTAAGGAGGTAGGTTGTCATTCCCTTAGGGTGTGTCTACACAGTTCATAGAATTTCAGGATGATCTGGAAATATCTGAGTTGAGGCATGAGAGCATCAGGGACCCGTTTCAAAAAGACTTTTTTCATTGACAAAGGACTAAAATCAGTGACAAATCTGCTGATGACCAATCAGAATCAAGGATTGCAGTAGCTTATAACAGAAACTGTAATTTGTCACTAATGACAAGTTTTGTGAAACGCCCCCCCTGGTCTCAACCAGGTTGATACTGAGGACTGGAAGGCTTGATGAAGGGCCATAAGGGAAGTTAAATGTTGAACTCCACAGCATGGGACAAATGGAAGATGATAGTGATGATTTTTGCCGAGAGTAACTGAAATGTCATTGAGCACTGGAGGAACCATTAGATAGAGAACGAATTGTGAAAAAAACAGAACCTACTTGCCTAGCCCCCCAGAGAGGCCAACCTGTACAATTTAATCGTATTTTGTACGATTTTTAGAAGTAAATAAGGCAGTATGATTTTCCTCAATAAAATATGATTTTCCAACAAAAAAAACTATGGCAAAATGCCCATTCTGTCCTGTAAATATCCTACAATCATCTCACATCGGCAATTTGGGGGTGTTGATTGGTTCATCGAACACACCTCTGTTATTTTCAGTCTAAATTTTTCCTGTATGTAGGAACTGCAAGAGGCATTGATACTTTTGTCAGTAAAATACAACTTTTTGGGATTAAAGAAGTTTTTTGATCTCCAGAGTTTGGCAGGTCTGCTAGCCCTGTGAGTGTCGCACACTACCTAGTGGATCATCCCTGAATGCTGTATCCTTTGCTTTGTTTTCCTTTCCTTTCCAGCAAGTGAAGACGAAGACCGTTTCCCTCTGGTCCTACATCAACAGCAGCATGGAAGAGTTCATCAACCCCATGTATGCCAGCTACATGCATCAACATGTGCTCTTCCCCGTGGCCAGCATGAGGAGGATTGAACTGTGGACTTCCTACTACATCAGATGGAACCCCAGGATGAAACCACAGGTATGACGTGATCAATGAAGACGAGTCTGTATGTGTGTGTGTGTGTGTGTGTGTTTGGATTGAACTGTGGACTTCCTACGACATCAGATGGAACCCACGGATGAAACCACAGGTCTGACGTGATCAATGAAGATGGGTCTGTGCAGGGAGGTGATAGAAAGGAGTGGAAACTCTTGTAATTTATTCAAACGCATGCCCGATTCCATTCCTTTCTATCACCTCTCAATCAGATATGATTATCTCCGTCTGGGGACCGACTTTTAACGTCACCATCCCAAAGACACGACTTGGTCTCGAACCGGGGTCCGCTGAATCAGTTTGTGGGCGAAGACAGAGAGCTGACCCTCCAACGGACAATTACTGCTAGACAAGTCCCAGAATTATGATGATAATGATGAAAATACCATCCTTTATTAAGTTTATCAATTAAAAAAATCATTTATTTACAGTTAGAATGGACAAAGCAACCTTAAATTGCTGTCAATATACAGGCTAAGGGTCAAGTATGAAGAAAATAAATGGATAACTTAAAATGGAACCCCAAAAGGATGCACAGAACCCAAGTTGAAGCTTGTATGGGCGCGTCAAATAGCCTAATTACATGCTGCGCAAAATTGAATTGAACTAAAACTTACAATATCTCTGCGTAGGAGTTTAAATATTGAAACTCCTATGTTATTACCGGTATGGTAAAGCGTCAAATAGAGCAAACTGTATTTGAGTGATAGGTAAACTATAACAAGTATGTCATTGACAGAAGTTTTAGGTGTAAAATAGGTGAAGAATGTGTCCACTTACATGCAAGACTGGTAATGTGGTATGTCAATAGTCAAGTTTGTATAGATAAGCTGTTGTTATGCTAGTCAGGCCTCAGTAGTCGATTGAATGACATAGCTGCAATCTAAAAGCATGAAATGAATAGAGTCTGGGTTAATGAGGATTGTTGATCATTGAACATACATGTATTAAAGCAGAGGCATATTGGAGACACAGTCACATTCACCTTGTTTTGTTAGGTAATATAGCAACAGGGATCCCCTAACATACAGAGCACAAATATTTTGGGGAGATTGGTACATTTTAAATTTAGTTCAAATTTACATAGTATAATCTTGAAAAATTGTTCATTCTTGACACAGAATTTTTTTGTTGCATATTAATTTCAGAAGATATTAAATTAATACATTTGTGTTGCTTTATTGTTCAAAGAATATATGTAGGTAAAAACTCTCTTGATCACATTCATCAACATGATAGTGGAAATAGTGATTTTGGTATAGACATTAGAAAGTACAGGTAATGTTAATGAAATTGGAACTGTGGCTTTGAATGAATGAATTCTGCTAATGATCAAGACTTCAATGAAATATATTTTGGTATTTCCCCAATGCCAGATCGCTTCATATGAATTTGTCTCCCCCACCCCCCTCCATACAGGAGCCAGTACACCAGAGGAACAAGGAGCTCCTGGAGCTGAGAACCCAGCTCCAGCGACAGGTGGAGGAGCTACAGAAGGAGATTGAGGCCAGGGATCTAGGGCTCCAGTCCACTCCAGGTGGAACGGCCTCGCCCCCAAAGATCACAAGTCCTGTCAATGCCTAAGGGTTAGGGTTGATCCAACACATGCTCCAGCAACATTTGCTCCTGGCTTAATTTTTCTAAGGTACAGTCAAACCTGCTTTAGTGACCACCTGTCTACAAAGACTACATTTGTTGTTTCCCTTGAAAATGGTTTCTCATTGAAACATGCTCTGAAGGAACCTGTCTACAAAGACCATTTTTTGTGTTTCCCTTGGGTGGTCGCTATAGACAGGTTTGACTGTATAGGGCTTCAGGGTAGTGATTGGGTTTAGTTTTGTTTCATGCTAAGGGTTAAGGATACATATAATGATGGGACCAGGGTTAAAATGAGAAATGCTTTTACTGTTAGAAATTGACCACTGAGCAATTGTGGCTAGAGCAACTGTCGTACAACCGGTTTCAACTTGTCCTCAAGAGATAAACTCTTTTCACAGTCTCTGTTCATGTATAAAAAAGCTATAGCCATACATCTTCTTGTTCAGATTATTTGTGTGTATCATTTGTACGATGTCTCAGGTTTTACCTTCAGAATATATTTAAGTCCTTTAGGAAACAGAAAGCTGTTACGAAAACCTGTTGTTCAATTGAAAAGAATATGTGCTACAGTAAATAGTGAAGGTTGTACATGAGAAGTCAAACGAAACCAATGTTTCATTTCATAAGCCTTTACTGGTTTGTGTATTGTTCCATTGAAGTAGATGTTTGGGCAAACCTGGGAGTTTGTGTTTGAAATTGGAACTCTTGCGTCTTGGATCAGCTTCAATATTAAGCAGGTTTGAAGATGTACCTCTCGATGGAAACAGAGAGTCGATCATTATCAAAGGTGAGGAAAGGGGTTTATCCAAAATGCTACCCCAATTTTCTATCTTATGAGGCAAAGCAAGCAAATTGCAAACTTGTACATAAACTTTTCCATATTTCATTATGCTACAGCAAAATTGTGCATGTGTGCAAACTAGCGTCTTAGGTTCTTTTTGTCACTATCTTGCAATATGTGCGAGACTTTTAAGATTTCTACTTTTAATTTTGTCATATATGTCATATCCAAGCTTTGTGATGTAAATGATTAATGCCTTTATAGAAAAAAATACAAACATAGTTATTTGGAGATTCACTTATTGTGGAAAGACAATTTATATCTGTAATAGATGTTGTTTAATTGGAGTTTGAGGTATCAACTAACGGTATCTAATACCATACTGTATACATCTTCCATTATGTATAGTTATTGCTAAGCCAGACATACCCTAGCAGTGCCCTAGTTGCACCCAGAGGTTCTTAATCTTTGCACCAACGATGACATTATCTGTCCGATCATGTTGATGTGTCCATGTAGGTCCCTTCTTTGTATTAGATGTGCAGTATTTTAATCATAGACCGAGAAGAAAATTTAGGTCCATAGAATTCTTTGAGCTTGATCTCTATCAAAAGTGTTACCTCTAATTTTCGCCGACTACGGAACTTAGTTTCTTTCAGAACCTCAATCTTCTAGTTCATCTACTGTTTAAGCAAGGAATTATGTTCCCTTTTTTTAGCATTTTGGGCATCAAATTAATTGCACTTATTGATAGTTATTTCAGAGAATTTGTGCTTGTAATGATATTAGTGAGTATGATTTATATTCATGTATCCAAATTAATGTAAAAGTATTTATTTATCTGTGACTTTGTATACATGCATGTTCATGATGAACTCTTTTTGTTACATATATATACTTCAACATTTTGTATTTCCTTTTTTTTCATGTAACAACACATATGTAGAATGTTGGGTTCTTAACTTATGATAAAAGCAGTAAATCAGTTGAAGGTGATTGTACATATGCACCTTGTTAATGTTATGTGCAATATAAATTAACTCTTCTTTACGCTTTTAGACCCCAAAGCAGACCGCAAAGGACCTTGTACCATTCATATACAGTGCGACCCAGAAAAAAATGAAACCGAGAATTATAGATGAGTTATCATAACTTAATCACAATTTTGATTAATGAATTACGCATGAGTGATTAAAAACAATTTGAAGAAAGGGTACCATCATTTTCTGCCCATTCATAAGACTCCTAAATGGTGGAAAAAGAGCCAGGAATATTTCCGTTTGCTTGAATTTTCATAACTTCGTGTATGGCTGATCGTCACCGAAACAGAGTTTGTTGCTAATTTGTTATTCCTGGCTCATTTTCTCTGATTGAGAAGTCGTATGAAAGGGCAGAAAATGAACTTTCTCGAAATGCCTTTTTGATACCCTTTCTTTAAAATGTTTTTAATCGTGAATGGATGTATTTTTTTTACTATGAATGGTAAAAGGGTGTAAGAGACAGAAATACTAAAACAAGGAATTTCAATAAGAATTCTTTATTATCAAGGTATTAATGTACATCAAACGCCCTTCAACTTTCCAGCTCGAGAATGGCATAGCGTATTGCTAAATGAGTGGAGAGTGCAATCCCTGGCAATACACCAGTTTACGGTTATGGGTGCCATCCTGGTTTACGCGTAAACTGACTCTAGAGGTCGGGGGTTTGTTTACCCTCAAGTTAAAATGGCGCGAGCAAATCATTTGTGTACGATTACAAATTCATGTTGACTTTTGTATACACCATATCATAAAATAAATTATTTTTTAATTACTTTTGTTCTACCTGCTAAGCTCCACCCCAAAAAAACCCTCCAAAAGCAAATGACTTTTGTCGGCTAGATGAACAAAAGACCTTATTGCACGTTTTCATACAATAGCTGATTGAAACCCTTTTCTTCATGTTGTTGCTTGGCACTATGTTTGAGGCAGTTGATGGGAAGGGACATACAAATTTCTTTTGTTCATCTAGCTGACTGGCATGATGTCACAAAAGTCATTTGCTTTTGGAGGTTTTTTTTTTACGGGTAGAGCTTAGCAGATAGAACAAAAATGACATTAAAGATCAACATGAATTTTTGAATGGAACAATTCATATTGCTGCACTTCACAGTAATTAACTTTGATTATACACATGTACTTATTACAATAAAACATGGTTCAAATAATTAAATACATGATTACATTTAACTCTTATCATTACAGAATTAATACATCTTTGGTCCGATGCTTTTCAAATTAAAAATGGATATGATTTCATCTCAAACTTCAAGCACTGCATGTCTCGTGTCTGTAAATGTGTAAATTCTAATGAATGTGAAACATTTGTACATTTGTAGAATAGAACACTTCATGATCCAACAATAAAATGCTACGATGGAATTGGAATATCACTGTCTAATATCTAGTATTTCATTGCCTTATATGGATGTGTCAATAAGCCACTTGTACAAATGGCCCCCATGAATATTGCCCTCTTGAAAAGAATACTTCCACCTGCGTATACATAATGAATGATTACATAAATGCAGACCAGCAGTCATCTCAATGGGTTGTACAAGTGTCTGCCCAGTGTCACTGGAATGGCTTATTATTGGGGTTGTGTGTCCCAGTTTGATACCAAAATCAAATTCTACCAAGTACCAACATATACATTCTATATGAAATTGACAGTTCATGAAGATCTAATTAAAGTATATATACATTAAATGAATGTTTATAAAAGATAAAATTGAGTTCTGGTCATGCGATTGCATCATGAAAGAAACTGGAGTGTGGAGGTAATTACTCGTCTTATTTCAAATATGAGGACATATTTCAGTAGACATTTTTTTTTTTAATGTAAGGAAGGTAGCTCACATCTTTTTTTCCCCAGAACTCAACCTTCTCTTGAAACACATGCCAACCTGATTATTCAATTTCATGAAGGGGGGGGGGGCCATAACTATTATCTCTCCAAAGAAAATACACCACAAATATCAATTTTAGCACTTTGAGTTGTCACTTTGAACTGGTGGATTGAGGAATGCATAGACAAGAACTGCATTGACATTAAAAAATGGCACAAAATAGACATATTTCTCAATTCTTCGCAGCATATTATGTACATGGATATTCAATAATTAATTTTCAAAAAATTAACAAAATCTGTTTCTTCATAATCAGAAGTCATTTAGTAAATCACATATTTCAGTTTAATTCATAGTAGGAGCAATAATTTATAGGCCTCTTTTTTTTTAAATCTCAAAATAGTGTACATATCTAGCCAGAAACATTTGCCAGTAGTAAATCAAATTCCACATTGATAAATGATAAGATTTGAAACTAACATTGTGATTCTGGCAGGGCACTTTCATTACATATAAATTTATCTTTCATGTGTAGTACAAGATCTCATACCAATGTTACATGGACATCGCCATAATTTTTGCCCCAACTTAAAGGTATGACCCAGAAGTACTTCGCAGCCTTTGGTAGTGCCTGTTCTGTCGGGTTAAAGGTGAAGTTTGAGTTTCAGATTATAAATTCAGTCTGGCCATGACCATCCGTTTCACGTCGACACCAGCGTAGGTAACGAGAGCGAAGTGGGCTATACCGCCTACAGACATTGCCATGAGGAGCTTCAAGGCATTTACGCAGACACCAAAACCAAAGAGTCTGTTCGGAGAAAGTACAGAAAACATAGACATGATGGGCTACACGCTTGATATCAATAGCTCAGTATATGTACATATAAAATCATTTAACAACCTTTAACAATTTTCAATATTTATTGACTGTTTAAAAAAAAAATGATAATCACTATCTACAAAACAAAGAAGTAAAATGGGCAAAAAAGATTTATATGAGCCTTTTTTGGTGGGGGTGGGGGTGGGGGGGGGTTTATTGTAGTAATTTTTTCTTGATTTTGGGGGTAACTGTCAATAATTTAATTTCATAATCGGGAGCTGATGCTTGTTCAAGATACAAACAAAATATTTCAATTTTTGAAAATGTGACTGCATCTCCTATATGCCTCCACCATAAATTCAGTATAGGAAATGTATATGAAATGGATAGAATCATTTGTGACATATCACAATAAAAGCCTACTGTATCTATTATGGTTCTTAAGATATGGCAATAGCAAGGCTAAAATCTGAAATTTCAGTAATTGACCTCTGTGACCTTTGAACCCCAAAATCTGATTAGATCATCTTCCTATGGTGATACATACAGAACATACTATCACCAAGTTTGAGCTTTGTTTCTCTAGTGGTTCTTAAGATATCGCTATAATGTTGACCTAATACTCCAAAATCTGATCAGATTGTCTTCCTATGGTGATATATGTACATGCTATCATCAAGTCTGAAGCTCAAGTCTGAAGGTTCTTGAGATATCGAGTTCGGCCAAATAACAAAACAAACATGTTTAGCGACCTGCCTTTTAGAAAAATAGGGAGGAGACCCTTTTTTTCTTCTTCAAAATGGCCGCTCAAAATCATTTAGCAATCATTTTAGCAGTGTTTTTCCTGTTTTTTTCCTTTAAAAAAGAAAAAAGGAGGCGGCCCCCAAAAGGAAGCGGGCAGGGACGCTAAACATGATTTTTGTTTTTTGGCATCACTTTCTGTAGGAGGAGGCATAAAAATGACCATGTAGTTGGTATCATCTGTGCTGGATAGGGGAAATGCAAACAGTATAACAGATTGGGATATGCTGTGCTGTGCACTACTGTACCAGTATCGTCTACAAACAATGATGTTGGATCTTAGATATACCGATCACCCCAAAATGCTCTGTGTGTTAGAGATTTCATGTCCCTACAGTACTGGTACACTATAATCAAAATACAATCTTCATATATTACAAGTTCAAATACACTTTCAATTAAAATCAACATGACTTGTGTGCCCGCACACAACCCAAGTCCACCTTGGGCGGTATTTTATGTTATTCATTATTTTCTTCATCCTCCCTGTTCTAGTTGTATGCAAATCATATTTTGTAGGTGATCGGTACACATTAATATCCATTTTACCTATTTGAGGGACAAACACCGTACCCGCATCTACGGAACAAACATTTCTGAAGGGAACTTACCTTCCTTTGACCTCCTTGACATATCCCTTGAAGTACTGGCTACGGCCATACAGGTACACCAGTCCAACAAGGGCTGCTGGGACTGGAAAGAAAAAGTCACCATGCAGGACAACAAAATAATTTTAACCCATTGAACATTTGAACTGATCAGTTTCAAGATATACATGTACAGGTTTGTGATATTATTTCTGGCCAATTCTGTTGTCCAATGTGCTTCTAATGACATATGACATTTATCCATACATTCTATTCATGAATGAAAATCTCTTGACATGATGATTAATAGTTGGGATACCAGAAAGCACTTTTATTCAGCCGTCATTTTTGGATGAAATATGAAGGAAAAAACGATGTCGTACAGCATACATTGCACCAAACTCAACTGTCCTCATGTGTAAACTGTGCTAAACAATTCATTAAAAGCAGGATTACAACGAAAAACAAGTATACATCAGAACAAGTTACCTATAAGCAAGGAAGTTAACCACATTTTCACATACTATATAATTAGGTGTTTTTGCAAATTTAATGAGCTATGACCTTTCACCTTTGACCTACATACTCGGAAATTGAACTTAGGCTGTGTTTTGATACCATGTACCGTCATATCAAATTTCATAACAATTTGTCAAACATTACTCAAGTTATCGAATGGAAACCAGATTTGCATATTTAATGAGCTATGACCTTTGACCTACATAGTCCAAAATCGAACCTAGCCTGTATTTGGATATCATGTACCTTCATATCAAATTTCATTAAAATCCGTCAAACATTACTGAAGTTATCAATCGGAAACCAAATTTGTTACGGACGCACGCACTGACGGACGAGCTATGACCTTTGACCTACGTACTCCAAAATCGACCTTAGCCTGTATTTTGATATCATTTACATTCATATCAAATTTCATTAAAATCTGTCAAATATTACTAAAGTTATCGATCGGAAACTAAATTACGCACGCACGCACGGCAGCGTTTCTATATTCCCTCCGACTTCGTCAGCGAGGCGTCGGCGAGGGGATAATTAAGGAAATACGAATTTTCAATGTCATACTGCTACACACACACACAGGTAACTGATGGGTTGTCATTTAGTTTTCTTTTACCAAATGGTGACTTTCAGACAATCTTATGTTTTGAGCTAGAATGACGTGAATTCATGTATTTAAACATAGACTTTACGCCCTTTTGGCTCCTATAGGGACGATACAACATGAACTTGTCATATTCTTTATTGTAAATGTCAGAATCTCCGCAGATGTAATTTTGGCGGACAGTGGGATTGATAGTAGTCAGACACAGTTCAACTAAACTCAAACTCCATGTATTGGACCATGCAGAACTATCTACAGTATAATAATTCAAGGCGTAAAATTGACATGCTACATTGTAGCTCTTGCCAAGGATGGATGTGCTTCAAATGCCTACCATATACTAAGACTGAGAAAAAAATGCTTTGCAAACCTGAAATCCAGTGGAAGGCAAAGCTCTCGAGTTATTAACAACTAACTTCAAAAGTCTATCGTAGGAAATGGAAAAGAAAGCAGACAATGAAGTGGTTGAATCACTTCATAAGGGAGAATTACCCCTAGACTGAAAATCAGCTAATGTTACACCCATTTTCAAAAAAGGAAACAAGCAAGAAAGCAGAAACTATAGAGACCAGTGAGTCTCACATGTGTTGTGTGCAAGATATTTGAATGCATGATGAGAAAGCACTTCATCAAACACCTGTCAACAAATGAGATGTTATCTGCACACCAACATGGCTTCGTTGCTGGTCGCTCCTGTACCACTCATCTGTTGGAAGTACTCAACGACTGAACACATACCTTAGAAGAGGGAAGTAATGTTGATGCAATTTACATGGACTTTATGAAAGCTTTTGATTCAGTACCCCATAATCCATTACTGCAGAAAGTTGAAGCCTTTGGCATCCATGTTCAGACACTGGGATGGCTTGAAGCATTCTTAGTTGGAAGGAGACAGCGTTAGTGAAGGGTCAACGGTTCGAATGGTCATCAGTGCTGAGTGGAATTCCGCAAGGGAGTTTACTCAGGCCGCTGTTATTCCTGATCTACATAAATGACCTTCCTGATGTCATAGAGTCCAGAATTAAGCTTTTGGCAGATGACACAAAACTGTATACCAGATGTGATACCTACAAAGATTCCCAGAAATTGCATGATAATCTGATGAAGATGCAGGAACGGTCAGATATATGGCAGCTTAGATTCCACCCAGAAAAGTGTATTGTGTTGAAAATTGTAAGTCTCCCTCAAGTTATGAATATTGCATGAAGAATTGGCAATGAAACTACAATCCTGAAAGAATCGAAAGTGGAAAGGGATCTTGGTGTGCTTGTCGATTCTAAGCTTACTTTTAAATACCACATCTCCCATGCTGTATCCAAGTCCAACAGGCCACTGGGGGTAATACGAAGATCGTTCACAAACATCGACAAGGACACTTTCAAATTCTTGTACACATACAGGCCTTGTAAGGTCTGTCTTGGAGTACAAACAAGCTGTATGGTCACCATACAGGATAGGTGAACAGAGGAGACTTGAAAGCATCCAACAAAGAGCTACAAAGATGGTACCCATTTTGAAGAATCAACCATACAAAACACGTCTGAGATACCTGAAGCTACCGTCTCTTGCCCATCGCAGGAAGAGAGGAGATATGATCGATGTTTACAAGTACCTCCATGGCCTATACACCACTCGGACAGACCTACTGCATTTATGCAAGGAAGACGGAACACAAGGCCTTACACTCAAACTAGAGACAAAATTTGCATACCTTGACATCAGACTCAGTAGTGGACACATGGAATAACCTATCTCAAGAAGTGGTTAATGCTCCATCCGTAAATTCCTCCCAAACAAACTGGATAATTATTGGAAAAAAATCACCTTCATTATATGACCCTAAAAGTAACTACAAGTAGAGTGCAGAACTATTCCACCCTCCACACACACACACCTAGACACGAAGTCACAACAAACTGAAATATTGATGTAAAGGAACTCAATCGATCGATGAACAGGCTGTCCTATCAACATTGATGGATTAAAGTAAAGTAAGTTGATGTATTTAGTTTGCTATTCACAAAAGTTGCAGGATTACGCTCAGTAGACACATCTGCAGTGTAGGCTTACAAATGCATTTTGTGCAAACACACATAAATTGCTTTTTATTTCAATGTCGAAGAGACAACCCCTCACACTGAATAATAACCTAGGCTTCTATAGCGCATTTCGTCTTCAGAAAAAATAAAATAAAATGAACTAAAGGAATACCAAAATAAGGACAAGACTAATCATAATCAATTATTATCAACACCAGTACAGTACCACCACAAAAATACTTTTTTGAGAAATGTTTTGTTTAATTATATTATTCCTTCATATTCATATAAACATTATTACTTGATACCAAACTTAAAAGTCCATTAACCAATCTTCAATTTCATGAAGAGAAAGAAAACTCCTCTGTGCCTTTATATCGGTCCAAAACAAAATTTGTGCCGTTTAAAATGTTTATGACACACGCTCAAAAGAATTATATTTTACTAATCTTACCTGGATGACAGAAGAGGGCAGCAGACCATAAGAGGGGGTAGAAGATGGGTGCAAACTCTATTGTATTCTGTCTGTTGGTGAAACATGAGAGAATGGAATGACGGGTTGAATGAACCAGGGGCAGATCCAGGATTTTGTTAGAAGAGGGGACACCAATATTCTGACAATCACAAAAAGAGGTCATCACATAAAAAAGTGTGTGGGGAAGCGTAATCTTTGAGTTTTGTACTTTAGGTATGCCACTTGGGTTATATATAGGGGGGTTGGGGGAGTAGGGTAGGGGCCAAATGTTTTCTCCCTCCTCAAAAAATACAAAAATCCAAGTGGACTGTACATATCATATGCTGAGGGCCAGAGGGCTTTAACACCGCTAATGATTTGACACTGCTGATGATTTAACACCGCTAATGATTTAGCACCGCCAATGATTTAACACCACTAATGATTTAACACTGCTTATGATTTAACACCGCTAATAATTTAACACTACTGATGATAAACACTGCTAATAATTTAACACTACTAATGATTTAAACACTGCTGATGATTAAACACCCTTCCAACAGTTGGCAGACAAATCACTCCTTACATTGATCCATGTAGAATCTCATTGTAGTCTGGACAGTCAAAATACAGAATTTCAGGTGGTTAAAGTAATTGCAAAAATGTATTCAACCGCAGTGTCCTCGGAACGGACGGAAAGCAGGAAAGACGGTGAACCCGGAAAAATAATTAGGTGGGCGGAGGCATTAGACGATCTATTCATTTTCATCTGAATTTCTTATTAATCATTTTATTCCTATCATTTTTTTAAAAGAATAACATTATAAGTGAAAAGTCTATATAACTAAAATAGGAGCTTTATTTATTCAATTCAATTATTTCAAGACATTTCGACCTTTGTTCATCCCGTGTGCTTCATAAAAACACAACGTCTACAATAATGTATTTATAAGTGAAAAGTTTGTAGAACTAAAGAAGGTGCTTGATTTAATCAGTGCAAACATTTCCAGACATTTCAATCTTTGACCCTCCTTTGCGCCTCAAAAATACACAAGGTCAACAGAAAGAAGTGAAAATCTATATTCAAGATATGAACTCCAAATATATACTGCAAGCTGAAGTACACTCAATCAATATGAAAGTGAATTGTGAGTAGGCTAATTGACATCCCTGTGCTTGAAGAAAGGCATGTACACAGTCCAACTTTGGTTCGGTGCACAATAACCCTTTATAGCCCAAAGATCGGTAGGTAGTGTTTAAATAGATTTTGATACATTCTAGCTTTACAAAAAAAAAAGTGATAGTAATTTTCTTACTGTGCTCTGAAGTATCGCATGAACCTCTCATCTCCTGTGATGGCTGGGTATGGGACGTCAAACTTTCTCCTTGCTTGGCCAGTTTGACGAGCAAATGATGCTGTAAACAAAAGTGTAGTGATAGGAATACCGAAATTCGAATACCGGGTATTACTAAACAGGAGGGAGAAATATATCGGTACATCAAACCTGTTCCATGTCACACCTATATATACAAGACCACCTGTATAAAAGATCACAATATTTATTCTTCTTCATGAAATGATACTTCTCATTGAAGCATTGTGAAGTTAATGTACATGTGTATAAAGTCTTATTTAGATCATGTCAATGTTTTGCTTTAGTAAACCAACTTCAGGCCAAACTATTTACTGACGTCCATTGTGACGTCACATAGCAAATCCCAAATTCATCAAATTAATATACTAATATCAGAAGTTTGCTATATATTTTACCAAAGCCAAAAAATGATTGAAATACTTGTACTGGCCCAGAACTCAAGAAGACCTCTGGTGCTATAAAATAGTTTTACTCACTTAATTGAAATGCATGCATTAAGGACACACCGGCTGGTAGAATCACGCTTTCTAACAGAATAGGTGCCATCTTGGTTCAGTATTCAGGTCCCTGAATCGTGGAGGATCCTTAGAGGAAAATAGATAAATTGAACATTTAAAATCAGGACCACAATTTAGGATCAAGTTCAAATTCTATTAAAAATATAAAAGAGTTTGAAATCCCTAACTTACACGTTATAGGAAGAAACTGCATCATATTTGGCTGTTCTGTAGACAATCTCATACATGAGTGAGTGGCAGAGAACCATTCAATAGATGGGCAGGGTTGGTACAGAAAAGTTGAAAGTTGTAAAAACATGGTGCTCTCAAGAGGACCTACAAGACAGGTAATGAAGTTAGATAGCATGGACTGGAAGCACAGTGATTGGCTGGTGACCAAAACAAACCATGGTAACCAAGAATTTCTAAGCCAGAAGAGGAATGTTGTCAACAATAGGAGACTTCCATGAGATGCAAAAGTGAAAGAGGCAAGAAATCAGACTATCAAATGAGCCAGGCATTGTGAAAATATGGACAATGTTTGTAAGTCATTGTAAAGGAATAGAATAAAATTGGCAGGTGGAAGAGTTGAAAAGAAAGTCATTACACCCGCACCCCCCCCCCCCCCTCTCAACCGTGTATTTCTTTCCCTATCTTTCTTTATCTCTCTGCCTCCTCTCCGGGTTGGTTCTTCATTTTCCCCTCCCCCCCCCCCCCCCCTCTCTCTCTCTTTCTCTCTTCCTCTCTTTCTCTCTTCATCTCTCTCTCTCTATCTATGTTTATCTATGTGTAAGAGTTGAAAAGGTAATCACTACGCCTCTCTACCCCCCTCCCCTCTCTCTCTCTCTCTCTCTTTCTCACTCAGTCACTTATTTCTTTCTCTATCTCTCTCTCCCTCTCCACGTTGTTCCTCCATTCCCCCTCTCTCTTTCTCCTTATTTTCGTTCATCTCTCTCTCCATGTAGTTTTCTCTATCTCCCCAGTCGCTCACTCTCTTCCTCTCTCTCTTTCTCACTCCTTGCTGTCTCCTTTCCTATTTTGTCTATCTGTGTATTTCTTCCTATACTACTCACTGTCTAATTCTTTCTTTCTCTTTTATGACAAATCAAATGCATCGTTAAAGGCACTGAATAGTCAAGGAATAGTGAATAGTTTAATGCAAACGCCAATCTTATTTTATTTATAAGGCTATTTTATCTCTTTGACACATGGTAAGTAGACCCTAGGACCTTTATTCTAAAGTATGCAGATATTTATGTGATTCCCCAAACGGCAAGTAGGTCTAGAGTCTACAGACTAAATTTCTCAAGCAACATTGTATTTCAAGATTTCAACATACATTGCAACATATACATCGCAATGGGATCTCCAGCTCCATGAATTTGTAACTTACTTAGATCTATCAAGGTTTCGTGCCCTGGTAAAACCATCTCATCTGTAAATAAAATGATTTTTCATTTTCCACAAAATCTCCATTTTCTTTGGACTTTGCCTGTCCGAAACTCCAAATATTGTATCATAACACATTTTTCATTCTACCCACTCGTCCGTCTGGTCGTAACAGGATATACTTCAATAAAATAACTCTTCTTTCCAACAAAAACAACACAACAGTTCAGCTCAGCTCTGAATTGTCTCATTCAGAATACAGACCATCGAGCAGCCGACGAGCAGCCGACTGCTCAGAGCCACCCCGCTGGTGGCGGCGAGTACTGCAGTCACCAACACGCACACCCATTGTTATTTTATACCCAACTCCACACTGTTAAATGTTTTGGGTCATAGTTTTGCTTGTATAGCAATGTTTCTTCACTCTAATTAACACTCCTAATAGGGCCTAAATACCCTATGTATATTACTTATCATAACTAATGCATAAAAAGTGTCAGCCTACTGTGAGAATCGAAGGAGAGTTGAATTCCAGTGTTGAGTTCTAAAGGTACCTCCTCCGTTTATCGCCACAGTCGTATATAGCAGCAGCGCATGCGCTCGAAGCATACAATTTCCCAGGGCCAGCAACAGGTATACCTGGGAAGAAAGGGGCGGGTACCCTGGGTCCATAGTGGGGGAGGGGGTTATTGTTCATGGGCAGAACATGTTTTTCTGATGTATTTACATACATGTAGTTGGAGAAGCCCAATGCAGTAGGACCCCATTTTGTTTCTTCGATTATACCAGTGGTAACAATTATTAATGATTAAACAAATTGCAAGTGAGAACAATTAAGTAGGTCTAGAGGTTTGGTAAAATATGATTCACCCAATAAATACACTGTTGGTCATAATGGTGGAATATTTATTTTTACCCCAGTTTACGGAAGGATTTTTAAAACTACATGAAAAAATCTTCTGTAGGGCCACGCATTATGGTTCAAGTCATGGCCACACAGAGAAATTTCCTGTTGAGGGCCGGGGGAAAATGCAATGAATTTTTGACAATTTATTGCATTTTCTTCGTTTTGGGGGATTTGTGGGGCGGCCGCGTACCCTAGCAAACACTGCGCACAGTCATGATTCAGGGGCCTCGTTACTGTGAGGCCCCAGTATAAAAATCGTGTCGATCAGCTATATTAGTGCCCTTTTGTGAGCATTAATCCTCATTACTGTCAATTATGATTTAAGGACGTAGGTTCCCTAGCTGATTAGCATAGTAGCACACATATGATTTAACAGTCACGCAAAACAAACACTCGCAAATTAATATTCAATAAAATCTGAGAATGTATGCCATTATCTAGATCTATTAGAAATAAATAAATTTTTTAAATCTTTCCCTAAACTGGGGTAAAAAAAATTATTCCACCATTATGACCAACAGTGTACAATAAATACAATGTTCCCCTTTATGAATTGCTGTCATTTTATTATCTTTCTCCAGTCTCATATATATATATATATATATATTCATAAAGTTTATTTTTAATCATTCCTGTTCTTTCTATCCCCCTTTCCGATATTCTCCCTCTTTCTTTTTCTACTTTCTCATTTCTCTCTCCCGCTCTCTCTCTCTCTCTTTCTCTCTCTCTCTCTTCCCCTTTTCTGAACAATATAAATATTAATCAAACGTTACACTTACAGTTACACTTTTACTGTTTAAAAGCTTTACCTTCATATTTGAAAAAAAATATATTCCAAGAATTTTGAAAGGTAAGATGCCAGACCAAATAACAAAGGTGAGAATGTCAGAGATCAAAATTTGATAACAGAATTATGTTGACATTGCTGTTGTTTTTCCAGAATAAGTATTTTAATGAATATCATCGATAAGAATAACAAAACTGATTGTCAATCTGATAAAGTCAAGCCCATCACACATAGAAAGATGTGAAAATATATATACCAGTTATCCAATAAAAGTACATCATATCAATTAGATTATCAGCAAGATGAATTCAGCTGTATATACGATCCTGCGAATTATTCTAGGACTCTCCGAAATTATTCTTCATCTTAAAGGTAATTTTTAATTTCTTTAGAATACAGAGACTCAAATTCATGGGCTGTCAGTAAAAGAGAAAATCGAGTGAGAATCCCCCCAAGTCAATTTTTGTGGTTGATTTTACAATCTGTTTCATAATGCGCCTTTTATTTTTCAAAAAAGAAAAAAAAGATAACATCACATTTTATTCGAAATAAACCATGATTGTTTTAAAGGCACACTGTCCTACTTGTAGCTACTTGCTCCCTCTATATAGAAAACTTCCCAAATCAGTGCCTGTTGGTCCCCCATGATCCTCTTTTTCTTATGTTAAATGAGAGCTGAGTTAATGAGATAGCCACCTGTCACAGTGACCTCGATGGCTCTCTGGGTGGTCTAATCCCTTCTAGCTGCAGTAGTAAAGCCTTCTTTTAAAGCACTTTCCCAATTTTTGAATGACACTTTCAAATTACGTTTTTTTGAAGAATATTTTTTTTTTAGTTTTTTTTCTTTTCAATTATATATGGACATTAGTGGTTGCATGGTAATCGGGGTACATACTATCAGACGTAATATGCTTTTCATAATTATGGTAGGGCAGTATGATTTAGCATTTACGTACAATTAAGAATGAGATTATGAAGTGACTTGAACGCCACCGTCAGCCTCTCTTGTTATTCATAGTTCTAAAAAGTACCGAAAATAATTTGAAAGATGTGGATAAAACACATAAAATCAGGCACACAACGTTATGATTCCTATAGCAACAGTTTGAGTTTGTCGCTATTGATGTGACAATGTTTAAAAATATACATTATAAACTATAAACATGTTAACGAATACTCTGGACAATTTTTGAATAAAATTTAATTTACAACTCCGAGTACTTTAAAAACAGGTTGAATATCAACTCCATAAATCTCCCTTACATCTCCCTTACATCACATAAATAGCAAAAGATTGTTTGCATTTCATAAAATTGACGAATCATTTTACAATTATTTAAAGAACTACGAATGATAAAAAATCTCTGAAAGCACCAATGACTTTTTAGAAGCTATGATCCAGCTGCCTTATACTGTCTTGTTCACATTCTATCACTTTATCTTCATTCAAAGTCAAAAAGAAAAAATACTGTAAAAAGCTATGTCAATTTCATAAACACATCTGATTATATATAAAACCACATCCCATAAATTGTGTGCATTCTTAAACGTAATATACATATTGTTAACGATTACAATAGTACTTCAAATTCGATTTAGATTTCTATATCCGTTTTATTTTTTAACATTAAGGCTGATAATTTGAGCATATTCGTACCCTGTTTTGATTACTTAAGAAAATACAATAAAGTAGATGAAGAAAAAAATATAATTTTTGATTATACATATACAAATAGTGGAAACACTTCTCTTATCTCCGTTAAAACACGAAAGCTTAATGTGAAAGACTGTGTTAATATAACTGTATAACATGAAACATTAAATGGTGGGGTGCAATATGCAAACAATTTCTCCTATTTCTCATACGACATTCGTCTTTCTGAGAGAAGTAATATGAGCATAAAAACCATCCAAACAAATAATGAAAATACGAGTTAAATTAGAAAATGAAGGATGAGCTACACTTATAATGCTATTTCAGGAGATTGTACCAGTAGCGGATCAACGGGGGAGGGAGGGGGCATGTGCTCCCAGCAAAACCCGATCTGGCATACTATACACATCAAGTTAACAAAAAATAACCCATACGTGATCTGGAAAGCAATAATTAGACCGAAAACGATTATGATTGCATGTTTTGGTAAGATAATTTGTAAATAAAAGCACATAAACTGTGATGACACGTGACGCATGTCTCTGCTAAAACCGAATGTGGTATGAGTGCAGATAATCAGACCTAAAAGGGCTCTAGAAAGAAAAAAATCAGGTTTCCTTTTGTCATCGGAGAATTTCGAGGTAAAATTAGCTAAAATATGGACCCCCATTTTAGCTTGTCTGCATTTTTCAAAAATTTTCGTACTTGTTAATCCCCCCCCCCCCCCCCTCCGCCAGTCAGATAATCCTTTACACTAGACCCTTCACTGCATACAAATGGTAATAGTTAGTAAGTCGATCAGACAGGTATACCTATGGCGAAAAATATATTTGGCACAGAAAACGAGAGAGAGGGTTAACGTAAGAGAGTTGGTGATGAGAAAGAGAATGAAAAAGAAAGTTTGATATATATATAAAAAAAAAAGAAATATAACGAATGTTGAATTTAGCTGCTTATTTTTAACCGAACAAAATCATTCTCAACTCACAAAGAAGTATCGACGAAGAAAATGCACAGATTTTGACGAGAAGTACACATAAAAAAACATTCCAAAAACAATGCAGCTTTCAAATCGAATGAAAGACGCATAAAGAAGTACTTATGGTATATATACTAGAAAATCTTTTTCCACTATAAAAATATATACAGATTGTTAATCTATATTTCAACAACAAAAATGTTATACATGAAATAGATTCTACCACACACCATGAATACAACAGTTCCTTGTCGAGCCTCATAACAGATTGGCGAGCTTCATAACAGATTGAAAAGCGGTTTTCCTTATAATTAGTCTACAATAGCCTACAATAATATTTTGTCGACACATTTACATTTACTTGGTATAGTAATCAGCAATACTGTAGAACATTACTGTTTGGGATTTTATATGACCAACGACACAATTAAAAAAGATAAGATTATGAAAATGGAACAGGCTCTTTGAAATATATTCATCATTAAAGATTTACGATTTGGGGAAATAAACAGCGGGATATTTGGTTATATTAAATGTGGTTTCAGAACCATTACACGATCGCAAAGAATTTCAAGCAAGCTACTCTAGGGCCATTTCAACATCCTACTGCATTGCCTACAAAGAATATGTGCGGATTATGTAGGAGGTGACTGCCATGCCCATCGCACACGCTGCGTCATTTCTATTGCGTTATAATTAGCTACTCTAAACAGTCCTGATAAGTGAATTAGCGCATAATTATGTACGTTAATTACGCAACGAAATGTTTGCAGTATGAATTTTGCATTCACTTTTTGTGCGATGTGACGCTCATATTGAGCGTCAAAAACTACATCAGTACTGCTGCTGACGCAGCGGTACGTCAATAAAACGACGCCTCCTATATACATAGCGGGCATGGAACACATTTCAATATAGGCAATACGCTAGAGGCAACTGAAATCGCCACAGAATGGGTTTCTGAAAAGCCTTTGTGCTTATTGTTTTTCTAAGAACAACCTTAAGCAACTGTATTGTAATCAGGAGGAGGAGTTCCATTCGAAGCGGTATCAGCCTCCCGTCCCTCTTCGGTCGGGGTGTATTTGCCGGAGATGAAGGATACTCCATTTGACGAAGTGTATGCCGCAGCGTCGTCAGCCTCCGTAGCATACTCTCCCGTGTAGCCAACTGGTATACGCCCGCCGCGACCAGGAGGGAAAGGCTTGTAGCCGTGATCAATACGGTCAACGTTCGATGCAGGACCCCAGTCCCATGTAGGTTTCATCAAGAACGATACACGCTGAGGATGGAGAGAAAGAAGAAAGACAAAATGAAATATATTAATTATTCAGCATTAATTGAATAAATACTGCATTGGTCTACGATTACTTTTAATCATATTGCAGTCAACCAATGTTCCAATAATGTTGTTAGACATTGATCCTAGGACAACAACCCCAGGACAATAATTATTCCCGGATATTCCTGGACAACCACCTCTTTCAATCAATAACTCTCTAGTCTTTAGCCTCTTGCACATGAGGCGTTATTTTGTATCTCAAGTTCTCTTTGACGTGCCTTGTGCAAGTGACATGTACAAGAAGTGAAAGCAAAATGAACAGTGCAAACATTGCATTCAATACATTGCTGCACACACTAAATGTGCTTCATGGGCTCTATTGTTAGGAGTCATCTTTTAAATGAACTTTTTTATGTTCAATTGTTTATTTTGTTATCTTCCCCCTTTTATCATGTGCAGTATTCTATGTATATAATTTTTAATTATGTACTGGGAGAAGCATGTGTGGGGGCACATGCCTCCGGGCAACAGTGATGAACTTCACTTCTGTGCACACTGACCCACTTGCTGCTCCCTTATCTCTTTGTTTGTTAATCCTTATTATGTACTTGTCTCTTGCTATGCTGTATTGTTTTTGTGCTTTTTATATATGAATGGTCGAATAAATAATAATAATAATAATAATAATAATAATAATTAGCGCAGGTAATAACGCAATCGAAATGACACCTCGTGTGCAACCGGCATCAGGAAAATAAGCTTTTGATGGGGTAGTTGTCCAGTCGGTGGGCAGGGGTTGGGGGGAGGTTGAAATTGGCTGAAATACAAACTAAAATGCTCTCGAAATACACATTAAAATGCTCTTGAAAAACAGACTTAAAGCTTCAACAGATAGCAAATACTTTCAAGAAAAATTTAACTGTATATTTTTCATAAAAACAATTCATAAATTTATAGTGGTACGATATAATTTTGTTTGTTTGACTGTTTAATTTGCCAACTTAATTTCGTTTTATCATGTACTGTACGTCGCTATTGTTTTTGGTTTGTTTTTGGTTTGTTTTTATATATAAAATATCCAGAATATCTTTTATTGTTCTGGGGATTAGCCTCGACAGGCCCCTGGCCTTTGTTGGTCCCCCACATGTTTTTAAAAATTTAATATCTACATGTATTTAGTTGTTCTGTGTTTATGGACTTAAGATTTTGTTCGCTATTTGTTTCTCTCAATATTATTGTTTGTTAATTTTGTATTACTTTGCATTTTTTATATGTCTGAACATGTATGTATACTTGTTTTTTATGAACCACATGTGGAAATAAAACTTGAACTTGAACTTGAACTTGAACTAAACAACTTAAAGGCAAGTTCATTATCTATCGTATTGTTTAGAGACATTGTGTTCGGGTTACGTAATTATTATGTCACTACCTTGTCTGCACAATTCAATTAATGGGAAGGGTTGTTAAACTGATGCAGGTAATTTTCGAAAGCCTTCCCCGCCCCTCCTTTTTAAAAATATTTATTTAGTTTACCTTGAGGAAAGTGCCTTCGGCTAGGAAGATCATTGCATAGATCGAATAAGCAGGGACGACAAGGAAAGAAGCAAACGCCATTAACCAACCGATGGCCTGGGCCCAATCTGGGAAGACGTAATCGCCGTAGTAAGCAGGTACGTAGAATACAAAGCCCAATACAACGATGAGCTAGAGTTTGAAGAAAGAAAATAAAAAAGTGAGCATGATATTCCATAATAAAAAAGCTCGTCTTAAAGTGAAGGTTCTTCACATTTAAAGTGAGAGCAAAAGGTTCGACAAGGAAATATCATGGTGAATTATGAGGTTAAGTGTTTTACAACGCGGCATTACATTTAGCAATCCTATCATGGGTACATGAATGAAACGAGAAACATCATTGAAAGCGAGATATTAATCATAATATTATTTCATATCTTATATTTAATATATATTTAATATCATCAAACAGTGCCAAGAGTACATGTGACTTGAAATACCATAATGTTTCCTTGAGAAAACCAGTGTGACGAGTGTGACGAGTGAAATAAATATTGATTTAACTAAGTTTGGGCAACTGCTTGGTTAAATGATGGCACGTTTAATTGCGCTGAATACAATAAAACGAAAAAAACATCAGCATTAAAAAAAAGGTTTCATGGGGCGTCGTTTACGTAAACCATAACAAATATAAATTTGGGTCTTGTGAGCCTTCTGACAGCTTGTTTTCAGTATCATGAACGGTCAGGAAAGTTTTCAGAAAGTCGACGAGACGGAAATTAAAGATCTCGTTGGTAATCGGTATTGTGGGCTGTAGCCAGTTCAATAAGTATAACCTCCTTGGTTAAGACATCCCTCGGCAAAAGATATTTTTACGAGTTATGGGCGAAGTTTGATATTTCCCCTTACCAGCATAGCCAGCGGTGAAAGCACAGCCCAACATATCTGCCAATAGATGAAGACGTCATAACCAATCATTGCCCGGATGTCACCAACAAATCGCTTCAGACCTAAAAGAATGAAGGAGAAAAACAGAATCAATTTGGCGAATTTTCTATATGATCAACAAAATATGTGCGGGTGAATTTGGGTGTTCTTAACGAAAATGTTGCCGTAACTAAAAACGATGTCAACGCGACTCTATATCATGGGTCCCTTTATAAACTTTACTGTTCTGGTTAACCCCAGTGGCGGATCCAGGGGGGGGGGGCCCGGGGGGCCCGGGCCCCCCCCCCCCTTGAGAAAAAAATCATGTAAAATCACGTGATTTTTACCTTTTTGGGGGGTTGGGCCCCCCCCCCCCCTGGCGCTCAAGGGGGGGGTGCAAATCGATTTTTTTTTTGAGGATCAAAAAAAAAAAAAATGTGCTCACTACCCCCCCCCCCCCCCCCCCCCCCCCCCCCCCCCCCCCCACTGAGCGAATTTTTGGCCGGAGCGTTTTTCAAATTTTCGGGAGCAAAAAAAGAAAAAAGTTGGGCCCCCTCCCCTAAGAAATCCTGGATCCGCGCCTGGTTAACCCTAACCCAAATCCAATGTCTACTATAAGCGGATGGATCCTGCATTTTAGTCTATGTGGTTTGGGAGAACTTTTACGTTCACCAAAGTTCATCTGATCAACACAATTTTGACAGGTGTTACACTACCACTGATGTTTGATGATGAATGGTCAACAGAAAATATGTAACTTTGCTGCTCTTGACGAAAAAGTAGGCCTACTGGACGACCGTCATCAAATCCGTCCGGCGGGTTCGGTGACAAAACCAATTCTGCCAGAACACTCAACGACAAGATATACACTGATTTAGAAGATGCTTACCATAGATGTAGCAAAGACACAGAGAGTAGCAAGATGAGATGATGAACAGCGAGAAATATGCTGAGTACCAGTCCATGAGAGTGAACACATACAAACCACCCTGCAAAAACAAAAAGGAAGCATTGATTGGACAATCATAGACAATTATACTTGAAGTTCTGTCTTTACAACTTTAGAGATGCATTACATTGAATGAGCATGTTTTCCATACTTGGCATGTGATTCCTTTTGCGATTTTTGCTCCTGACGAAATATTATTAATGGGGATCTGATGTCCTATAAAGTCTACTTATGCTGCTACTAACGACTTGATTTTCAGAATTGTGCCCCTTTAAAAAAAAAAATATTTGGATCCGCCCCTTTCTGCAAGAGGGTTCAAAAACATTCATTCATTCATTCAAAATAGTTTATTTCAAATAAAACTTTCATCGCGGCGTTTAGCCGAATTACAAAAGTTTAAAAACATAATTAAGAACACATAATGTAATATATAACATAGTATAACATGATTTATTGAATTTGAAGAATAAATTAGTATAAATAGGAGCAATATAGCTTATTTGCAACATGATAATGGAAGCACAAATTAGAGAGAAATCAGAATTAAATAGAATAAAGTAACTGCATTCCTCACCTTCATGCACATGGGTATACCACAGAGGAACAGAGCGACACAGACACCAAGGGTAACAAGCCACTTCCACTTCTTCCTCTGGGCAGGACTCATTTCATCGGCGATGGCAGTGATCAATGCTTCAGACATGGCGAACTATATAGAGGGGAGAATTTTTTTATTTTATTTTACTATAAGATTCTAATAATATCAATGATAATCACAATGAGGAAAAGGTCAAAAGAAAATGATAATTATAGTATCAATATTAGTATATTACGAATGATGATAATAATGAAAATGAAAGATAATTAATTAAAATGATATCAAGAATTTTTTTTTAAAGAAAATTTGTATTCAACCATTCAAGAGCAAGAACAAAACAATAGATTTGAACAAAGTAAATGTTGTGACATTCTATACGGTAACTTCTTGCTTCTACTAATGATGTAACTGTAATGGTTATTGATAGCAACGAAACTGATTCAAATTTTATTCAATCATTCTTGAGCAAGAACAAACAACAGATTTGAACAAAGTACATGTTGTGACATACTATACTTCTACTCATGAAGTAACTGTAATGGTTATTGATAGCAACGAAACTAATTCAAATTTCTAGAATTGGTGTTTGAAGAAAAAATAGTGTCTTATCAATTGACAGTTTTCATATGTTTAGATATATTTCTGAAAATGTTATCACCATAATGTTTTAAATTCACGTTCTCTTTCCCACTGCGCCACTAAAGTATCTTCTGGCGTTTATAAGACCTTTGTACAGGTATAAAGGGGAAAGAATTCACATAAATAGATCCATGATCTTTCTTAGTTATGAAAGAGAGATAAGGGCATCCATTGAAAGAGAGATAGGGGCATCCATTGAAAGAGAGATAGGGGCATCCATTGAAAGAGAGATAGGGGCATCCATTGAAAGAGAGATAGGGGCATCCATTGAAAGAGAGATAGGGGCATCCATTGAAAGAGAGATAGGGGCATCCATTGAAAGAGAGATAGGGGCATCCATTGAAAGAGAGATAGGGGCATCCATTGAACGAGAGATAGAGGCATCCATTGAAAGAGAGATATGGACATCCATTGAAAGAGAGATAGGAGCATCCATTGTACCTGACTGTCTAATCCTAGAGTCAGCAGCATGAAGAAGAACAAGATAGACCAGAGCTGGGGAACGGGCAGGCGAGACAGAGCTTCAGGGTACACCTTGAACGCAAGACCAGGACCTGATGGTGGAACAGAGAAATAATAACGATACTAGTCACATTATTTAGTATAGCGCTTAATAGGGACTTTTAGATTTGCACGACGAGAACGTGGACTGCCACGTGTGACAATGTGACGTCCTGGCAATGCTCGGCAGTGCCTTAAAAGGACGTCACATAGCCTTAAAAGGATGTTACACGTGGCAGTCCACGTTCTCGTCGTGCAAATCTAAAAGTCCCTACTACTACGTTTCTAAGCGATTTACATTGTAATTATTATTACCCCGATCATTGGATTCAATTGCTAATCCACACATGAGTTCTATGGGGTAAACAACATGGTATTAAAATTTCCTTTGAGTTGATTTTTCGAAGGTAGTTGCAATCGTGTTCAGGAAACAATTTTAATCGAGGATGAAATATAGACAGTCAGCGTCATCAGGGAGATAATTCATATATAATTAACACCCTTCTGGCTTTCAGCGAGGGATGAAATACCCAAGAAGAAGTTCGTTTTTTTTCTCGAAAAAAATCATAATCGGACGCAGGATATATCAACCGTTTGTCATTGTACTAGCATGGCAATGGTTTCCGGTTGTCGAAGGGGACATAGTTAATTACTCTATTCGTACATAATAAGGAAATGTTGTCAAAAGCCACACTAATTAGATAGATTTACTAGATGAATATTTCACCAATGGACAAAATATATTCATTTGGTATTCTATTAATCATTCATTGTAATCTGTATTTAAATAAGGACAAATCGTATAACGGCACAACCTCGATAACCACCGGAAACTTGGTCGGATATTGTGCTTGTCAAATTTCGCCTCTTCCATTCACAATTTAATTCCCATCTTTTGTCCTATCAATTGAATGTAATTAGCTTTTCATGCTACTGGACAATATATAATATATGTCTGTTGAAAGTTGAAACTGTCACAGCAATATCATCAAAATCTAATTAGATTCTGCTATTTGGAGCGCCGTCTCCAGATAACCTAGCTTTCAACAAGATAAAGTTCTTCCACATTTATTTCAATATATACTGTTCAATGATTTGATAAGAAGTATAATAGGCCTATTCAGAAATTATTACCGGAGGCGACTACGTCTTTGACTTCGAGCCCACTGTCCTGTGCCATGAAACCCAAGACGGAGAAGATGACGAAACCAGCGAAGATACTCGTCCCACAGTTGATGAATGAGACCATGATAGCATCCCTGTGGTTGTCATCAGAAAGATATTTTATTTTCAATAGTTAAATGATTCATTCAAATACCAAAGTTTCACTGATTTATCAAATGTTCAAAGGTTCATATAACTATGCAAATTATTATCTACAGTTCAATAAACTATCACTCTTATAAAATCGAAACTAAAAATTATGATAATGTTCATGGTATTGTCAATATCATCATAATTCAGCTTAATACAACTATTTAACTAATAATATTATTTTACGAATTGATCATTACTTTATAGCGTTCAGTTAGCAAGGGAAAATTTTCATTTGAAATGGAATATTTCTTTACCCGAACGATTTATTCATTTTCCACTCTTAATCGACAGCAGAATTTTGAACAAAATGTATAGACATCATTGATGAATTTAAAGTGAAATATTTCAATCTTCTTCAGAACAAATACCCTACCAATTATCAGAATTTATATGGAATTTATCGATGATACGTACTTATAACAGTTGTTCTTGAACTTGTTGTAGCTGGCAAAGGTGATGAGACTACCGAATGACATACCAAGGGAGTAGAATATCTGGTTTGCAGCATCCTTCCATGGCTATAAAGAAAATGTTAAACGTCAAAGCATTATTTATTTGAATTCCCTAATTAATGGTGTCAGGAGTGGGATATCTCTGCAAATGGACTTTTATGTCGTCCCCGTTATTCATTTTTTCTTTAATTTAGTTGCTTTTATTTTCGTGACCATTACATCGAGATCAATCAAATTTAACTGAATTCATTCCTGAAGTTTGGCTGCAGAGACCTACTGAATTAATAAACTCACTCCTGGAACTCTCTCTTTAGTTTTATTTCACCTACTACGATTTGAAAGATCTACAACTACTTCTACTACGACTACTTCTACTACTACTACTACTACTACTACTACTACTACTACTACTACTACTACTACTACTACTACTACTACTACTACTAACATAAGCTATTACCATTGCTGTTACTAATATCACTACTGCTACTGCTCCTACTACAATTATTTATACTACTATTTCTTCTATACTATTACTACTCTACTAACACTTCAACAAATAATATCAATTATGAATCTCCTTTTAAAATCATTTTTAATACTTGTAAAACTTGCAATGTAATTTAGCTTTAGGGCTACCATTTTGAAGTTGTCTAATAAAAAACCATTCTACTACTACTACTACTACAAAAGTATTTAAATTAGGAAATGAAATGAATAATTTCTGTGATTTTTGTTTTTTGATGCTTAAACGTTTTTATGAAGTTGAGCGGGTTCTTTCTATCAAACGCAATAAATTTGTTATATAATTAGATAAACTGAGGCATGTGCAACTGATGTAAGAATGTTTGTTTTACCAATATGTCACAACATGTACTTTGTTCAAGTCTATACTGGTTTGTTCTTGCTCAAGAATGATTGAATACAAGAAGATTTCTGTGATTTACCTCTGGGCTAGCAAGCTTCTGGAAGTCTGGCTTGAGGTAGAAGATGATTCCCTTGGCAGCACCAGGGAGAGTGACACCACGGATGAGCAGAATGAAGAGAACGATGTACGGGAAGGTAGCCGTGAAGTAAACCACCTGATCCAGATTAATGAAAAAAATAAGACTTGAAGCGGTCCAATCTTATCATAAAGGATGTATGTTTTTAGGATGATGAATATATTATATCGAGGATGAAGGAACATTGATGAGCTCATCAACACAGATTGTCCGCTAAGCATGTTCTAAGGTTATCTGACGCCGTGCTTAATGTATTACGCTATTAATTTGCAAAATATATGATTTCTCCCTAGATCAAAATAGAGTATCTCACATGTTTATAGTTATGGTCATATTATGTCCTATATATCTACTGTGGAATAACTTTTTTGAAGTGGGGTTGATCTACTGGCGGTAAGGATGCAATGTTAAAAGGAGGTATCTTCAAAAGAGGGAAAACGATGAGTGGCCAATGTATGGGCATCATCAATCCATGTGCTAATTAAAACATACGGATGTTACCCGCCCTTCCGCCCCCCCTGAAGGGGCCTACATCGGATCCCTGTTAATAGTAACAGATAGAGTTATACACACCTTTCCTGCTGATTTGACTCCTTTGATGATACACAAATAGACAATGATCCAAGCAGCGAGGAAAGCTCCGAATACATCCCAGTTCATTGTGCCCATATCATCAATCCCGTCTGTCAGACGATGAACTCGGTACCTGAAATCACAAACAAAAGATTAAATGAAAAACAAAACCTACAATGGACCCGTTTCATAAAAGTAGTCATTAATAACATCACTCGTATGCACACTCACAGTTGCATGTAAAGTCTGTGGAAGGATCAAGAAGACACCAATTCCTTTGACAAACTTCTGTGCTGTTGAGCAGAATGAATTCAATGGGGGTTTCCTATTTCTACGATGATAACTATTGGTGCCTTAAATGCAATGATTAGAGTAGCTTGTATCATAATCAATTACTGCAATTTGCTATTAATTGGACTGAGTTTCATGAAAGAGGGCTCAGGAGGGTGTTTAAGAGAACACTCAGGAATATTCCTAATCTCAGTGGCGAATTCAACACAAGCTGTCTAAGGCCCAGAGAAGAGTCTTGCAGTATATAGGGCCTATGTCTCCGACATCCGGGGTTGTCCGAGAACACCCCCCCCCCCCCCACCCATTATCATTTTTTCATACGCCTCGATATTTCTTAAATACCTGGATACGAAAGCACGTTATACATTGGTTAATGTTCGGTGATATGACATTTTCTTCCCAGTTGATTCTGAGTCTACCTCTCGATCTAGTTCCTTCCACTCTTCCCCCAATGTGTCCATTAAGAGGCTTTGGTGCCTTTTGACATTTGACTTTTCTCTCCTTAACTAATCCTACCAATGCAATTTGTTTACGCCCTGTCATGTGTAATATCTCTTTTTTGGTTTTCATTCGTTTCCAAGAATTTTCACCATTCTTCTGTAAATCCATAATTCAAAAGATGTTATTCTATTTTCCATGGCCTTGCCATATTGTCCATGTTTTTGCTCCATACAATAGGACAGACCATACATAACAGTTTACTAGTCACTGTGTTTACTTAGTAATATATCGTTGACAATATCATATTGATTGGGTTCAAGAAGTTTGTTGACGGCACACAAAGAGGTGATCGACCATTCTTTGTTTTATTGTTGCGTTGAAGGAGATGGAGGGAGATGGAGAGGATGGGGGGGGGGGGGGGATAATGCATACTCACGTCCAGTATTCTTCGCTGGGGCGGACCGACTGAGTCAGGTTGAATGTGCCGTTGTATATACTGGAATCGAAACAGTTTTCGGTGTTCCAGGAGTTGTCGCAGTTGGACCAAGGCAACGTAGATTGGCAGGATGCTCCCATATAATAGATGGTCCAGGCTACGATGACGTTATAGTAGATGGCCACTAACCCTGATAGGACCATCATGCCAATACCCATTCCTTAATGAAGCAACGAGGAAAAATGTAAATAATAAACAGGTGGATAATTTATGAAATTCAATTCATAATGACGGTTTCTTGAACAGTACGTTTTTCAAAACTACGATTATTTAAAGCACTCAAATATTACACTGTGATAGAAAATCTGTGTTAAGAAATAAAAGGGTGCTTTTCCCTTTAGTATTACCTGGATGTCTTTGTTTTGGGTACATCTCGTGATGGTATGTTTAGTATGACTGTAGGCATTATGTCTATACATGTACATTGCATTCATCTTCATTTTACGTCTCCATGTGAATTCCCTGGCGGAATATTTAGGTCAGCAATCCAAGATCAAAGACCTTCACCATGGTCATATTGTACATAGGTAATCTAATGTTTCCTTACATTAATGTCTTTAAACTTTTGAAATACTGTATGTTTGAAACCAAAGTAGGAAAGGAAACGAAACATTTGGTTATGCCTCCACACAGACCGCAAAACCGATTCATGATCGCCGATAACCTCATTTATTCTCGCCGTTTCTCGGTCATTCTAGTTCAGTCTGTTATCGCTTTTGGTGTCTATATTTTGTGACAGGATGTGAGGCACATGATTGCATAGACTGTTATGATTAATGACGTTTTACTTAACCCGAACATGATTTCCATGGGATAAATAGCAGGGTATTGTTGAAAATATTTGCGATCGTATTTATGATATAGAATGATTAGAATCAGATTCAAAGGAGGGGCGGAGGGGGGGGGGGGGGGGAGGGGGCGGGGGCGGTTCCTTACCTCTGAGGAGCGGGACCACATTCCAACATCCGATGCAGCCCAGACTTGAGAACTGTCCGATGGAGAATTCCATGATGAAGAGAGGGGCACCAGCGATGGCCAGGAAAATGATGTACGGGATGAGAAACGCCCCTGTCATTAATAAATTGCCGAATCGAAGAAAAGGGTAGTTAGCACAGGTTTCGAGTAAATTTTCAAACGGTATATATTGTATACGATCTTGTGAAGAGGTAAAGATGATAAATGACATCGACAAAATAATCTCGAGATAAAAAACATGATTGTGAGAAAAGGAAATGGAATAACAAAGAAGCTCTGATTGATTTAAAGCCACTATTACACCATTTCATTTCCTTACAAAAAATATATATATGTTAATATATAAATGCAATATCATTTTATGTACGATATAGCAGCATGTCACATGAATTCATTTATATGTCTCGTAAAGAATGAGAGACTGCAAAAAGAAAAAATACCTTATTGTAAGATAATCATTAACACACTCGACATACAAACTATGTATATATATATATAATCTAGTTAATTATGTAATTAATAGTTAATAGGCCATTTTCGTAATGTAACCACATTTAATGCATAGGTCTTTGTGAAGTGCCTCAATACAATTTTTGTCATTCACCTGGTAAGAATAACATTATTTCAATAGACATAATCCAAACTGCATACATTAGTTGTTGCCAGGTTGGACAAACATTAGGCTTGACCTACCTAGCAACACTTAATATATGACTATTGAATTACTATTATTCTTATCAGGTGAATGAAATAATTTGTATTGAGGCACTTCACAAAGACTTGTGCATTAAATTTGGTTACATTACAAAAATGGTCTATTAGTAAATACATTTATACAAAGTCATGTGAGATTGTTTAATTACGAAAAATTACATATCATACTACAACATCATTACATAGCATTGATAGTGTTATAAGCTTTCCGAGAATGAAAACTATGCACACTCAATGGTATCATGTACTCATCTAATAAAGTACTTTGCATTTACTTGTTTTCTAAAAAAAAATTAAATGACGATAATTATGTCGATGAGTCGGTTGACCTACGGAAAGTTCGTGACTTCAAAACACTTTTCCGATATATTTTTATTACACCGCTAAATAAATTGAATATTAAAAGATGCCTTTACGAGTTCTATGATTGTGGATCATAACTCTAGATTAAGGCCTCATTGCCTCGTTAAAAGACACAAAATCTATGCTTTTATAGTGCTTTATTTTATATCGCAAACGATAAAAACCCGAAAAACCTAATTTCACCAAAGTTCATTCTGAAGGGCTTTCTGTTTGGGCAGCCGAGCATCGAAAATCATCGAAAATCATTGGAAATCACAGACCCTTTAACATAAATGTTACAATTAATGTTAAAAATAAAACAAACGTCTCATACCACTCAAGATACATGTATATTTGTATCAAGTTGTGTCAAGATACATGTATATTTGTATCAAGTTGTGTCAAGATACATGTATAATTGTATCAAGTTGTGTCAAGATATATTTGTATCAAGTTGTGTCAAGATACATGTATAATTTGTATCAAGTTGTGTCAAGATATATTTGTATCAAATTGTGTCAAGATACATGTATATTTGTATCAAGTTGTGTCAAGATACATGTATATTTGTATCAAGTTGTGTCAAGATATATTTGTATCAAATTGTGTCAAGATACATGTATATTTGTATCAAGTTGTGTCAAGATACATGTATATTTGTATCAAGTTGTGTCAAGATACATGTATATTTTGTTCGGTTGATACCGTAAGACTGTTCTAGTAACCCAAAGTCGTATCATTGCTATTCTAAAATACTATAATGTTAATTGTACCTTCATATTAAATAACCACTGTCTTTGTATCGAGTCTGATTTGAATAGAGTATAGTCGACATGAAAATCATCCTTTTCAGGGAACGATGTTTTTATGACGTGTATGGTGAGCACGTTCAATATAAAGAATTTATTGTATGTTTTATGACTCAGTACTTCGTGTTTAATCATTAACTATACAAAAATAAAAGTGCAAATACAAATAGTAATTTTCCTCGCAAATATTTGTATCAGATTTATTGACTGTTATGTATAAAGATTGTATACATTGCGAAGGGGCGGAGGTTGGATATTCACCTCATACGAAATCGTGTCGGTAAATCTTTTCACTATTTTTTTATTCAAAAGTTAATCAGCTGGATGAATATTTCTCGAAATATTTATCTTGCTTCCATTTCGAATTTCTTTGGCTATAGCCCATTAGATCGAGAGAAAAAAAGTCGGTCTCGTGGGCCTTCCAACAACGTTCTTTAGGTTTACTAGACCGATAGGCCGCGAGACCGACATCCAACTAGACGCACAATAACGGTCTATTGGACCTTCCGACAACCTTTTTGAGGGTTCACTAAAGCTGAGGGTCTAAGAGACCGATAGTCCTCTAGACCGATAATGTCAGTCTTTTGGGCTTTCTGATGGCTTTTTGAGGGTTCACTATATAGACCGACGGCCCACGTAAACGACAGCACAATAGACCGACAATATAAGTGTCTTTGGCCTTCTCAAAACTTTCCTGAGAGTTTACTATAGACCGTCGGCCCCTTGGACCGAAACTATCTAGGATCCCTTATGTATTTCTTTGTTTTGTCTGTCTCACGGGCTTTCGGTCTATTTGGATGACCCCCTTTTATGTTTTATGTTGGGAAATGAAGAATTTTCGGCTATTATATTCCTACATCCCAAGTTAAAATACTTCAGCGACGCTCTTAAAACACAGAGTAAACAATAATAACTTAGGTTTTAACACCTATACACTCAAAAAAATAATCTTTATGGCTTTACTACTACTTAAACATGTTTACAGAATACAAAACAAGGCTATATTACATAGATATAAAAATAACAAACTCAAATCACATGACATGACATGTCCTTCCAATCGACAATATACCTTCAAAATCGCTTTCTGATGAAAAAGGATGAAACGTGCTACCACCAGAAATATAAGGTCTGGGGGCGAGAGAGAGAGAGCTCATGCGAGACCTGTTCAATATCGAATTGTAATACAAAATATTGGAAATGGTAACAACGTCTGTATAGTTAAGTGTCCAACTGTCAAAACGAATGCAAAGGGTGCTTGCAGGACTAAGGTGATGCCTGCTTTGGGGGGAAGGTTTGGGGCGGATTGTATGTGATGATGCGGGAATGCAGGGTGCATTGAAGAAACTGGTTGCTAGGGAAACGGGTGAGGCTTGCAATGAGGAAACTATACTACTACTACTACTACTACTACTACTACTACTACTACTATACTATACTATCTAGGTTACAAAGGTTTAATATGAAAAGGGTTAAGTGGAGAACAGTGGCGGAGTTTTTTTTGGCGGAGTTGTTATCACAGTATCCGTAAGATATGTGTTAGAGGATTAATTTTCACCAACAGTACCATCAAGTATTTTCACCATCATCCCTACTGATGTAATTTAAAAAATCAATACCATCACAGTCATAAAACCGCCAAAATCATTATCAACCTTATCTCTCCTATTGTGTTTCATCTGTTATACCGCTCTCATCTTCAACAATTTCATCATCGCCAACATCGCTTTTATTGATATGTTTACGATCACCATATTATAATGGTTGGTATCATGCTTACTCCCTTTATCATCATCATCATCATCATCATCACCATCGTTATCATCCCCATAATCGTCATCATCATGATCATCATAAAACAAATTGCAATACTGATGGCCTCCAATTAGTGTACCTAATGTTGCTATGATAAACACATTGGTATGAAAACAGTACAAAGTTAGTCGCAACATAACATCATGACTGTGCTGTATTCATTTCCAGACACTTGAATAGACAAGGCTTATGCAAATCTGAAGGTGAGCATGGCTAGTAACGTGATTCTATTCTAAGATGTGAGCGGTGTATTTTCCCCCCTCTCTATTTACTTTGCGAAAGTCCACAATACATCACGGACGTACATATTGAGTAACGCCTACAGTCAATAATGAAATAAAAGATAAATACAATGTGTAAACGCAGGAACTGCGGGGATCAATAGGGGTTTTACTCAAGGATTATTGCGAACTTCAACTATAAGGGAGAGTTCTTTTATGATACCAAATCGACCTAGATCATGTGGGTGGAAAATCATATTCATATATTTACAGATAAATATTGTATCAACGTAGGTAACAGGCCAACATCAAACCATCATAACTTGGAATAGTTTAGCTCGATTTTATTTAGGGTAGGGGTTCATAATAATATTTATGAACAGGGAAAGGGGAACTTTGGCAGACTTGTACATTATAGTTAACCAATTTCAACTTATTTTGTGTAATTAGTAGTAATACTGTTATATCATATTATAGAACTAGATCATTCGGAATATCGGGAAAGGCAAAGCATCAAACCAAAGACATCAAGAGCCTAGGAAATTGATTTATTACGGTGCTTATAGCTGGGGATAAAGAGATGATTTACAAGACAAACGGAAGCTTACGTAATGAGTGCCATATACAAGAGAATGTGAGCATATTTTTTCAAGTGAAATATATTTCTATGCGGATGATGTTACTACACACGATGTTAGCCTAAAGGCCGAGAAGCGATGTTCTAAACAGTGACTAAACATTCTGTATTTGTGAGAATAATAGCAATGATAGCGTGTATATATCACTCATATACGTGAGTAACCAAGCAGGATGTAACAATTTACATATTCTGAAATTAAAATGAAAAGCTTATTTAATTTATAAATAGAAGTTCTGAACTTTAATTGAACTCCCTTGATACTCGGCGATGTACTGGCTTTACTGAGATTACTAAGATTCAATAGATGTATGAATATTATTTTATGCTTTTATTCAGTTTTCATTTTTTGGGGTAATGTATAGCCTTAATGATATGCATTCATAACTAGCTTATAGATGCATATGTTACGTTTTATAGATACAATTTGTTGCTGCGACCGAAACCTAACTTGAATTGAAGCAACAACAAAAAAGGAAAATCCCTCCTAAATAACTATTTTCTTGATCATAAATTGATTTAAGCGATACTCATGCAGAAACAAAGAATAAAAGAACCACAAACTCCCCAAAACAAAAGAAGTATATATTATTCTAGAATCGTGCCTAATTATTATTCCTCCTATTAATAGTCTTTTCTAATTATCTTCTTACCAATACTTCTTATTATAAATATTAAGCACTTAATTACCCTCTATAGAAAAAGCGAAAAACTTAATATTTGTATGTCTTTGTATTATTATATTATGTGTTTTTTGGGCAATATATGTTTATTGTTGTTGAAATAACTGTATTCTTACCTCCCCCCAAAATAGTAAAATCTTTTCATAGCTCTAAAAAAAGTTATAAACTAGCTCATAAGCATGCATCTCAACTATCACACATAATGTAATTAATGAATGCCGGGATAAATTTTGTTTAAAGCGTGCATTGCGATGAGGTCCGATTTTTGGTGAACATTTTGATTACTAAATGAAGCACAAGATGTATATTTGTTCGCATAAAATTAATATAGAATATATAGTTTTGATACGATTTTCAAACGCATTGTGTTAAATTTATATTAAAAAGTCTTCAACGACAAAAACAAATCAGGCACTTAACTTGGCACAGTTGATATGGAGAAGGTTAAATAATGAGAATGTTTAGTAAAAGCAATGGTTTTTAAGTTATTCACCAATACGAAACGTTCAATACTTTGATTAATGAAAATAAGAAATGTATATATTAAACATAGGTCATACCTTTGTTTCATGCTTCAACAGTAAACTTAATAAAACATAAAATCATCTACAACAGAAGTAAATACACGGCACAACTACATTAAGGATATTCTTATTGTGTTCACCGGAAAATATAATATATCCAAAGCTAAAAGTGCCTTCATATTTCATATTTAATTTAATTTTTCGTTCCGAGGACGGGTCTAAAACCTCTCCTTATCCCCTTGAGCATCGACAGGTCATAATCGTGGGCCTATACTATTAAAATACTGTACATCATAAATTGTACAACTCATACAGAATTTGAAGTGAATACCCTGAGCATACCGATATTATATCAGTAATGGTCTTGTATCCGACGTATCATTTCAGATGTTTTAAGTATTATACATATCAAGCACTCTTCCTCCGTATATTACTAAGTCAGTTAAACCCTTACCCTAAATCAGGTTTAACAGACCCCAGATTAACTTCCAGTGTTAAACCTGATTTTGAATAAAAGCTTAAAGTCCCTATAAAGTGTTTGGAGCCCCAGATTCGCCAAAAATTTGATGGCAAAATTATACTTAAGATGATTCATAATGTAAAAGACACACTTCTGCAAAGATTTCCTCCCCCCCCCAAATGTGTTTGGAGACAAATATTGATACAAGAATACATAATTTGGGTTTCTGTTGTACGCAGAAAACCTATATTTTGTATTCTTTCATCAATATTCAAATACAATGACATCCTCTTTCAAATTATGATACAAAATTATTTAAGTAAAATGTTGCCATCAAATTGGTGGGGATACTAACACTTTAGAGGCGCTTTAAGCCCACCGTCGGGTTAAAATCTTAGTAGAATACGGGCATTTAATGTCAATAAGTGAGGTCCTACGTCTCAAAGCAAGAGATATCAACTATTCTGAGAGTTACTTACATCTTTTTTAAAAAATCCTGGTGACTGATCTCAACACTACGATTGGACATTTGTTAGAACTCAGAACAAGAGATCTCAAGCACTGAGTATTGGAACTAAAATATTGGATAGTTAGGTTTCAACACTTCGATTGGTAATGTTCCAGGACTCGAATTATGAGGTCTCAAATAATTCGAGCGTCGGAACTTAAATACTTTTAATGTTAAATTGCAACACCTCAAAAGGTAGTCTGCTAGCATTCAGGACAAGAGGCCTTAAAAAAAAACCTATAAACTAAAAATTTGAAATATTTGGTAGTGTTAAATTTCAAATATTTTAGGTGTTAGATCTCAAAAAAGAATTGTTTCAGATCTATAAAAAACAATACTTATTCAAGACATAATACCCAACGTATTGAGATCTCTCGCTATGAGTTCTAAAGACTATACCTTACGAAATGTTGAGATGTAGCACTCGAAATACTTGAGATATATTGCTGTGAGTGCTAGAAGTGTATTAGTCAAAATGTTTAGATTTAGCACTCAAATTATATGAGATCTCACACCTAAAGTATTTGAAATACGTATTAGGTACTCGTACTCAAGAGATCTCAAAAAAACTCGGAGTGCTAAATTACAAATACTATGAGTGTTGCATCACAACTCTTATATAGAATGGTTTGGTTCTAATATTCAAAACAAGAAATACCAAACACTTTGGATCTTGGTATGTTTTAGTGCTAACAGCAAGATATTTCGATATCGATTACGATTGATAGGGAGCTAGCACTCGCAGCAACTTAACTCAAACAATTTGAGTCTTAAATCTCATCTATTACAGTACTCAGAGTAGAGAAAACCAAATACTTGGGTCTATTTATCGGAACTCGAATAATTTGTCGTATTTAAAGTGGAATTTAAAATTAGACAAACATAATCTCAATATATAGTTAAACCAGGCATCGAGAGATAAAAAACCTCTTAACTGTGAGCCGCAAATGTTTTAACGTTTTAAATTGAGAACAAAATTAATGTCCTATAATACTTGATATATACTCCTGGAGTATTATACTCTTCGGTTCGATGCATGCACTGTGTAATATAGGCCCACGACTATTACTCGATGAATACTCATTATGTTTGCGCATGAAACAAAGGTATTGACAAACAAATTCACTGGAAAATTACTACATTTCAAAGTCTTAAAGGTACTATTTATCATATTAGAGAAAAAATGGAGTCTTTGAATTGTTCGTGAATCTGTTTATAGAATGCTTGACAGCTCAGTTTAAGAGTTGTAAGGAATATGGGTGTCATTTACAGTTTATATTATTGAAATCGGGCTCTTTTCTTTCAGGTCACATTTTTGAAAAGGAAGAGACAAATTTTGACCAAATATCTGTAAAATAGCACTATTTTACAGAGAATGTATTTCATTCTGTGATTGTAGTTCTTGGTCATATTATAGTCCACTATATTCTGACATTTTTCGCGTCATGGGCCAAACAAATTTCGCATAGTACCTTTAAAACCAAACAGAATAGAACCGCCTCTTGAAATATGTTCCACACCCCTTTTCAATTTGTGAGTAAATTATCGATTTTCGAGGATGTCATCCCCATCTTGCAAAAAGTTTTGTTGTAATCAATCGTAACATCACATTTATCATACAGAAGATTATTTTCATTTCATTTTTCATTTCATTATATTCCATTTCAATATGTTAAACAAAAGGTTTGTCAAAGTTTTGATAACATTTAACTAGCGGCGGTACTATCTGGTATAAAAATGGGTGTGGTTCCCCTTAAAGGGTGAAAAGGAGTGAAGATCTTACCCCCTCCGTTCTTAAAGCAGAGGTACGGGAACCGCCAAACGTTACCCAAACCAACAGCATACCCTACGGAGGAGAGGATGAAGTCCATCTTATGACCCCACTGTTCTCTCTCCTCCTCCTCCTCCTCTCCAAGATCGACCTTCTCCATGTCCTGCTTCTCCTTATCAGCCTGGAAATGAATACAAAATGATAAATGTATAAATGTATGTTCATAACCATCAAGAAACGATTTAATATTAAAAAGCAGGTTAAACTCTGGTAAATGGTAAAATGAGCTGTTACATTCTTTCCATTTCATTTTGGAAGAATATCAAAGTAGGGAGGCACCAAAAGAGGTAGCGCTCTTCAAATGCCTTCCTATTCAACATTTCAAAAGAAATTGAGAAAATTAAAAATAGAACTTTTGAAATTTGTTGTTTCTTTCTCGCTTCCAAGGGCAGACCGAACTATTCATGCTTGAATGTATTGATTTTGATGGGTTGAATGGTTGGATAACAGGTATTGTTAAGGTCATGTGGCCACGCTAATCTGATGGAAATCGCACCCCAAGCAATAACTTTACTTATTCTGAGAGATTTCATATTCTTGCTCATTGATCTACAAGATTCCCTCCCAAAGTGTATGAGAGAGGCATAAAGCAAGAATAATGGACAGTTTTTTTAGCACGACATGGGTATCGCCATTTTCTTGATGATGTGACGTACTATGTGAAGTCGTTTATCAAGTGAATGTATTAACATTTGGATGCTTCGTTCCTAGGTGCTTATGGTGATGAGCATAAAATCCTTTGTACCAGGGAGTTGAATGTACATTGTACACATAGAACTTTTTATGCTCGAAAGCTAATAGAGGGGGTGTTTTTCATCAGTATTCTTCAAAATACAAATATAAATTGCTGTATTAACTTTGATGTGCTGAATGGCTGGATAACAGGTAAACAATATGGAATATTGTTAATGTCATGCGGTCACGCTTATTTAAGTTTGCATAATACGAAGTTAAATTTTTTCTTCGCTTCGAGATAAATGTACAAATTGAATTGTTCCGTGTAAAACCTAGAAGTAATGAAACTTATTGTTCCCTTCTCGCTTCCATAGATACACCGATCTATTTTTGCTCGAATGTATTTATTTTGTTGTGGTGAATGGTTTGATAACGGGTAAACAACGCGGACTATTTTTAAGGTCATGGGGCAACGCTAATTCAAAGGAAACTGCTTATCATGCAATAACTTTACTTATTCTGGGTGATTTATCATATTCTTGCCCATTAATCTACAAGATTCCCCACCAAAGTATATATATGAGAGAGGCATAAAGCAAGAATAATGGACAGTTTCTCAGCACGACATCAAATAAATGAATTCAAATTCGGATGCTTCGTTCCCAGGTTCGTGTGGTGATGAAGCATATCATTCACCTGCTACTACAAATACAAGGAGCTATATTGAATTTGTTGTGTGGGTTTTTGAATTTGTTGAATGGTTGGATATATAGGTCATAAAGGTTGAGTTCTGGGAAGAGGTGAACAATAATTTGTTAGCGTTATCATTGTTATTATGCAAGAACATCAGAGAAAAAATGTTCCCTGAAAAGCATGGCTCTTTAAATGCCTTCATATCCTAAATATGACATGTAACAGCTAAAAAATAAGGACCACTATTTTATCATGCCACATGTTTGTGTAGTCCCATATACATCTTTCTGTGCACAGTGCTTGTAGATCTTACATTCTTTACTAATGACAATCAGCGGCACTTTCAAAATATAACAAGAGGTCACATTATTTAAATTCGTCGATCCGTTTTTCAAATTTAAAGTGGTGTCAATTCGCACTAAACTATTTCCGAAAATCAACTCAAGGGCAGTTTCAATATACTTCAATATACTCCATGAATTGTTTTTTTCTGAAGTAGTTGAACATGTCAAAGTAAGTTTCCATGAGGCATTGCCCCGCAGCAATCGAAGCCAGATCCATTTCACATTAACCCCATTAAAGCTCCACCAATCCAATTTATGGCTTTGACTAGGGTGATAATTAAGGGTTTCAGATGATTATTTAAGTCCAGTACCGATGATAAGAAACATACAAGTACTGATGAGATCTTATGCATACTAATTAAATCATAAAACTGAAAATTCCAGTGCTGTGACTAAACGATGTACGAAAATTTTGACAGAGCCCGCGCAAACGAATTCGAAACTACAAATATAAAACAAATTTTTAAAAATCCCAAAATGTTAGTTTGCTATGTGAACGAGTGATATGTCTACCTCTAAGCGAGAAACTGAAAGCTTAAAATGTATAAGGGTAGTTATGGAAATATAATAAAGTATCAATGAAACCAAATTTTCGATATACGTGATCTACTACGCAAAATTTGCATCGTTAATGAAAATTTTTTTTCAAGAACAAAATATACAGGTGAGTATATTGGCAAAATTCGCCAAGTCGATAAACGTTTTGAATACTGACGATACCATCCGTTGGAAACCGACCCTTACGGACAAGAAGTGCTATTTCTCTTGGTTGTGCGACACTTGCCAGGATTCTTAACTTCAACCCTGGACCCAATACTGTACCTAACCCTAAACCTACCTTGAAAACCCCATTTGCGACCCTAACCCTATCCCTTGTCGAAATAAAGCCCGGAATAATATTATTGAACATGTATCTAGCATATCAAAATATGTGAGATATCAACTGCGGAACCTTGGGTTTATACGAAAATATTTGACTAAAAAAGCATGTGAACAATTAATCCATGCATTAATCTCATCTCGCTTAGATTTTTGTAATTCTATTCTATTTGGACTCACAAAACAGCAGCAAGACAGACTGCGATCCATCCAAAATTCCAGTGCAAGACTCCTTACTTTCACACCAAGAATGTCCTCTGTTACGCCTATATTACGCTCTCTACACTGGCTACCGGTCCAGAAAGGGTCCACTTTAAAATAATGTTACTTGTTTATCGGGCTCTCTGTGGAATTTCGCCACAATACATTAAAGACTCACTACACCCCTACAATCCAACTCGTACCTTAAGATCTGGAAGTGATAATTTGCTGCAAATTCCACGTACCCGTCATTCATGGGGAGACCATGCTTTTTCGCATGCAGCAGCCAAATTATGGAATAAGCTTCTCCCATCACTTCGCTGTATTGCAACATATTCCACCTTTAAAGATCGTCTTAAGACTTACTTATTCCATCGGTAACCCAGTATTTCCTTAAGTTGTTCCATAATTGATATGTTATTTGTATATACATCTTAAATTAATTAGTTATCACCCTTTAGTCTCATTGGCTGCCTGTGTGGGGCATGGTGGCCTCAGATGCTATTAGAGCTCCTGTTAATATTGTGCTGACTGGGCTAGTCCCTTAAATTGTCAGTGAACGGAGCAGCTGGAGGGCATGGGCCCACCGGGCAGAGCTGAGGATTGAAATGGGTTATATAAATATTGCAAAATTATTTACTTTACTTTTATCAAAGAGAACTGTTGCTGAGCTAGCGCCATGAGCGTCCCTGGACGATGTGTGCGCTCTATATAAGTTTACACTATTATTATTATTATTATTATTATTGGTGCACTATTACTCCAATACGCTCATAGAAGGTAAAGAGTGAACTAACTTAAAAAGAAGAAGAAAACAGAAAGATTGAATAAAACCCCGAAAAGAATACAAACACAAAATTGGAGGAAGAAAAACAAAATTCATTATGCATGAACAGTGGCGAAACGTGAGTCCGCCCAATGCGAAGGCACTGAAACGGTTGGGGGAGGGCATCGCTCTAGTTGGTGTGAGGGTTCAGGCGTTTTCTAGTCTGATCATCGAAGACTAAATATTTTTCAACATGTCTTCATTTAAAATGTATCGACCGTCAAACGGAAGTTATTCTTTAATATCCTTGTCAAACGACGATACTGCTTTAGATATAATTAGGTCATGAACACCAAAGAGTCAGTTGCTGTGCTTTTTTCCACGAAAAAAATGGTATGATTCATTATTACACTTTAAGCAATAATGCATGAAATTAGGGTCGTCAAAAAAGAGAAATTTGTAAATTCACCAAATTTGATTTTCAGATAAGAGTTAAACTTACAATTGCATTATTTTAACCTCTACATTATATACAAATCATGGGTTTCGGGCATGCCGCTATGTCTCCTTACATCCATTGTTTTTTGGAAATAATTTTGACGTTACTGCATCACATTATATCCATTGTATTTTTTCTAATTTGTGCGTACTGTAATTTTGACAAATAAATCCTTGGACCGCTTTAAACAAATTTGAACTATGACAAGCCCAGCGGAAGAAATTGATAAATGATCATTTTGAGTGTGGATAGCTGACTCAGTACAGGTGGGTTAGCTGAAGGAGAAACAAAAAAAATCATAAGGGTAGGAAAGAGAGAGAGAGGAAGAGAGAGAGGAAGAGAGAGAGAGAGAGAGAGAGAGAGAGGGAGAGAGAGGGAGAGAGAGAGGGAGAGAGAGGTAGAGAGGGAGAGAGAGGGAGTGAGAGAAAGAGCGAGAGGGAAAAAGGGAAATACATCGATAGTTAGAAGCAAAAGGTGAAAATAAGCGACTTAACTTGTTTCAATATACAGGAAATCGATTTAGAATTATACAAATAAAAACGTGAGAAAACGAGACGAATAATTTTATGTTTCAATCGTGACGGGAAAATGACGTATATAAGCCTAGTGATAAAAAATCTCGGTCAACTAGTTTGGCTCTTTCTGGCTGTTTGTATTTTCCACAAATTTAATCGAATTTATTGGCCTTGATATATTTTGTCTGCTCTCCTTGACATCACTAATTAAAAAAGAAATTACAGAAGCAATAGAGCAACACATCAGAATACAGAGTATTATCATCAAAATCAGAAAAAACAGAAAATTGTATAGATTAGTAGGGTGAACTAACATGACTAAAAGGGTTATTGTTAAAAGGTTTATTGTCCGACAACTACAAAGACATTTACCATAGAAAAACTCGTTCGGGTCAGTTGTTAATCAAAGACTAGTTTATTTCTCATCCATTTGGTTCTTGAAAAGTTGTTTGATAATATGTCGGTCATAGTTGAATTCAAGAAGAAGAAAAAAAATATAAAACCCTCTGGTTTAGGTTTTATATAATGGACTTGACGCTGATGAACGCT